ATGGCAAAGTTTGTATCATTTGTAAGGAGCACAATCAATCAAGGCCAATTTTGAAAGAAGTTGAGTCAACTTAGAAAACTGTGCTCTCTAAGCCTAGTTTTGTTCCCTCTAAGATTACTCATATGTCACAATAGGAAGATATCCAAGTGAATTCATCCAGCTTTGATCTATCAAATTCTAGTCTTAGAAAAATTCATTACAATTTCACACAAGAAATGTAGGTTCTACAAAATATGGAAGGTTATTTATTTGTGAGTTAGCTCTTAGTGGAGTAGCTTGAAAGGCTATAGGGGATCATGGTGTTGCCAATAATTTGATGATGAGTTATTCTTACCCTTAGATGCATCATGTTAGAAGTATATTTAATGTGAAGCAATCAAACCTAGAGTTGTCACCACTTAGTAGTTGTCAAAGAGCATCTATTGAAGAGAGTGTCTATAAAGAAAAAGTCAAAGGAAAGAAGGAAACATGGTCATTCTATTAGTATAAAGTGACAATTTTTAATTTAAGATAAAACAAATAGTTTTATGGGGTAATTCTAGAGGGAAATAGAAGATCAACCATCTCGAATAAGTATGAGTGCAAAAGGGTTTGAAGATATGTCATACCTCTTGACGTGACTTGGTTGTTGTATAATAAATCACGTAAATTTAAAATTTATAAAATTAGAAAATATTATTTTCTAAATTTTTAGAAATATAGTAGAACAAATAAATTAATTATAATTTAATAAAATATTCTAAAAATAGTGAAAAAAAATTAGTTGATCACAAGAATGTAAGATAATATAGGTAATATTTTAGAATTTTTCTAAAATAATAATTTGTTTATCATTTTTAATATAAAATATATTTAAAAAATTATAAAAAAAGAAAATAAGGGTGCAAGCATCATGATGACGTCAGCTCTCTGATGAATGTGATTCTGGTAGAACTAAAGTTACGCTTGATGATTTAATTGATCAAATTAAGATATGTAAAAGTCAATAGAATTATAATTTAATTAATAATAGTTTTAAAACTTACAATCACACAAAATATTACTAAATTAAGCACAAATTAAGTTTAAAGCAGGAAAGATAGAGTTTCAACCTCACGACAGTGATTGCCAAAATTTTGTGTTCAAGATAGTTATCATGGGATGTCTATAACCTCAAGGGCTCTCTTTAGAGATGTTAGACTTAGACATTCGTTAGATCTCCTTTCAAAGTCTAAAAAATGATGGTATAAGTTTAAACTAGTTCAAAAATGATAAAATAGAGTTTTGACGTCATAGTAATAATGTATTAGAATCTTGATTATTTGGGAGAATTGTCATACAATATCTATAGTCTCAAAGGCTCTCTTTGGATAAAGGTGATATGGGCAATTTCTAGATCTTCTTGTGAAATCTATAAATTAGTGAAATGAGTCAACAAATCATCTTCGGTGGCTATTACTTAGTGGAGTAAAAAAATGATGACTTTGTAAATTTTCGGTGACTATTACATGACAGAGATAAGTTACCTCCAAGGTGGGGCGCATCTTAGGGAGCTTCATCCTTAGGTTTGTGTAGTAAGAGGAGGCTCTTCATTACATCTGATACACTCTCAAGATGTGGCAATAAGTCTCTCGATAGATCGTCCTCTTTTCGACGACGACTTTTTTGTCAATTAATTAGAGATAATTTACTCAATAGATTTACAATTATTTTATCTAAAATTATTTGATAATTTTAATAATAATGCTTCGCGAATCGTGTTGATGAGATTTTCACTAATGATTGATTGATTCTAGCTGCTTAATTGTTCATCGATAATTTGTAGAAAAATAATAATTTAATCAAATAAAAATATGAATTTTGACTTTAATAAGATTCAAACCTTCACTATTCGTATGCTTTAGTAAGTAAATACACTTATAAAGTGATGTCATAAGGGTACCTCTTTCTCATACATAGGTTATTTTAGGTATTAAAACCATTGAAAATATTTCAGAAAGCTATGGCTGTCGGTTTAGTACCACATCAGTTATTTGCTGAGTTTTGAGACAAATATATAGTAATAAGAGACTTGGTAATCAATGTGTCCCTTTCTCGCATGTATACGACCATTCCTTGCTCCATGCTTGAGTAACCATCAGTGATGTGGAAGGAAAGTGACGCACACATGTCCCCCATAGGTCCCCTAGTTGCTTGAGCCCTCTACTTGTAGCTTTGCTCGACTAGGCTTCTGACCCGTTTGTGGGACTGGTTGGGCAGTGGGTTCTCTCCTTTTTTTATCTTTTTATTTTATTATATTTCTCATCATTTATCTCAAAAATAAGATTATATTTTTTTTATAAAATTATATAAAATTACATAATTAGACAAAATTTCACATTAACTAACTAATAATCACTTTTCACAATTTAACATAAATTAATTATTAACTCATGATAATTAAAACTTATCACCTCGAATTAATTATCTCTCTCTTTCCCTTAATTTCTCTCTCCTCTTTGTTTTCCTTTTATCATTAGTGAAAGCTTCTCTACTCTTTTTCTTTGCTCTAGTCTCTTGACTTCACTTTCTTAGCACTAGTCCCATCAATTGACATCAAAATTATTCAATTGACTTTTGATTTTGTGAGGACTTTACAAGATCAGAGGTAAGGGTCACAACTATACTCACACTAGTGTTGCAAATTATTTTGATGAAGAAGGATGAGGTTGAGGGTTAGATAATTAATAAGGCTCCAACTTCCTAATGAAAAATTGGGGCTTATTGACTATAAAAGATAAGAACAATGTCTAAAGTAGGTAAGATAGATGGAGAAAAGATAGAGATAAGAGGAAATCAGATTCAATTACCTTATATCTAGACATGACTAGCCATTAACTTGAAATCAACTTCTCTAAAAATTGTCACCTTTTTTTTTCTTTTCTTGATTTATTCCCTTCTTTATTTTAACGTAACCCTTGTGCATTCTTTAGGAAGTTCATATTATTCCTCCTGTTATGAGCTCTCTATAATTGCACCTTCAATTATTCTTCAATTGAGGTTGTACTCCTAAAATAAGTACATAGAAGTTTATCAAGAATTACCAAGAAGTAGTATGTGGGCCTGATTTTATTGGTATAAAGAGTGAACCTGAACTATATATCATTTGTTTTTTTAAGCCTCACTTTTGGGTTTCCATGTAGTCATTCTTGCATGCACAAGGGGGTCAGATGTAGTCTTGAAACTGAGCATATATTTTTAGGTCATGGTCATACTTTTAGTCTTCACAATAGTGAGAATGGCTTATTGCTACATCCTCTGTGTCTTCTATTGATATCACAATGTTACTCGAATGCTCATTTTAGAAGTCACTCTATAGAAAGACAGTTCTTAAGTAGGATTAGAGAATTGACATGAGTCATGAAATGGTGTATTTATGAAGTTTAGGTACTAGTGATTTTGGTTTTATTTTAGAGAGAAAAAACAAGCACACGCAGAATGTTGTTGATCAAGTTTAGAAGTACATACAATTGTATACACACATCAACATGATTGAAGTTGTCATGATAATTCTCAATTGAGTGTTAACAAGTCTAATTGGTTGCTAAATTATTTTGCAATGATCAAACTTAAAAAATAAAAGAAAAAACATATTATTTGATTAAATTCGGTATAATGAGAAAGCTTGTGGAAAATGATCAATATACTTGTATATATTTGTGACATAATACACAATGTAAAATGTTATGAGTTATCAGTCTGATCATACCCTTGGCTTCAATAATTGTAAAGGATGCTCTCAAAACTTTATGTTTTTTTCATTAATGTATGACTCCAAGCTGTTTCCCATATGTATGAAAAACAATGGCATTTTGATTTTCTTGATGCGATGGGGAAGGTTGCCAAAATAATCTTTACATTTTTGAACCGTATGGTCACAAGAAGATGATGTCTTAACCAGTGTGAGAGTCTTTCAGCTTGAACTTGTTCTCTTCCGCTCATCACTCTATTTTTGTTAAGGGAAGAGCCTTCGCTCCTCAGTTCTATCGGAAAGACCCATCACCATCAATTGGTCAACTTGCTGATTCTGGAGGGGAAATGGCTAGTAGAACGCACCTCTCGGGCATACACTTTTGAGCTTACATTACCCTCTAAAAGGACTCGTATTCCATCTCCTGTAGAACCCAAGAAGTGTTCACTGGTTCCACAAGGCGGGTAGCAGCAGTGGATGCATCTCACAATACGAGATGGGCACTTCAAACAATCAAGGACCCAGTCGTAGCATCTATGGCGGATGGTGATGTTGGCTTAGAAACGAGAACTTCTCCAGAGGAGAGACCTTACGCCATTGCAGACCCATAGCCTGGAAGGCTCATTCAACATTGCTATATTTAGACTATCTGATGCCTGGCTCCGTCACTGCTGCAGATGGTGCCGGGTGTGAAGATAGGAACCTACCACATTGTCTCGTCCAGTTCCCACGGGGGATGACGAAGCTCTAATATGCTGCAAAATGAGGGTTATGACAGTGATGACGACGACGACGACGACAACAACGAAGAAGAAGAAGAGGAAGAAAACCGTGTATGGGAAGAACTAGGGCCGGTTGCCACAGATGAGAGAAGCCAACCAGAAATGGAGGAAGGGATGGAGTCGACTGTTCCGAAGGAGGCTCTGCCAGGAGCTAATGGCGGGACTGATGGAGGATGCTACAAGGGAACAGGCACATCATGCCAGCCATCGGGGAGGCGGATGAAGACCCAGCAGCGAAAGGCGGCTTAAACTCGCAGAGGTGGACAAACGGTCGGGAAATGGAAAGTCAACGTCTTACTAGCTTGGTTCTCATAAAGATAATATACTCCCCTTGGTAAAAATCCCAGTTTTGAGCCAACTCGGTCTTATTGACGAGAACCAGGCATGAAGGTACTCTCTTACCTCAGAGCAGTGAGGCCGTCGTGACAGGTGGTGGGGATTCTCCAGCGAGGAGTACGCAGGCCAGTGCTGGCCCAGGCGGTGGCTGGAGCTTGCCTACCACGTGGTCGTCATCTGGCTCTCTTTCTGCTTCTGGTCCTGAGAATATGGAAGGTGAGCGTTACGATGGTGAAGAACAACGCCGAACCTCCCAACAGCAGCGGTGTGCAGAGAGGAAGGAGGCCCCGCCGCCGCCGCCGCCGCCGATTCCCACTCGTCGTCCATGCCGCCGCCCCGTCGTCTTCTTCGCCCATCTCCGGCGACTGCTCCTCATCTCCGTCTGGTTCGCTCCCCCCGCCAGCCTCTTCATTTCCAGTCACCGCTGGCTCCGCCGCTTCTTCCGGCGTTTCTTCGCAACCAGATACGTCAATTTGCGCCGGTGTCAGATCAATGTCGGCCTGCGGTTCTGGCTCAGGAGGTAGTTCTGGGTTCTCCGGCGGCGGGGCGAGATCAGGCTCATGCTGGGGCTCTGGCTCTGGCCGTTCCAACGGCCGTGTTGCATGGTGCTCGGGGTCTGGTTCAGGGTACGTCGCAATCGGAGTTGGCTCGGTCTCCGGGTCTCGGTGTTCAGGCTGCAGAATGGGCATTAGCTCGGAGGAGGGCTCAGCCTCTGGGTTCTCCGCTGGCGGAGCTTGGTCGGGTTCAGGTGGAGGTTCTGAAAATGGAGGCTGCTCCCCGTGGCCAGGCAGCGGCGACGGCGGCGTCGGATCTGCCTCCTCACGGTGATCCTCTTTTCCTTGTTCGATAGCCACCTCTTCTTCTTCTGTTTCCGTTGGAATCAGGGTTTCTTCTTCTCCCTGGGTTTCCACCGGCTGCTGCGGGGGTTCATCGGGAACCGCCGCCGGCGAGATCTGTTCCTCCTCCTCCTCCTCCGCCGCCTTCTCCTCCTGGACCCTCTCTTCTATTCTTGCTCCGGCGACGGCTCCACGGGTCCTGGGGAGGTGCACGAGCAGGATTTCTTCGACTTCGTCGAACTCTGCCTCGATCCCTCGCAGGTCCACGTCCTCCGGGATGCTGAAAACCTTACGGAACCTCCCAATCTCCTCCTCCCTGCGCAGCCTCACCCGCCTGGTGATCGCGTGCTCCTGCGTCGACTCCCTTCCTCCCCCGCTGATGATCAGCTCCCTTCGTCCCTCGTTCACCTCTATCTCGATCCTGTCTCTCTCCTCACCTGCGAACAGAGATCATGGAACATAAACCACAAGAAAGACTCTGGGGGGAGGGAAACGGAGGAAGGTTGGACCTGGGAGATGGATGAGGAGGACGAAGGCGGTCTCCGTCTCGAGGGAGTCGTAGGATAGTTCCTGTGCTGGCCGGACCACCTTAACCCCATATTCGACCTCCATGGTCTCTCTCTCTCTCTCTCTCTCTATCCCTCTCTCTCCTTGCCTTCAACTTCGGTGGGGTGAATGAGGCCTAAGAACCCCGTAAAGGGCTATCTTCGGCGGCAAGGATAGGAGCTCTCAAGCCACCGTCTTCTTTTTCCGCGCGCAGAGCAGACAGACCTCGTGCGGAAGAGCTGCAGGAAGATACCTAAGGCATGGTTTCAAGCAACGGGGCAGAGAGAGAGAGAGAGATGGTCACTGCCGCTTCAGCGGGATGGTCGGACACAGGCGGCGCCGCCTACCTCTGCACCGGGCACACCTGCCGTAGACGGCGCCGGGGCCTCCACTTCCCACCGGCAGGATGGATACATGGCACGGATCATCCCATGATCATCATACCACCTTAGGCACCCAGAAATCATACGGTGGGAATATTGATCTAAACTTTATTCCAATCTTAGAACAATATAATTTGCCTGACTCTCACTTGAGTCTTCAGGAGGATCTCTGGACATCTCCTCGTCTCCCACATCCGATCAGTTCTGCCAAGAAAATCAAATGGAAATGCAGAATGTTTCAGGTCTGCTGCTGCTGCTGCCTCTCTCTCTCTCTCTCTCTCTCTCTCTATCGGTCTCGTCCTCCATGGCCTCTGCTTCCTTCCACATCACAGTTAGATCCACAGGGCTCAAGCTTCATGATGCATATAGATGCGTACGGAAATCGTGAGTGTCCATTTGGAGGATGCCTTTATCACATCTGTGACATATGAATGGCTTAGTCGGATTATACGTATCAATATCCATCAGACCTCCGATTTTGGGTCGTTACGAGACCCTTGTATGATGACGTGGCATGAGTCATCATCCGTCCACCGACCGGTCGGAGTACGCCGGTCCGAGGGGGGATAAAAACAATAAAATAATGAATGAACGATTAAAAGAATATATCGGAACGGCGGGGGTCGTCCTTCTGCGGCGTCGTTTCTGAGACCCCCGTTTCCCGTCGACCGGAGGTTAGAGATCGAAGGAGGAGGAAGAAGGCCAAAACAGTGGTGGGAATGGATACCGACTTGAGAGTGACTTCGGATAGTGCTTCCCCCGTTGAGCGACCTCTGGCCGATGATATCTCTCAGTCGAGGAGGGGATAGAATCGGGACGAAGATTTGGGAGCATCGATCTGGTCTCCTGGAAGGATTCGCGGCTGCTCTGGCAAAACAAATTATAAAAATTTGTTTTGGATTGTCTGCTCTGCCTGAAGGATTGCGGTCTCGAGCGGCGCCTGGTTCCGCCCTCTCTGCTACGGCTGGTCGGAAGAGCCTGGTGATTCCCCAGACTGACGGGGGGGGGGGGGGAGATTCCCCTTCGGTTCTGGAGTTTCCGCGACGGAGCGGCTGATTTTATGGGGACGGTGGCCGAGTGATTCGAGTGAGTTGTCTGAAATTGTGGCATGTTTTCAGATCTCGTGGTGAATCGCTCGCAGATCTGAGTGCTTGGAGGCGGCTGCGCCGGGAAGAGCTGTAGGGGTGTGGAGGTCCAATGAATACGGAAGAGTTCGAGAAGCTGCTGAGGAGGTCGGGGTTGGATCTGTGGACTCTGATCGAGACCGCCATTTCTGTGGCTGCTAGGGATCACGGGAAGGAGCTCAGGTTGCGGAGGGATGGGATCGTTGAACGGCTGTACCGGCGCTACAATGGAGAAGAGGGAGCGGCGAGGGCTTCGGTGGAGTCCGAAGAAGACGATGGAATCCGATCGAAAGTCACAGAGGCGGAGATGGACGACCTAGACAACCATGAGAGGACGAGAGGCACTTCTCCGTCGAGTCCGCAGTCGCCATACAGGAAGGAGGAGGAGGAGGAAGAAGAAGACGATCGCGGCCGGAGGCCTTACGGTCGTCCATTCGAGGACGAGCAGAGTAAGATACTCGCCATCAAAGAGCACCTCCATGACCCCGATCAGGTCCAGCTCCTCTCTGACATGCACCAATCTCGTCACCTACTTTGCTGTCATTCACGAGTTTACTATCCTGAGCATTCCGTCGCAGTCGGACGAATCCCTGGTTCATATGCTGCATACTCTTGCCGACATGGATCTAACGTTCAAAGCTCTAAAGGTCTGTCTACTCCCCACCCTCATCCCCCTCCCGGTGCAGAAAGGAAAGGAAAAAAACACCATCAACTGTTTCGTGTGACAAATTTCTCTGTTGAATCGTAGGGAACCGACGTAGGAAGGCATGTCAATGGCCTGCGGAAGCACCCTTCGAGCGAAGTGCGGAGACTGGTGAAGAATCTTGTGAGGTGAGCGTGGATGAATCGGAAATTCCACAGAGAAGAAGTTCCTCTTCTTCAGTCGTCGTCACCTGTCTCTGGGTCTGATTCAGCTGTGCTGTGTGACAGGAAATGGAAAGACCTCGTGGACGATTGGGTGAAGTCTAACTCCAGCGAATCTGCGACCTCAACGGTCATCCGTAGGTCCCTCTGATCGAGCAAACAATACCAGGAGCGGAGGATTCCTGCTGCTCTAATTCGATCATCACTGATCATTCTCCCGGAACTGGTTGATCTTTCAGCAGACGGAGACTCCCCGAAGCGGATCCAAGCCAGGAGCAGCCAGAACGGAAATCAAGTAACCCTCTTTTCCCAGCTCCCAATGCTCCCCGATCTCTCTCTCTCTCTCTCCCGTTTCTTCCATCTCTGTGACAGTGCCATCTGAACTCTCTTCCAGGTTCCGGACTTCGGCTACTCCCCAAACCCACGCAGTACGTTCGTCAATCAGCTTGTCGTTGGGATCATTCATCCCCTACTTCAGCGTGTAGATCTCACCGCCCACTGGTTTTTGAGCAGGCGGGAGCTCGGTTTCCGACAAGACCAACTCGGAGGGGGAGATGAAATCGAAGATAGCTCCGCCGCCGCGAAAGGAGACTCCGGCGAAGCCCAAACTTCCGACAGCGCCTCCCCCTTCCTCTTCCTTTGTAATCTCCCGTTGATCCCTTCACAGAGAGTAGATCGTCTGGCATGCCACCGAGAGCTCCCTTCTCCTGACTTTGTTGTGGCATCTCCACCATCCGTGCAGAGGGCGAAGGAGGACAGCTTGCTCGACCCGGAGAGGCTCGCCTCCGCCAAGAGAAGGCTCCATGAGAACTACCAGGAGGCGGAGAACGGTAGAACCATAGCCGATTAACCTTCAGGTTCTCTGTGATGGCGCATCTGACGTCGTTGCTGCTGCTGGTTCTTGTGAAGCGAAAAAGCAGAGGACGATCCAGGTGGTTGATATCCACGACGTCCCCAAGCCCAAAGGATCCTTCTCCGGTCGCCACAAACCCGGCTTCCAGGCGAAGCACTGGTGAGGTCAACCCCACCCGCACGGGAAAAGGAAGCAGCGCTCTCTCTCTCTCTCTCTCTCTTCCCCATCCACCTCTGCATGTTTATACTTTCTTCTCCTTCGGCAGACGGGGATTTCCTCCGTGATCTCTCGCTGGGACTCTCCTGGCACGCGTGTTCTCTGGGTGCACCCGACAAGCCCATCCGGGTGTTTTTAGCTCCTCTCATTTCGGCTCTAAAACGGTTAATGACAGGTTCCCAATTATGGTAATAATCTTCACTCTGACAGTTAATGGCCGGTAAATGTCGCGATTAGGGGGAAATCATCTTAATCATTCATTTTATCAAAGATAAAATCAAATAAAATATCCAAAAAAATGGTCAGCCCGGGTTCAAAGAAAAGCCGAGGAAAAAGGTCAACTGCAGTCGCCTGGCATCTTGGAGCGGGCCGGACCAAAATCCGTTATTGTAACCGATAAGGATTTGAAAGCCTGGTCCATTGAGATCTGATATCAAAGCCAAGCCCTTTTTTCAATCGGTCAGAGGTCTCTTATCCTCACCACAGAGGAGTTCTCTCTTTCGGGCGTTCACTCTGCCAGACGACTGCGCTGGAGGCCGGGATCCCTTCCCTGGCGAGGGGAGATCGATGGAGAAGATGGAGAGGAGGAGGAAGAGGAAGGTGAAGGTGTGGTCGTTGCCGAGGAAGAACTTTGGCCTCGGTCTGGCGGCGATCTCGTACGTGTGCGTGGACTACCTGAGGGAGGTCTCCCCATGGTGGCACTCGTGGCTGCAGCCGGCGCTGTGGGCCGCGCTGGCGCTCGCGTCCCTCGCTCGGGCCCCGTTCTACAAGCACTGGTCTCTTGAGATGCGTGCTGCGATCCCCTTCGTCGCCTCCATGGTCTTCATGCTAGCCGCGCTCCTGTGCGAGGCTCTGTCTGTTCGATTCGTCACAGCCGTCCTCGGGCTCGACTGGCACAAGTAAGTCAGGATCCAATACACTCCTTCTATTTTACGATTCATGTTCGTTCGGATCAGAGGATATCGATTCCATTGCCAATTTTTTCTTTGCTTCTGTCCCGAAATGTGGGTAATCATCTTTCAAAGATCGGGGAAGGCAATGTGTTTGGAACTGAACCTAGCTCATTCATGGCACAGTGCGGGCAATAAATTTCGACAGTATCGTGATTTAAACCGTTTTGAATCCACGATTTGGTAACCTTCTGGAAGCGGTCGGATTCTCCTGGGAACGTCGAGTTTATCTGCATCTTTTCCGTAGCTGAATCCCTTGGATCTCAGTGATTGAAGGAAACCTTCCCTCATATCTGCGATGTGTCGGTCCTTCCACCTTGTAATGTGCTGAAGCTTTGATTCTAGGCGGTGTGATGAAAAGGGCGTCCTTCTGGCCTGTGTTAGTCACTCCATCTTCATGTTTTTGAGTTTCCCGAGCTAGCCACATCCGATTCGTATTATATTTTCACGGTCTTAAATTACATGTAAATTAAACATTTTTAGATGTAAATGAAACTTATTTTTCGAGGTAGTCGCGTCTCCATGGTCTTGAGCAAAGTGATCACTGAACACAATGGACGGACAAAGGCGATCTGATATCGTTGAGAGCATTTTGTTTTACGCTGTGATGGTGTGGGATTTGATAGAAAAAATGTAAGCATCGGGGAAACTGAAAAGTAGCCTGGCCTTGAAGCTGTTAGCTTTCATGGTCTGCTTCAGTTGAATCATCGAAATTATCATGGGGTAACTGCATCATAGTATGCCCCCAGTTAATTCAATGAAGATGGGTTCACTGATTATAGTCAACGCGAGAATGATGGGTTTGATTTGTGTTGAAGGTAAACGGGGTGAGATGAGGAGAACCCTACTGAGAATGGCCTATGGACATCACCCCAGTTCATTCCAATGAATTGGGGCTCTTGGGTGCACCATGTATTGTCATATTATATTAAAAAAAATGCACAGTTCCATCTGTTCCTCGCTCTTTCCACCTTGGTTCTTTCATTTTTCCTCGCCTTGTTGCAGTCTCTTCACACTAATGATTGCCATCGACGCCAACTAGTGTTCGATTCGATTCGATTTGATTTTTTCTTTTCTTCATTTCTTACCTCACCAACTTGCGAAGGGTCTTCTTTGAGGTTTTTTTCAAAGCAGATTATACCGCGTCACGCACTGAATATGTGGTGACCATGAAAGTCAGCGTCTTCGTGGGGCTGTTCTGTTCCCATCCATTTTTATCATCGATTTCCAAGATAATTCTGTGTAGGCCCATGAAATTAAACAGTAAGTTATGATAACCCTTACTGTGGAGAGAAAACTTTCATCATGTTCACAAATCTAACCCCTTACTGTGGTTTAAAATCGCATTTGAATCCCAAGATCTTCATCAGCTCGCATTTCTGTGCCTCCATCCACAGAACAAGGGAATGGATCGATCACCTGTATACAAAATCCGCTGCCAGTGGATGCATCTGGCTTCTTCCATTAACTTTTCTCCAATCTCTGGGTTTTGTGGGGGGGACCCTTCTTGTTCTTCCCTCCCTCTCTATCATCCCATTTCTTTCTCGCAGTTAAAACAATGAGTGTTGACTTTTATTGATGTTTATTTTAAGTCGCAAGTTGAGAATTTTCCTCGGTGATCAGATTCCTGTTTCTATGGACAGCTCCACTCCTCCTCTTCCCGACACTGGGCAGTGGCTGCTGCTGGCCCTGAACGAGAGGCTCCCACCGTGGGTCGTCGAAGTTCTGAGGGCCCACATCATCGGCCTCCACCACTACCTGATGCTGTTCATGATGCTGGCCTTCTCCGTCCTGTTCGACTCCGTCAAAGCCCCCGGCCTTGGTCTTGGGGCCAGGTACATGTTCACCATGGCCGTCGGCCGTCTCCTCCGCGCCGCCACCTTTGTCTCCACCATCCTCCCCTCTCTCCGGCCATGGTGCGCCGCCACCCGCTTCCCCGTTCCCCTCCACCCTCACCCCTGGGCCCAGAAATACTACCTCCCCTTCTCCTCCTCCTCCGACGCCATCCGCCGCCTCATCCAGACCGACAAGCTCGCCGGTAAGTACCCATCTCTTCTCTTCTCTTCTCCTCAGGTGATGTCGCCGTCAGTTTGACGGTGTGTTTTTCTCCTTGTTTCAGCCGGCGGCGGCAGCGGAGGAGCCGTCTTCCCCGGCGAGCACCGGCCGGATTGGGGGAGGATGAGCTTCCTGGTGGGGATTCTGAGGCCCACCGCCTCGGAGGGTCCTTCCTGGTACCATCTGCTGAAGAAGGCCGGCGGCGGCTGCAACGACCTGCTCTACAGCGGCCACATGCTCGTCGCCGTCCTCACCGCGATGGCCTGGCAGGTGGGTACTCTCTTTCTCTCTTCTCCGGCGGTGGTGGCGGCGGCGGCGGCCTTCTCGTGGTTTCTGAGCTCGCCGGGGGGAAATGTTTGGTGGCAGGAAGCTTACGGCGGGGGGACGAGCGCCGTGATCTGGCTGCTGGTGCTGCACAGCGCGCAGAGGGAGGTCCGCGAGCGGCACCACTACTCCGCCGACTGCGTGGTGGCGGTGTACGTCGGCGTGCTGCTGTGGCGGCAGACGGCGTTCCTCTGGTCGGCGAGCGGCGCCGCTCGCCGTCTGAAGAAGATGGAGGAGGTGCGAGGGAGGCTGGTGAGGGCTGCCAAAGACTCGGACATGAACGAGGTGAAGGCGCTTCTCGAGGAGGTGGAGCTCGCCGGAGAGGAGGACCGTCGGCGGGGGTTCTCTCAGCGGGCTCTCATGGCCTTCGGGGGCTTGACTGTCGTCTTCGCTCTGTCCTGCGTCCTCCTCGCCTTCTCTCTGACCAACGACGGTTGATAGCGTAATAACTTATATGAGGTTTTTTTGCAATTGGAAACATATATTTAGGACGTTTTGGAAAAAGTCAAACCCCCCCCGGCCGATTCCGGCTATTCATATCTATTTAGTATCTAACTTTACATAATGCGAGGTTTTTTTGAAAATTTAAAAATAAATTTAGGCCTTTTAGAAAATGCCAATACTTCGAGGTGTGTTTGCAATTGGAAAAGGAAATGTCGAAACTTTTGAAAAAAAATCCAATACCTCCGTGCTGGCTGTTTCGCATCTGATTTAGTATCTAACTTATCATAGTAACTTATCCGATGTTTTCTGACAATGTATAAATAAAAGTAGGACTTTTGTAAAAAATCCAATACCCCGTGCCACCTATTACTGTATATTTTAATATCTAACAAAGCAAAATGATTTACCCTTGTTTTTCTTTAAATTGGAAAAACAAGCGTAGGACTTTATGTGAAAAAATTCGAACTTCCTGTGGCGTCTTAATCTATTTTACATCCCCACCGGGTTTTGGAACGGTGCAGCGCAGTGGCGGGGGGAGGAGCGGCGGCGGCGGCGGCGGCGGCGGCGGCGGAGCCGGCGATGGAGATGAGGGCATGCGAAGAGACGGCGATGTCGCGAGACGTCACGCCGGGGATAGCTCCCCTCGCCGTCGCCCTCCACGACTCGTTCCTCTCCTCCCACTGCTCCTCCTGCTTCCTCCAGATTCCTCCGTCACGATTCGCCGCTGCGGATTCCGTCGACGCCGGTGACCATCCCCCGTCCTGCGGCGGCTGCGCCGGTCTCCGCTACTGTTCCGTGGAGTGTCGGAACGACGATCTTGATTTGCATGCGTCCAGCGGCGAGTGCCATTTCATCCGCCTCGTCCACTTTGATCGGCGCGACGAGACGACGGATCTCCGCGCGGCTCTTCGCCTCCTGTGTTCCGTCAGGAATTTAGGTTTCCTCCCTCCCCGGGGTGAACCGCGGCGTATTTCCGGTCTACTGGCTGGTGGCCACGAGCAACTCGAAGAAGGATGCGAGCTATGGTTGCGGATCAGGGAGGGAAGGATGTTGATGTCTCGGGCTCGAGAAATGTTGCGAAACCAGATTCTGGAAGGGGAAGATGTGAACGACGGATGCGACGGGGGTGGTGAGACAGAAGCGGCACTGTGGGTGGTTATCACGAATGGTGTAGAGGTGCAGATCGGTGAGGGGCGCGCTATCGGGATCGGGGTCTACGGGCCGCGGTTTTCCTGGTTCAACCACAGCTGCTCCCCCAACGCCTGCTACCGGTTCGAGCTCCATGGATCCGAGTGTTTCCGATGTGATCGGGGCTCCCTGGTTTATCCTTCCTCAACAGGGCCTGAAGACGACGCCATGGTATCGGCCGGCGCTTGCGAATGATGAACACATTGATTTGATTTCCTCGTTCTCCTCACTCCTGTAACACTCTTATCGATCGAGTTCTTCCCTGTTTGCGAGAACAATCAGTGAGAGTCACAGCCCCTAATAATACGATTGCAGATCACGACCTGGATGGACGATGAGAGAAGATCAAATCAAGGTAGACCTCTTCCTCGGCCCATTAATCTTTGGCATCTTCACTTATTTTCTTTATATGTATTATTTAAGTTCATACTAGCTTTGTAATCAGGATCATGTAGATTTGCCCCTAGAGTTTCTGTAAGAAGCATCAGACCTGTAAAAAAGGGAGAGCAAGTATGCATCACGTACACTGACCTGCTTCAGCCCAAGGTTTGTTGCTTCTCGGTTTGGTCCAGAATTTTTTCAGACAATGTATTAGTCTCTCAATCTATCTTCCTTTCTAGGCATCGAGACAGTCTGATTTATGGTTGAAGTATGGATTCATCTGTTCCTGCCAGCGATGCAGCGCTTCTCCTGAAACGTACGTCGATCATGTCCTCAGCGTGAGTTCTTCCAAACATCTCAGAAATTCCTGAAGTTCTCTGAGAGATGATCTCAACTTGAATTCACTTGACGAGGGTGGAGATTGACTGGGGTTCCTATTTTCAGGGAATTGAATCCATCCAATGTTCTGCAAGTCCGGATTCAGACCGGAGACAGCAGAAGGGCCAGGAAGCAGATGAACAAGCTGATTTACTGGACCAGGTTGTGATGAATTACTTGTCGGCCGGAAACCCCAAAATCTGCTGTGCGGAGATCGAAGAGATGCTTTCCGGGGGTTTCGGAGGCGGTAAGTTGCAGCCCCTCCATCACCTGTCTCTGAAAGCCTACACGGCGCTGGCTTCCATTTACAGAGTCCGAGGTCGTGGCGATGGTGGAGGAGATGCCGTACCAGGAGGCCCTGAGATGGCAAGGGCAGCTGCCGCCTACGCGCTGTTACTTGCCGGTACTACACATCACCTTTTTCTATCTGATCCATCTCTAATGGCGACCGCAGCACATTTTTGGGTCAACGCCGGGGAATCCTTTCTCTCTCTAACTCACTGCCCAACGACCGGCTGGATCAATCTGCCAGAGTTTGATACCATCTTCCTCCCGGGTGAGTCGTCTTTGCCGTGGGACGAGTTCAGAGGGACGTCTTTCAAATTTGTAGACTGCGTCTCGAGGATTGCTTCGAAGGTGTGGGCGGATATGGTCTCTGGGATCCGGTGCCTCAGTGAGATTAAGAGCCCCGTTGACTTCAGATGGCTCGGAGAGAAGAACATGCCCCACGAGAGTCTTGGTGCCTGTGGAGCTCCGGATTCTTACAGTGGAGAGGGAAGGTGCGTGGGGTGCAGATGCGAAGTAGATGATGGCGTTGAAGACGACAGCGGAACTGTTCGTCGGCTTGCAGTCCACTGCCTGGTTTATGGTGGGTATCTTGCAACACTCTGTTACGGCCCCCGCTCTCACTGCGTTGACCGCATACGGAGTCTCCCCACCAGGTAGTCTCTCTCTCTCTCTCTCTCTCTCTCTCTCTCTAGATGAGGGGAAACTCGCCCCATTTCACCAAAATAACACAATGAACGGTGACAAATGCCACATTCTAAAAGTAAGCTCAAGCTCTCTCTCTCTCTCTCTCTCTCTCTCTCTCTCTCTTATCACGGAAGACCCCACGCGGACTGATGAAGCCCCAGAGATGACGGTGAGAAATGAATATCCTTTTAACGATTGTAGAAGTCAGCCGGTTTTATAAATATTAATAAATATTATATCCAATCGATATTTTATTTCTAACATAAGACAATTAATTTCAATAACTTCCGATATTTTTAAAATATTATATTCTAAATTGGGCCCAACCCATCTCAAAAAATCACAGAGTGGACTCAACGAGATGGGCCTCATATGGGCCTTGTATGTGGCCCATACGAGGTTATAGGCCCATCAAGACAGTGATTGCATTCGTAGAAAAGTAGGGGGAACGGAAGGTGTGATATACCGAAAGATCAGAATGGTGGGGCGTTGTACACCAGGGAATCGGTCCACTCAGTGATGGGTCATCCTATCCTAGTCCGCCACATCAGCCGGAGCAGCGTAAGAGAAGTTCCTCTCACATCCATTTATCCAGATAAATAAAATAAAAAATACCCGAACGTGAATAGAGATATGGATATCCTGTTCTAGGTTAGACTAGCGAGCGTCTCTCTGGGTTTTCCGTCGCCATCCCGTTCCTCCCGCACCTCTTCTTGTCCAAAGGCTCGCCTCCGACGACGATCAGAGCAGCAGCGAGGATCAGAGTAAGCAGAAACGTCGCTGTAGCACCCCTGTCTCCGTAGATCGGATCCGAACTCGCGATCTTCGTCGAATTCGTCTTGTATGCCACTTTCTCATGTCACTGCAATCTTCGAGAAAATTTCTATGTTTGATATTGTTTTTTGGGCCACAGGAGGTAATTATCATATCCTTGTAGGCGGATATAGAGTTCTCGTGCAACTTTTAATCGGAAGTGAGGGTTTACCGCATTTGATTGTGTCCACGTTACACAAATATATTAGCCTTTTGCAATTATGTTGGCAGTTTTGACGAAGGATTTGTGAAGATGTCAGAGCCGTCGAAAGTGATTCATGTTCGTAATGTGGGGCCTGAGATCTCCGAGGTGGCATTTTATTTTCCATCGTTATTTCTTTTACTTGTCGAACCATTAAAAAGGCCACCATATTTCTCACCCTCTTTTCGATGTTTCATAGAGTGATCTGCTCCAGCTGGTGCAGCCCTTTGGCGTCGTCACTAAGCTCGTGATGCTGCGAGCAAAGAATCAGGTTTTTGAGTCTCTATCCGGTTCTTTGCTAAAGTCCTTCATTGTTGTTATCTGTGTGGGCATGGAATTATAAGGACACCCTCTTCCGTGGTTAACTTCGGCCTGCTGCCCACCATCTCAGGCTCTTCTCCAGATGCATGATTTGGCTTCTGCTGTGACGGCTCTTCAATATTACGCAAGTATTCAACCCAATGTCAGGTGATCTCACTACTATATTCAACCTACTTATGCTTTTTTTTACTATGAGAATTATGATGATCTCATGTTACCCTATTTCAATTTCGTCTCTCTTCCGTCTTGTTAAGCGATATTAAATTTTCAAACTCAAGTTATCTGTGAGGTGCCCGCCACCATCAGCGTCCTATATGGATCAAATCATCCAGAGATTGGTGTCACCACGCAGCTCAATTTCTAGTCTCTCACCTATTCAAGCTGTCGATTTTCGGGTTTGACCCTGCTTGGGTTCTCTTTCAGGGGAAGAAATGTATATATGCAGTTCTCTTCTCACCAAGAGCTGACAACAATGGATCAGAGCTCTCAAGGCCGCAGGGATCAGGTTAGTGACCAATCCCCCTCCCCGAACTCTTTACTCACACTGGTTGAACATCTTATGTAAGCTTCTACGATCCTCTTACTTAATCTTTTACCAATCAGAAAAATAGACTTCAAGCTCTATAATCCGGGAATGCTCGTTTTCTCTATCTGTGCATGCACCAGTAATCCACTTCTCCTATTCTCTTAAAGAAGTTGTTTTCCGAATTTTAGATCTTTGTTGGCAGATGCGTAGAACAGATTGGTTAGGGTTTTCGTTTTTGGACAAGCAGAATCTTGTCAGCCGTTTGCCCTGTAAGACATCAGCAGATTTCTTTGGCAAAGCTGTGTTTAATCTCTTCTCAGGCGAATTTAATTGCTTGATTTTTATTTTTTTTTAAAAAATATTTTGGCCGTTTCATAAGATATCTGAAAGATCAGGCGGTGCTATATGGATCAAAATATCCTCAGTTTCCTCGAAAGGCATTAAGTACCATTTGCTTTGATTTTGTTTCTCTGATGACGGATGATTTTTGCTCTATGTAGACAGCAATTTTGATGTGCTTTTTTAGGTTGTTGCATAATATGTGATCTTTCTAGGTTTTATTAGGAATGTGGCTAAATCCTCACCCTCCCAAGGGGTGGAGCAGCCCATATCACTCCTTGCTTGAATCTGAGAAAGGATGAACTTCATAAGTGAGTAGCATAGTTTGAGAATATTAATCGTCAGATGAGGAGGAAATTTTATGCGCCCTTTCTATCCTGTGGTTTCGAACTGTTCATGTCCTAGAGTGACTTGTCTGGGTGGAGAGAAGAGGGACAGCATCTGCAGCAGCAGGGTTTTCCACTGATACCTCATAGACTTTTGAACGTTGTACTGTTTCTTAATCACGGAGAGAACATAGATAGAAATGGGGATGCAAGTCACCACAAACCCTAGTTTGTGGGTCAATAATTTGGGAGTTAGCTGATAATTTCTGAGGGAGTCACATATCTTCAGGTCAGATATATGCTTTTTGGAAGGGGAGGGGAAGGGAAGGGGAGAGGGAGGAGACAAGGAGAAATGGAGAGAGAATAGAACCCATGTAGGGGCTGCAAGTAACCACAAACCCTAGTTTGTGGGTCAATAATGTGGGAGTCAACTGATCATTTCTGAGGGAGACACATATCTTTAGGTCAGATATGCTTGGGTTGGGGAGGAGACAAGGAGGAATAGAGAGAACATAGAACCCGTGTAGGGGCTGCCAGTAACTACAAACCCTAGTTTGTGGGTCAATAATATGGGAGTCAACTGATAATTTCTGAGGGAGTCACATATCTTTAGGAATAAACGCTCGATACCTTTGAAGGGGATGTGGGTTGGATGGTCTACAAAGACTGATTGCTGCAGTTCATTCATTAGGTTTCCCCCTCTTGTTGATCACACTTCCGTCAGCATGCCAGAGGGACCCACGAAACATTAAGTGCATCCTTCTCGAAGAAATTTAGTTGTTAATTCTTTTGAACTGAGGAAGAGGGCTTGTGATGAGAGTCATATGCTACTTTTCTGATGATGGCTAACGTGACATTCTTTAAACTGGCATGCGGTTTTTTCCTTCTGTGTTCTCTTCTTTCTCTCTCTAGTGTAGTACCTTCTCTCTCTTTTTCACTGTGTATTCTTCTGTATTCATCCTTCTCTGTATTCTTCTGGTCTACTGTTGTGTCCTCAGGATTCGCAACCCAACCGAATCATCTTAGTTACAATTCACCACATGCTCTATCCAATAACAGTGGAAGTTCTGCATCAAGTTTTTTCTTCTTATGGGTTTGTGGAGAAGATCGTCACGTTCCAGAAGTCAGCTGGTCAGCCCCTTCAAACCTCCCCCCCCTCCCCTTTCTCTCTCTACTTCTGTTGTTGAAATGCCCGAATCGGCTTCAAATCCTTTTGGCACTCGGCACTCTGAATTACCTTTCCTCGGAATTCAGAACTCTGATTATGCTTACAGAACATGTTCCAATCGAAAACGGTCATGGGTTTCTGCTGATTCTGTTCTAGTGCTGCAGGGTTTCAAGCTCTTATACAGTATCAGTTGCCCCAGAACGCCATCCAAGCAAGAACTGCTCTACAGGTTTTTGATTTCATATCCTTGTTCTTTATGCTCCTCCAAGAAATTATCTGTCTGTCTTTGGGAAGCTGACGGATCTCCTTGGTTTATCTCAGGGACGCAACATCTATGACGGCTGCTGTCAGCTCGATATACAGTTTTCCAAGTAGATTCAGAGACATTCTTCCTAGTTGTGTGGAGGTTGGGTTGACTATCAGACCAGTTGACTTACTGGCTATTTTGTTCTCTCCTTTTTTGCAGCCTGAATGAGTTACAAGTGAACTACAATAATGAGAGGTCCAGGTAAGTTGAGGACATATCCTGATGATTGACCTTGAAAGAGTTGAATAATATCCTGAGGAGCCCATTTCGTGTTCATCCAGAGATTTCACAAACCCATCTTTGCCTTCCGAGCAGAAGGGCAGACCCTCACCCGTAAGCAAGCTCCTCCTTCCTCTGTTCTTTATCCCCATCTGACAGACGATCGTCTTCCTGCACAATTTCTCGGCCGTTGACGTTGACATTGACGTTGACGTTGACTTTGACTCTGTACGCCTGTGGCAGTCGGGCTACGGTGATGCAGGGAGCCTCTACGCTCTTCAGGCGGCAGGAGCAGGGGGAGGTACTTCATCTGGCCTGCAATATTGATTTATTTATTTACTAATTTCCCCTTCCTCTTTGAGCTGGACTTCCTCTCCTGATCCATTCTCTCATGGATGCTTCCTTCTTTTCCTTTTCCAGTTGCTTTCCCACAGGTGAGAGGCCTGCTCCATAAGATTTGACATCTCCAGTTTTGCCTCTCCTCTCTCCGATCTCCCCGATCTCTCTGTCCGATCTCTTCTCTGTCCGTCTCAATAACTTTGCGAAGAACACCCAAATACTAACTTCTCGATCCTTTCTTCTTTTCCTCTTGTGGGGGGGCGCTCAGATGGGTAACGCTGCCGCCATTGCTGCTGCTTTTAGTGGGGGATTGCCGCCGGGAATCACCGGGACGAACGACAGGTGCACGATCCTCGTCTCCAATCTGAACCCCGACGTAAGAAATCGTTCCCCAATCCTCTGAAATCAAATCCTCAAGGAAGCAAGGAGATGTTCTCAGAATATCTGGTTATGTAGCGGATTGACGAGGACAAGCTGTTCAACCTCTTCTCCATCTACGGCAACATCGTGAGGATCAAGCTGCTGCGGAACAAGCCGGACCACGCCCTCGTTCAGATGGGAGACGGCTTCCAAGCCGAGCTGGCCGTGCACTTTCTCAAGGTTCGTCTCTCTCGCCATCTCCCTCCCTCCCTCCTGGTTAGGGTTAGGGTTTGGATTGATGGTGAAGTGGTGGTGGCAGGGGGCGATGCTGTTCGGGAGTAGGCTGGAGGTGAACTTCTCGAAGCATCCGAGCATATCGGCGGGGCCGGAGACGAGGGAGTACGCGGGATCGAACCTGAACAGATTCAACAGGAACGCGGTGAAGAACTACAGGTACTGCTGCGCGCCGACGAGGATGATCCACCTGTCGGCGCTGCCGCCGGAGGTGACGGAGGAGGAGATCGCGGCGCACCTGGAGGAGCACGGCCCCGTCGCCGGTACCAAGCTCTTCGAGGTCAACGGCAAGAAGCAGGCGCTCGTCCTCTTCGACTCCGAGGAGCAGGCCACCGAGGCCCTCGTCTGCAAGCACGCCTCCAACCTCGCGGGCTCCACCGTCCGCATCTCTTTCTCCCAGCTCCAGGCCATCTAACCCTCTCCTTCCCTCTTTCCTCTCTCCTTTGTCCTAAGCTTGCGGGATGACCAGTAGCAGACTCACTGAATGAATTGAGTTCTTCATCTTTCCCGAATATATATAAGCTGCCATCCCGAAACCTCACTCTGTTTCTCTTTCTGTTTCTATGTCTCATTCTCTGTTTCTGTTCCTCTCTCTCTCTCTCTCTCTCTCAAGGACTACGGGCGATATGGCATTCTCGTAAATATATCGCAAACAGACCCCCAGAGGAAGGAGGCCGCCGACTCACACTCCTCAGTTCCCCCCGTGAAAACGGGGGGCAGTAACAACACCGACAGCTGCTCCCCACATCTGGGAAGTAACGAATGTTCGGAAGGGGACCCATTACGGCCACCCCCAAGAGCTCGGAGGCGCGATCTCCACCGTCCGTTGGTTGGATCATCACCATCATCATCATCATGACGACATCATCTTCAACCGGACGCTCTGCTGCCTGGGCACCGCCATCCCCTCCACGGGAGCGATCAGCTGCGGCATCGTCATCCCTCCCGAGACGATGATCTCTGCGTCCCATATGCAAAATCGTCACTCCACTAAATAAATAATTACATAATTAAATCAATAATCAATTACTTAATCACTTCATTAATTTGGGCCTCTAGCCCCAAGGGTTGACCGGTTTTCCTTTCTTTCCTTTTTTGGAAAAGTTCTGAAGATCCAGCACGAAAGAGGGAGACCCAATGAGATAGATAGAGAGAGAGAGAGAGAGGAGCAGACCTATGCCTTCGCGGATGGAGAGATTTGGGCGGATGATCTCAGCGGAGTTGACCAGGAATATGTCCCCGATGTAGACGTGATTCGTGGGGACGTAGACGCTGCACAGCTCCTCGTCGCCCTTATCGGTCTGCAAACGAAGCAACTGGTTCACATCTCCAAGGGGAGGAGGGGGCTGGAAAACTGAACACGAAAACAAGATCCAGCTGCTGTTCTTCCACAATCTAAATCGGTTCCTGGAATCTACGGCGTTCTCGAGCGTTGACTTTATACAAAACCTGTCAGACTCTGAGCAGCACCCATCCTTTTACGTACCTGAAGGATAACCGAGGATGTGATGAACCCGAACGCGTATTCACCAGCTCGGGGATGGCGAATTATGGCCACCTCTTTGAACGCAGTGGTGTTTTGCTCTGCGGAAAGAGAGGGCGAGTACGAAGAAAAACCATTAATGTCATTAATGTGCAAGTCAACCCAGACACGATCATATGCCCATTAATGTGCGAGTCAAAGCTATGATACCGGGAGAAATAGCGGTGCTGATCTGCTTCGATGCCGAGTAAATGTGCCTAACGAAAGGCATCCGTTTTATGAACCACTCTCCCAGCCAGATAACAGTGGCGCCAACCCAGGATGAAACGAATATGCCGACGAAGAAGATGAACAATAGCGACGTCAAGAATCCAAGACCTGAAATATTTTGTGGATGGGAGAATGGTCAGGACTAAAGTCAACTAATCAAAATACAAATAAATGACATAATGTAGGAAATGGGAAGAACAACTATGACGCTCTTCCCATTTAATAGGAAATGCTTGAAATCCATCGGCGCAACTGAATAGTGGGTACTGCATATCTGTTCTTCAATTCTAAATCATGAATATATTAAATATGAAATGAGAATAGATCCAATCCAGAGGGAGAATCATACTTTTAAATATCTAATCATTTGAAAAGTCGTGGACAAAGGTTTCAGGATGCTTAAAGGATTCCACGGTAATGAATAAAATGATCATACCAGTCAACCGACAGTAACCAAACTCTATGTATGGTCAACTCATACTCCTGCCCATCCAGACCTGCCTGGGGGTATGCTTATCCCCTAGTTACCAAGGCATCAATTTCTTCTAAGAACAGTATGTCCAGGTTTGATATCCAAAATGACCAAAGAAAAAAGAAACAGTAGGAAAATGCCATTAAGGTTGCTCATTTATGGAAAAGATAACCAGATGGTTAACAAAAATGGATAAAAAGGCTTTGCATAAAGTTTGATGAAGATGAATGGCATTATTTTAAAATAATGTGTTCAAATAGATAAACAAGTTACTGAACTATAGCATGGAGAAAAATGGAATTATACTCAGGAGCTGGAAAATCAGGTTAAAGTTTCCCCAATATTGTTTTAGCCCATGACTTCTCTTATTCATTTGGATTTAGCCCATAAGTTTTACGAAACATAGCCAGATCAGCCAATAACTACACATCTTTGGGGAATAGCGGCATGCTTAGTGTAACCTAAGAAATCATTATGTCAATAAAATATCAGACTAGATATGCCTTTGTAGAATGGCTTACCAAATACGTTTATACCCAGCTGGGCATACAACGGACTGAAGAAACCATCAACGAACCGAATAAACCACCATGTAACAAAAAAAGTAACAGCAACAGGAAAAAGAACGACGCTGCAGCATTGAAAATTGCAACGCGGTTAGATCTTAAAATTCAGTGACCTGAAAAAGATTAAAGAGCACGTTTCATGGCAAATAAAAGCTGCATCTCACCATCCGGTCATGAACTTCTTTGAAACCCAGCTTTGGAGAACAGCACAGCAAGCCTGGAAATAGTTCAAGTGTTTAATATTTGCCCTCATGAAATAAATTTTTGGAATAATGAACAAGTAAACTGTGTGTCTCTGTGAATGCATCTATGCTCAAGCATATGCCCACACTTGTAAGCACGAATGTGAGAAGCCCCATGCTAATATAGTTATGAAGGATCAATTCAATGTTAACAGGTGAAACCAAGCATATGTTTGAAAAACGGAGTATGATATACTCTGACAAGAACGGCTTCAAGCGTCAAACATTTCAAGACCAGAAAATAAAAAAAACATCATATTCAAGAGTTAGATTCAATAAGAGACGAGACTACTATTTTCAGAGAGATGGAACAATGACAGAAAGGTTTTAAAAAAAAATACACGCATGGTCTGTTAGAGCATGAGAGGTGTTTGTGTATGTAGGCGAGAGAGGGAGAGAGAGAGAGAGAGAGAATGATAATAAGCAATTAATATGGATCAGAAGCATGAACTCCTTTAACATCAAAAGATAAAAAAAAAAAAATTGCTTCTTATCGTGAAGCTCGATCACAGACTTTATACCGGCTTAACTCTGGAAGAATCTGGGGCTCATATTCTTTCGTTGGTAACTTGTTCTAAAAATTTGTTGTTTGTCCAGCAGTACAAGGCGAACCACTCTAAGCAGGGCTCGGAGACAACAGTGGACTGATACTTAGAACCCTGTACCTTCTCCTATATCATCGTGGACATTGAGGTTACAGAAAACACGGATCTTTAGCGGTCAACCACGTGGAAGTCTTTTTAAATTAGTCAACACTTTAAGTTGGAGAAATTCAGCGGTCTAATCGAGTTCGCTCTTTCCTTGTGCTTTTGCTAACTTCAGGGATTCCCCACATTTCATTACAAGAAAAGGCCTTGGTAAAGAATTAAAAGACTTAGACCTCCATTTCTTACAGTGCTGCACTAACCGGGACGATTCATTACTTCTATCACCAATCATCCAGCTATCATAACACCTCCATTCCCCGTATTATTCTTCGCCAACTTAAAAGGTCAACCCCAAATACCCGCAGGGTTCTACGCTTCTTCCACAGTACGAATTTTTCTGAAAATAATAAAGGAGGCAAAATACTCGATTCTAAACGGTCAACGCCGACGAGGAAGGCTTATTGAATCATCGAAACAATGTAATGCCCAAAATAAACATAAGATCTGGATCTAAAATAAACGTTTCTCCAAATTTGGAGGAACCCATCCCATTTGGCGTTATCCATTCACACTCCGGATAGTCCACAGATGCAGCACAGGTAAGTGAAACGCAAACCAAGAAAAATGAGAGATCGGCGCATCTCACAAGTCAATAGACAACATTCGTGCGTCTGAAAACAACTGTTAGAATGGACAAAACTCGACTAGGGTTGGCAACTGAATCGCGAAATCACAGTTATTCCCTCCGGAAAAGAAGCAGAGGCCAAAGAAACGCAGGGTGAGGAGAAGGACGGCGCACGCACCCTGCGGGTCGAGATGGGGGTGGTCGGTGGGGATTTCGCCGGGTCCTCAGGATCTATGCCGCCGTCCACTCCTCCCGCTGCGCTAAGCGGAATCGACGTGGAATCCTTCTCTTCCGCCATCTTCCCTCCTCCCTCCCTAGCCCTCCGCCGCCCGCCACAGAGAGAGCGAGAGAGAGAGAGAGAGAGAGAGAGAGAGAGAGAGAGAGAGAGAGAGAGAGAGGCCAACCGCCGAATGCGGTCGAGGCGGGAGGGGGGGGTAAACTAGCCGACGTCCAGTCCGTCACATAAAAGACGAAAATACCCCTAATGTGTAGAGGATCACCTTAAAAACGTGAAAGGACAACATACCGCAACAGTCCAAATCCAGAACCTCGACTTTCTTTCCTGGCAATTACGACAGCACCATCCACGTAAAGACCAGCTGTCTCAGTATTATAATATAAATATTAACAAGAAGAGTTGTTATTATGGGCCAGGCCACTTGACATTCGTAAATCGGCCCAAAAATATTTGGCCCAATAAATCGAACTCCGTAATAGACTGGATGCGGACTATCCGAATTCCAACTCAGATAAATAGGAAATCTGTTTAAATAAATTAAATTTAAAATATTTATTCATAATTATTTTTTGAAAAGAAGGCTGCACACAACTACATCAGCCAGACACCGACGGTGTCTATACCTCCCGCGGCTCTGGGGGCTTGAAGGAGCGGTGATTGGGAGAAGCCACCCCCAGGAGACAGTTCGAACTTGATTACTGGTCGGCTGGGGCGGTGAACTGACCAGGACAGTCTCTGTAGTCTTTCAGGAATCTGGCATACGCGGCGTAGTCTTGAGCGTCGTCGTGGGCCTGATGACGGGTCGAGATAATGGGTTGGGAACTGAGGTCGACCAATTGGCCCGGCTGAGGGTCCAGTGGGCCGGGCGGCGGCCACAGGACCTCGGGAAAATTGAGCTTCGCTCGGTTCCCGCGAAATCGGAAAGCGGCCTGGTCGTAGGCACGTGCCGCCGCCTCGGCCGTCTGGAAGGTTCCCAGCCAGATGCGCGCCGCCTTCTTTGGGTCTCTAATCTCCGCCGCCCACTTGCCCCACGGCCGCCGCCGCACCCCACGGTAGTGCGGCCCGCCGCCGCCGCTGCCGTCGCCGGCGGCGGAAGAGGAGGAGACTTCCGCCGCCACTGCCGGCGGCGGCCGGGTTGACTCGTCAAAAGCTGCACCGCGGGGAGGTTAGAGAAGACTGTTGGTGATGTGTAGAAAGATGTGGAGAGATGTGGAGAGATGTAGAGAGCTGAAGCGGATAAGCAATCGTCGTCTCCTGCCTCCGAAGGGATGAAACCGGGAAGAGAGAGGATCAGTGGGGTGTTCGAACCTCTGAAGCGTCCGGGGATGAGGAGCTCTTCCCTCTCTCTCTTCTGGCCGCCTCCGCCCCTGCCGGCCAGGACTGAGGTCAGCGCCGACACCATGGTCTCCATCTCGCCGCCATGCCGGGAATGCAGCGTCGGAAGACCGAGGAGCGGCTCCTCCTCGGAGCCTCCTTTGCAACTCTGGTCCGCCACCTTCGACGTAAAAATCTCTCTCTCTCTCTCTCTCTCTCTCTCTCTCGTTATCGGACCTTTGGACTTGGAGGCGGGAGGTACCGTTTATAGTGGGTAGATTTGGATCTCTAACGCTGGCATGAAGCAGGCCAACCGGATAGCTTGCGGCGGCGCCGCTGACAGCACGGCTCCGGATTCGGAACAGACTGTTTGACCCGTTACCGAGTGCCCGAAATAAGCGACCAAATCCGTCCGCACTCCCAGCCACCGCCTCTGACTTTTTACCACATATCGATCAAATAGGGTAGGCTCGGATTCGAGAGAGAAAGAGGGGGGGCGGGGGAGTGGAGCTTTACAAAAGAATCGTCATACCACACGCTCACCAGACTGGTAGAAAAAGACGAGTTACAGAAATATTTTCGAGGTGGTTGATGGAAGAAGACAAGAGCTCCAAGTTCTTAAGCGTCCTCACTCCCGCGGGGGTGGAGAGACCGGTGGTGGTGGTGGGCGGCAGGTCTCTTCGAGGGAGCGGCAGCGGCGGCGGCGCCTCCTTCGGCGGAGGCCTTCATGGCCAGGATATCCGGCGAGATGTCCCAGCTGCTGCTCCTCCTTCCCCAGCTGGAGTTCCGCGTCTCCGGCCGGTGCACCGGCGGCGCCGCCTCCAGGCCGCCGGCAAACTCGGCTTCCAAGATAGCGGCGGCAGCGGCGCCGCCGCGCAGCCCGTTGCTGCTCCTCGCGCCGAATTCGTCGACTGTTTCCTCGTCGTAGAGCCGCTGGGAGATTTTCAGGAGATCGCCGCCGAGTTCCAGGTCGTCCTCAACCTTCGCCCGGGGCTCACCTGCAAAGTCGTCCTCCACTTCCCTGGCTGCGCCGCCGCCCGCCGGCGCTTCCTTCTGAACGTGGGCCCGGAATTCGTTCCGGGAGGGCTTTATGCCCGAACAGAACACCTCCAGGAAGTTGTTCAGGCACCCTCGGTCGTGGACGTTGACCCTGTTGTCGGCTCTGTACCGGAAGTTCTCGTACGTTGTCTGAACAAGAGAGATAGCAAGACACACACAGATATCAACTCTAACTACGGAAATAAAGTCAATCGAGACGACATTCGGGAATCATTGGGTCGATGTCCTAAAGGAAGAAGCTTCATCTGATTAGGATGGTGGGGGGTTGACCTGGTTGGTGCCAATGAGGTACAGGTGGAAGCCGGTGAGGCCGCCGACGAACCAGAGAGAGATGAAGCAGTACGTCATTAGAATGACCGAGGCTGGAGACTGTTTCATGGCCTTCCAGACGGTTGGGTAATCTTCGTCCATAAGAAACTTGATGTAGAGAGCCGACATGACGAACACGAAGATGCAGAGGGCCGTTGACGATGAGACGAACATGAAGAAGTAACGGTAGTTCCGCTGCATCCAAATAAATGCAGGAGATAACTCTCAAAATAGAAAATAAATAAATAAATCCGAGAGCCCAGTTCCTGCAGACTGGAAAAATGGTTATTTTCTGAAAATAAATATTTTTTTTAGCAAGAATTTTTTGCATGGTCAGAAAATCGATAAATATAGTTATGGCTTGAGCAGGCAAGGTATCAGGACGAGAGCAGCTGAAGAACAGCCTGACGGGACCCACCTGTCCAATGCACTGCCCGACCCACGGGCAGTGATGATCGAACCGCTCCACACAGTTATCACATATTGAGCAATGAGAGCACCGAGGGGGGCGGTAGAGCATGCACGTCTCACAGTATTTGACTTTGACCGGCCTGCCGTTGACCATGACTTCCTTGAATCTTGGGAACTGTAGGCTCGGTGTAGGCCTACCCCCAGCGTCAACTGCGTTCGAAGGATCATAGGAAAGCTCTTCCTCTGGGGGATGTGATGAACGTGGGATAATCCCAGGATCCCGGGATGACGTCATAAGCAGGAGCAACAGTACCTGCATTGGCCGTCATTACCGCAAATAGGATATAAAATCGTTGACCGGCTGCAATGTCTTCATCGCAATGCCGAATTAAGCAAACAGGATGACCAAATGAGGAAAAAAATAAATATACACCAAAATACTAGATGATACTTCCAAAGGCTTTTACAAGATCCTGCTGCCCTGCATCTAACCCAAACGGATAAAGCCTGCAGCATCTGAACCCGTCCCAGGTCATCCGCGCGGGGAAGGGGAGAATGAGCTTCTATATATAGTAATGAGAAGCTGAATGCGATGGAACAGGATGTCTCAGCCCACATCTCAATGTCAGAAGCAGATCCAAAAGTGTTTTAGGAATTCCTATTTTAGGAAAAACACGGCTGCTGCGTTTTCATTAATTGCGTGTCCATATTTATTGAAGCAACCAAGGGGCATGGAATACTTACATTGGCGGTAAAAGCGATTGTTATGGCAAGAACAGCATATCCCGCATTATATGAAGAAAACCTGTGCAGAAGATGACTTGCAACGAACACGCAAAAGATGACAACAGGCACAACAATGAGCGATATGGTCATGAGCAGCGACTTCGCATCAGGTCCGAATATACATCTCCCACCAAAGAAGAACTTCTGGTAAAAGAAAAAGAAAAGAAAAGAAAAGAAAAGAAAAGAAAAAGATGATGTTATTTCTGCTCCTTTGATGAATCAGTTGTTAGAACGAAATGTAAGGATGAAAAGGACAAATGCCATATGAAAAAGTGATCAGATCACTATTATGTTAGTTCATACGAGAGTTTGCAGGTAAATCTTAAGGGAAATTAGCTTGATTTTTCCAACCAGTGAGAGAAATCCCAAGCAAGCAGGTAAGGCCAAGATGAAGTATCTTAGAGATTAAAACCTTTAAGTGATATGCAGTAATAAAGATCATCAGATACAGGTGGTATCTATAAAATTAGTGCAGGTGAAAGTCAGTCATATATGACTGGAGCAAAGGGGATTTTAACATCCTTGGTGATAGGGAAAAAATGTTGTAGTCTCAGATCGATGAGCACTGCAGATACAAGAACTAAGATGACGTATCTTAGAGATTAAAACCTTTAAGTGGTATGGAGTAACAAAGATCATCAGAAACAGGTGGTATCTATAAAATTAGTGCAGGTGAAAGTGATATGACTGGAGCAAAAGAGATCTTAAGATCTTCGGTAATATATGAAATGTTGTACACTCAGATCGATGAGTACTACAGATACAAGTACTGTTACTGAGTGCAGAAACCATTGCCCAAAATCAAATCGGGCCACTGATTTCGACCAGCCTCCAATCCCTACCTCTTCCAGCAGACTGACTTCCTATTCAAGCAAGATCTTTTTTAACACTTTAGTTAGAAGTTGCAAATTGTATAGGATTCACTTGAACCGCGCAACACAGGCATGAAGCACTGGCCTCTTCCGGCCTTCCCTTCCCTTCAAACCTTTTCTTTTTTCTTGTGCAGCAGCATCCATCAACAACAGCAACACCCAGCAGACATTACCACCACCAAACGAGCAAGCACACAATACAGCAAACTGCAGATTATGAAAAAGAATCATGATGGCTTTCCACCACAGCTAATATCACCACGACCAGAGCCTGATCTGATCATTGACTCAGATCTGATTGATTATCACTAAATCAGAATGAGCAATAGCACAAGCATCCAGGGTCCAAACAGCAAAGGGAAAAGATCAATGAGCAGAGAACAAATTAGGGTTATCCTATACGTCCAAATATTAGACTGCCCAATGCTATCGTTTTATGCATTACCCTTGTACGTATAAAAACTGGTTAACATCGGATTTATCAATCGCCCTGGTATTGCTTTTTTAAAAATAATATCCTGGTACTCTGAATTGTGATTGAAATCGTTTCAAGGCGCTTTTCAAATTCTTACCTGCCATCTCCCCTTCTTTTAGTGGCCTTCAGCGTTTCAACTTGAATACCGGGGACCTGAGAATTTTCCACTCGCCCGTTACCAGTCACACCCAAATACATCTTTCAGGTATCTAAATCAATCCCAAACAGCTCCGTGCATTATCCTCAAGGGACTATTGCTCAAGCTCCACTCTAGACAAGCCTTTATCATTCTTGAACTGAAATAAGCCGGTTGTGAGAATAGGTATCCGCTCTGCGCCACCAAAAAACAATGGACCCAGTCGCCTCATTCTGATATCAACCGAGTCTTCTCCGCCACTCTCTCCAATATCACAGAGAGACTCATCTTATGACACACATGCTCTTAAGTTTCTATCACTAAGATGGGGTCAGAGAAAGGTTAGGTTTTCGGTAGCTTTTCTGGCCCTGGTTTAGGAGATTGAGTAGGTGGACAAGTATTCCAACTTCTCACAGAAGTCAAAATGCTGCCAGCATCACGCAAGCATCTGTTCCAATACATCTGGTTTTAATCTTTTGGTCCATGCCTTCCCTTCCCTCTCCCCATACAATCCCATGGACCCTTTCTCATTTCTATCAGATCGTGCAATTTCAACTGTTGTATCCACGCCTTATGAATAGCATGTCTTCATTCTTCATTCAAGCCATCTTTTGAGGCCCTCCAACCTCTGTAGATTGTCCGTACTTCCGGAATTATGGTAACGTAGAGTCCTTCCAAGATGCAGATTTGATCACCATCTGGCTATTGTTTTATGCATCAGCAGTATGGACCATGCATGTTTTCATCTGTTGCTGAGAACATGAAACTAATGTGGATGAGATTGTTCCATGACCATTGTCCTCCCACTAGACTGTCATGAAAGAGGTTCTCATCCACATCCCAGCTTGCTGTCTTCTCACAAAGCTGACATGAATGAAGTTACACATGCATGGTTGTGGTCTTCTCACATTATTGTCATGAACAGGTGACTGCCTACATGTATGCACGATGTCTTCTCAAAGAAGTGTCGTAAATGAGGTTATTGCTTTCTTCCAAGTGAAGGCCATGCTTGGAAGGAGGGGGAATCGGGGAGGAGGGAAGGTTGAAAGAAAGTCTCCCATTAGCTGGCTGACCCCCCTGGAAATCTGCCCTTCATAAGGGCAACTTCTTTGGAAGAAAGATGTCTTCATTGAAGGGTGGCTGGTTTCCTTTTAGGATTGGCTGGCCTCTTGGAAAGGATTGGTGCCATGAAAGCAGCCCTTAGGGGAACTTCTTAGGAACAAAGAAGTATTAATGAAGGGCCACTTCACTCAAAGACAACTGCCCCAGTGGAGGCAGCAAATACCCTGGAAAGTTCTCTTGTCCAAAGAAGTACCGTTGGCCCTGGGGATGGCGATTATGGAAGAGAAGCTGCCCCTGTAAGGCATGACTTACTGGAAGATCCTTATCCAAATGACTTCCCCTTACAGGACGATTTTTGCCACATCAGCGAAAGAATTAGATGGCCACATTCTCGCACCACACAGACCACCAATGTGGCAGTCATCATTCGTTCCCCCAATAAAATTTCAATGTTGAAGCAGAGAACAAAATCAACTGATGAGGGTTATTGCCTCATCAACTGATGGCCTGATTTGCATTCAGCCTATTTCCTACTATGTATACTTACTGCCAGATTGAACGCCTGACAACATGCATATCATTTTCCCGCCTAATGTTTTGCTCCATGCTACCTTACTGCTGTTTACATCCATCCATGTTTTTCGTGACTTTAGTGATCAACCATGCCCATCACAGCAGATCTAAGTGCCCCCGCACCCACGTCTCAGTGGTTCATGTATGTGCACGCATGCCCACGCGCCTGCCAGCAATTCATGTGCATGACGTGTGTGTCCACGCGCCTATGTATACCCATGTGCGCACCACAAATCATTAAATAGTAATCATTTCTCAATCTCAAGCTGAAAAATATTTATGCTCCAGTTTAAAGGATAGAATTATAATAGTTTCTTTCTTGCACTAGCGTGCCCAATAGCCCCAATGCCATATAGACTTTAGGAGCCCACTGCATTCAGTCAATTAAAAAATAACATACAAACTGAATGAACGTCACATAAGAAGACGATGAGAAATACATTTTTTTTAAAGGCACATAAATAAATGAAACAGGAGTAACCCACAGTTGGTCTACATTTTCTTTCATTCAAGAGTTTTACACTTTTCAGATCACAGAGGATCCATCAAAGTGGAATAAGAGATTGGCAATCCTCAAATATGAACATAATAGTCGGTGTGATTTGTTTGTCCCAAATATCGAAGAGTTTTATACTTCTTGAGTAAAGCATTCTAACTAAGGTATAAGTACTTAATCGATTTCCAAGATTTCTCCTCTTATGCGGGCCAAGCAGGCTATTGACTTAACATGGGGCGAAAAGAAACAGTAAACTAGAAAGAACGAAAATTTGTTGAAATCTGAAGGTCAATTTTCCAATTGTATGTTATTTCCTCGTTCAGGCGTTCTCAACGATATATCAAAGGATATCTTCATACAATACATGCCGAACCTGGAAACCAAGTGCAGAAGACTGGAGTCCTCTGGTTGATAGACATGCTATTTCCAATACGGTAGCTCTAAAGCTGGCTGTGAAAAGGACGGAATTTAGATGGCAGTGTGCCTCAGTGAAAACTCAGAGACATGCCGACCAGTGACGTTTGCAAAGCTATGGTTGAGGGTTATATGAAGGTACGAGTTATAAAATATATGAAGGGAATCATCCTGCCATCGATAAAGCATGGGGTCAAGGCTAAATCAGATGCACCACAGCAGCTGTCGGCACATAAATTCAATAAGAGGCAGTTAGAGAGGCCATACCATGAACACACCAGTTATACATTATCCATTGTTCATGAGATGGAACTACTACCATCAGTGACAAGGATTTAAAGACAGATCTGATGGCAACTATGGAGCAAACAGCAGGAAATAGTGATCAGAACTTACATTAGGTACCATGTTTCTAACTTATGCTTGAATTTCTCTATCTCATTATTGGCACAGTTGTGAGGAACAACGTGATTCAGCCCAACAACGGATGTTGAGCAAGTGACGATTTATCTGGGACCTTCTTGCCAGGCTCAATAGATTTAATCTTGGCCAACTACAATGGTGAGATCTAGTGGATCTTCCTGTAAAATGCAGGAGTGCATGGTGCCATAATTTGATATTCTCTGTGGGCACAGAATACTAAAAGGGAGAGATGGGAAGTTAAGTTTTCTCTAGTTTCTGCAAGTCCTATATGAACCAAACTTGGATTTTGAACCTGGTGGTAGAAACTCTCTGATAGAAAGTTGTGTAGGATGTGAAGATGAAAGAAAAAAATACTTAAGATGGAGAGAAGAGAAGAAGAGCAATAAATAGTATATGGCTTTGGGCTTGGCAATAAACATAGACTAGCTCTATTTGAAAATTGTGTCGTGGAACGATGACTAACATGACCCTGATTCAAGTGTGATTAAAAACATAATAGCTAAGTTTGACCAAGATGCCCCAATAAAGTGTTACCAGTCACTGACATATACTACATCATTCAAAGAATGTGGATGGATAAATAATGATTAGGTACTACTGTTCATCTCAGAGGAAGGAGGAAAGAGGAATAAGGCAAGGTAAATGTCAAACCATCACGATGTACTACCAATCATTGGAGATAAATGACAAGTAGCGTCGTTGGGAATCATTTTAGTAGCATCCTAGAATGTTGAACAACTGAATTTTACCAGTTTTTCCGGGAAAATTTCATGTGAATACATTCTGAATAAGAAAGGTCTCAATGTAAGACAAGGGAGGTAAGACATCTTCAGAGCCAAAATGTAGCATAAGGGATAGTAGAAATAATGGAACTTACTGGTTCCTGTATGGACAACAAATGCTGAATCACATTCGAATAATCATACTAGTTCACTCCTATTACATTCTTTTAAGCTAAATGATTTAAATCAAGCCAAATAAGAAACTGGGTAATCAGATCACTTGTAATACATCGTTTGTAAATAGGGAAGGAACAAGAATGCAACGGGTATAGATTCCAAGAGAAACATTAGATGAAGAAGAAGGCAGACCTCTCTGTAAAGAATGCAACGGGTAAGTGCAGAAAATCAGCTGAAATGTCCAAAACCAACAGAGATTGTCGAAAAAAAGAATAAAAAAGTTGGCCATACCCCTAAAACCACCTTTTACTTCGACCAAAAAACGAAGGAACCTAAACCCTCGACTGGCAAGATCCAATGGAGCTACTGGCGCCCGATGCGAAAAAATCAAGTAATACGGAGCATCAATCCAGTGGCAAAATGAGAAATCACACGCATTCAGCATATCTCAAGCGAACCAACCAGACTCAACACACATTCACCGCTACCTAAATAAGCCGAAAATTAATCTACTGTGACTAAATTCGAAAAGACGGACAGCCATTCCGAGTACAACAGAAACCCTACAGTTTCACACTGAAATCGCACAAACTGGGACTTCTGTAGAAACGCACGAAAGGGATCAACATAGTTGAAGATGAGAAAATAAGAGAGGTAATACCAGGGGACGAAACAAAACATATGACTGTGGTAATATCTTACATTTTTTCCCTTCCAGTCTTGGTAGATTCGCTTGGCCATGAGAACCAGCACTCGCTCTCACTATGCTGGTAGGGAGTCAAAGATACGGAACTCGCTCATGTTCCCCAAGAAATAGACAGGACTCCCAAGAGCGGAGGCAGAAATAGGATAATGAATCTGGTTTCCGAGCACACTTAGCGAGTCCCCTTCCTCTCGATGCTGGAGGTGAAGTGGGGAGACGGACTCTAGTCTCTTCTCCTTTCCCTCCCCGAAATGATTCCCAACAGTCTCCTCTCGCAGTAAAGGTACGCCTGAAAGAAGAGAGGGAGGGGGGCGGCGGCTCTGCGGCGATACCTCCCGGAAACTGAACGACTAAGGACTTGGAGGATTCGGCCACGTTGAATGATTCACCGGGATGCCCTTATTGCCCTCCAACTCTTTACAATTTACCTGCACAACTTTTTAGTCCCGGTCTTCCACCTGCAACTCGCCGCCGCTAGATTTCCTGCTCCGCGTGGTTGGCCCGCCGTCGCAGATCCTTCAATTCCCGCAGTAAATGCTCACCTCCTTCCGAATCGGAAAACTCTCGCGATCTAGCTGCCCGAAGTCGAAGCCGGAGACGACCATTCCTCTCTCTCTCCTCTCTCCTTCATGTCCAACCTGGCTGTGTGCGTCCCCCTTCCCTATCTCTCCTTCCTCTCCATCGACGCCCAGCCCCTCTTCCCCCCTCCCTCTCCTTCTCCCCCACCACTGGTCCGTCTGCACAGCGCCATGGATCTCGCCTTCCACGCTTGTGGGCGACTGTCCGCCGAAAATTCCCCCGAAAACAGTACGGAAATCCGTTTTTATACCTGCCCCACGTGGCGGGGGGCATAATTTATCTGATACCCCCTTATTTTATCTTATATCAATAAAACCTCTTCTTCTCGATAATAACATCATCATCTTACTCTGTTCGGGCCTGGCCCACTCCACCGAACCCTATACTCATCGACATTTGAAGGAGCATGTTCCCACTCACTACACGACAAAGTATGCCGTTTATCTGAGAGTCGATCTCCTTTTTTGCCATATTTAATTGTTATATTATATTTTTTAGGATATTCGGAGCGATAAAGTCGTGTTTGACTTCCTTTCTCCAGTCATTTGCTATAATACTCTTCGGAAATTCTAACGAAAAACGATGGCGGCGAATTGAAATTTATACAACTATCCCCCGTTATTTAATAAACGTCCTTCCTGAGATCGCGACTCCCCTCCCCACCAAAGTCAACGAGAAAATGCGGCGGTCAACGTATTACTGAAGAAAGTGGGACCCGTCGAAAAGTCTATTACCACGAGCTAATCCCTCTCTCTCTCTCTCTCTCTCTCTCATTCCAAGACGCTGGGCACGGCATAGAAGCGGAGATCCAGGCATTTCTGGGGCCCACTCTGTGACGCGAAAAACGATTTTTTTTTATAAAAAATAATATCTGTAATGTTTTCTTTATTTATTAAAATAAACGTTGTCGGGGCCAAGATAAATTATTACGGGTTTAACTTTAGACTAATTTATATACAAATATAAAACCAGCATAATTTGCGCCGGTGGCAACATAAATAAATAATATTTTAAATACTTTTACATGTGATTCCGTGGACCGAGCTTCAAAAGGGTCCCCTTTTGGGCCTCGTGGCCCTTGGAAAAGGACTTCAATTGGCCTGCATGATTAGGGCCCAGCCCATTTGGTGCCCTAATGGACCTAAAGAAGAGAGAGAGGGATTATTATTATTATTATTATTATTAAATGTAAAGTGTATCACAATTTGAGGTAGATGAGGGGCTAAAACAAAATTGAAGCGGTTTATGAGGGTGGGGCTAAAATAAATAATCGTAGTTTTTTTTTTTCTTGGTGGGGAGGGTGGGGAGTTGGCAAGGAAGAGTCCCATGCTCGGAGTGCCAAATCCGGTAGAGTTGCGGTGAGACGAGGTTCTCGTCCCCTTCGAGGTATACAGAGTGAGTACGCTTAATCATCGTCTCTTCTCGTAGCCTCCCTCTTGCTTTATCCAGCTGTTGTCTGATCGGTTTCTCAGATTTCCGAAGTGCATTTGATGTTTCGTTTCTAAATTTTCTTCGAACACTCGCATACGAATGTCTCGCGCATTCCGTTCGATCCTTTCGCGTCTATCTATGTTCGGAAATGATTTCGTTTACCTATTTCTCCAACCTCATTATTTTCTCAGTCGATGATCGTAGGATAGGAAGAGACCGACCTCACAGATGCAATTTTCTATATCCGAGCAACTTTAGGAAATATAATCGCTTCTTTAATTTATCTAAAGTTATACTGTTGACGCAGAGGATGTCGGCTCTTCTGTTTTTCCGATCACGAGATGTTTCTTTTCCTGTTAACCACTGTATGCTCTTAGTATACACTCGTTTTACGTAAAAATCGAGAAAATTTCTTCGTCCACATTTATTGGCGCAAACATTAAATTTTTTGGGAACAGTTTGAATCTGGGGGCTATCTCATACTCGGTGCACAATTGTGTTGAAGATCCATCTGACAAACACTTATTTATGTTTGAAATGATATTTAAGATGAAAAATACGGTGGACCAATTTATGTCCGTAACTGAATCAAGCATTGGCAAAGTCCGGCACAATTTTGGGCCTAGCAGCTGGAAACCTTTTCTTCCAAAGGGATTTTCAAATTTCGAAATCCATCATATTGTGTCTGGAATATTAGGAGTGGCAATTGGAGTGGCGGGTTTGCTTCTATCCCTAAGAGATGGCAAGGTCCTCTATCTTCAAGTACCATGGACAGCAGGGCAAAGAGCGTTATCAAAGGTGGAGTACACAGTAGCTGGACTCCAGAATCTCGGGAATAATTGTTTTCTCAATGTAGTTCTTCAGGTATGGTTTCTCGCGTAATTGGAGCTAATTTTATTTTTTTCCTATGTATGAGAATTTTTTTTGCCATCACTAACTTCACCCTGTACTGACATAGAACTACAGAGGCAACCAATTTTCTTTTACAGCAACCGAAATATCATATTGTTTCCCACCATTTTAGAATCAGTGTCTAGGGCTTTCACGAGCTGAGTTGGGGATTTTTTCCTGAGGGCCAATAAACTCTGCTTCTATCGTTATTGGATCAAGTTCGGAAAGCTGAGTTTTGTGATCTTTAAAACTCTTTTAATTTCGATAAATTTTCTTGCTTAAATTTATAGACATGATAAGTTTTTTTCCATTCTATTAATGGACATGTTGGGCATAGTTTTCACGGGCTTTTATGTTACTTCTGGTCTCCACTTTCTTTGGTTCTCGTACAAGGTTTACCACATTGTGATGTAGCCTTTTTTTTGGAAAATTTTGTCAGCAAATTGTTTGCATTATCTGCTCAAGGTTTTAAATTACACGATTTACAATGCTATTTGATGTATTCTCCAAGAGATTGCTGAATTCAATTTGGTGCATCTGGTCAGGCACTGGCTAGCTGTGGATCATTTCGTTTCTTTCTCAGAAATACACTTGAGGCTGATGATGTTGAAATAGAGGAAAGAGCTGAGAAATTTCCGTTAAGTGTAGCTTTAGTTTTTTTGTTGGAAGGTATGGTTCTTTCTCAGCATTGCGAAAAGATTCATTCTGATTTGTTTTCTGATGAACTTGTTGTAGTCTCGAGCGTAAACTATGAATGACCGTAAGAGAATATCACGAATAAGAGTTATTGCAAGTCTGCACAGTCCAAATGGATTTTGATATTTTTTCAATAAAAAATTACGGTCAAGAAACCAAGATCTTGAATTATGCCTTTTACGACCAGATTCTCTGTTGTTCTCCTTAAAAAATGATACGAACTTATGATTCGACTCCATATTTGCTAGTTCTTGTATGGTCTATCCTATTCTTTTCTCTCTGATTCTATTTAGTTTCTTTTGACAAACCTTGGCCTGCCAGGTGTCTTCATGTGTTTAGGCCTACAGGACAGACCCATGTCTTGCGTCATAATGAGATTGTCTATTGGGGTTGAGTTGGACTTGAGTTTTTATTCTGCTGCTAAATCTCACGCTGATTTACTCTTTCCGAAATTTATTCATTATTTTTGTTTTTTGCAGAACTCTGTACTGTTCGTGAAAAAAGAATTGTGCTTAGTCCACGAAAAGTGATGCTTGCTATGAGTTCCTATGTCTCTAATTTTAATCTATCAAGACAGCAGGTTCTTCTCATATGGATTTTTTCTCGAGATATTTTATTTTACTTGTTTATTTTTTCCTATACTGTGTATCTTTTCGTCTTCATTGTCATCTTCTTGTGGAACGAAGTAATAGATCTATACATTCTAATCCATTTTTTTTATAGGATGCAGCTGAGGCGTTCCTCCTTCTTTTGTCTTCTTTGGAAGAGGAACTCTTGCAACGTTATGTGCCTCCTTGCGGTTCTCTAATGGACGTTTCTGCTTTCTCTTGCAAGATTTCTTCTCCAAAGTTGTGCAGGGAAGAGAAAAGTGAGTGCCAGCGCTGGCAACGGTACCTTTTTGGTCAATTTGATGGAATCGTTGGGAGCATCCTTACTTGTAGGAGTTGCTCATCTCAGGTGAGGTCTTCAGTTCACTTCTCCGAGTTTATAATCCCAAGAAACAACCTGTTCAGTTTCATGGTCATTGCATGTTCAAAGTCGTGTGGTCAGTCATACATAAAGTGTATGGATGCAAGAATGCACTATTTTACTATTAGTAAGAAATCTTGTCTCCTTCTATTGGTCTTATTTCCTCGTTTTGGCCATATTTCTTGGCCCCAGTTGTTTATTTTCGTGTCATCTGCTTCTTCATCACTTCTACATTTTATGAATCAATTGTCAAATTTTCCATTATATCATTTGTTAAGATTATTATGAAAAATATTTTGCTCCTCGTGGATTTGACATAACTCCGGGAGTAGCCAAAATGATGTCTGAAAGTATAATCGTCACTGATCCTTGTCATGAGAGAAGAGTTGGTTTTTTTAGAGGGATGCAGCTAGAATCACAGTTGGATGCTTCGTTCAGTCTACGACCAGATGGGTGTTCTATTTATGCTTGCTCTACTTATGGTCTCAATTACTGCCGCACTGTGTGTACTTGGAAAGATAGAACAAGGATGTCAGGATGGCACTTAGATGTCCTTGTCCGAATCAATCTCTCCTCTTTTCTTGTTGCCAATGATGTGTAATCTTACGAGACGACGTCTCCCGCTTAGATGGCAGCATAATCTATTCTGGAAGTGATAATATACGGGACCATTTCCATGTGACACGACATCTTCAAACGTCTAATGTGACCCTGTTCAATCCAAGAAGTTCAGTGTGGATCTGGGGACTCAAAGAACCAGGATGCCGGTGGTGGCTGGATTGATTTAATTGTTTCATCTACTGAGAAGGATATTGTCGTCATGTTGTAGAGAAGGAAGTGATGGCACTGGTGTTGGCGAGGAAGGCCATGGTGATCTAGTGACGAGGGGAACCAGGATGCCTTGAGCTGCATTGACGAGGGGAAGGAGTGGTTATGGAAGTGACAGCACGGATGCCATTATGAACAGAGATAGAATATGAGAAAGAGGAAGAGTTAGGAATTCCTGCCAGTACTTGGCCGAGACAGGAGGAAGCCAAACGGCATATAAATACAAAGGTGTAGCAGCCAACGAATATTCTGCTGTGTGAGTAACTCTATAATTGATTGCTGATGCTTACCCAGTGCTTAGACAAACACAAAAGACGAGAACGTTACCAGATTGTAGAGTTCAATGGTGGGCAGAGAATGCAACTATTCCTTGAGAAGAACATGCAATGAACATTGCACGTTCTCTGTTTCGCGAATTTCCTGATAAATAATGGCGAGTTATTAGTGGCATGGTAGCATCTCAGCTTGTTCACTGGTATTCAATTGCTCCTCCTGGGATCAGTTTCCTCTACGATGAAGCACTGGAATTCTAGTGTCTCATAATAGAAAGACCAATAGGATCGTATGATCAAATTAGCTTGCACTTTTCAAACCCATATAAACCTTGATTTTTTTTTAATTGACTTTAGGCCCTAGTTCTGATTTTTTTCACCTTATCCTCAGCATTCTTTATATAGTATTATTCTACCATGCTGACTTTATTCTTATTATGTTCACAAGAGGGTCGTGCTGCATTTTTTTCAACTCGACAATGCTTGAGATTTCCTTTTCACTGCATTTTCTCTTCACAGCTATCCTTGGACTTCCAGTTTTTCCGTTGCCTGCACATTGCGCCAGTACTGGATAGAAATGGAGCAGTGGTACGATTGCTGGGTTTACATCTTTTTCTAAGCACTGCATTTTCCCCAATTTAATTTAGCTTTTCTCTCCTATGTTGGGGGGGGGATCGTGGTAGAAGGATAGCTGCACCTTGGAAGACTGCCTCAAATCCTTCACCACGACAGAGAGCCTAGAGAGCTATTGCTGCTACCGATGCTCCCATATCAAGGCACTGAAATATCTGTGCCTTAGACCAGAGGAAAATAAGGTATCTATTTTGGTGCTTTCTCATGATGGTTTTATACACGGTTGGTCATGGCTCAAACCCATATCCTCTACCGCCAAGGTGAAAATAGAGCGCATTGGTCAATGTGTCAAGTTTGACTCCTGCGATTGCCGGAGTCTCTTCACTCGAGATGGTCCGTCATGGCCAACGGGTTCCTCAAATGCATCAAAGCGGCTCGTAATTGCCCGCTGCCCAAAGGTAGAATTCTCCCACAATATTCCTCTCAGCAGCATCCAAGCAGTTCTGACGGCTCCACTTCAGATTTTGTGCGTTCATCTGCAGCGAGCTGCCATGGGTTTATCCGGTGAAATGATAAAAGTTCAGGCACGCTCGATTCTCTCTCTCTCTCTCTCTCTCTCTCTCTCTCGCTCTCTCTCTCTCTTTCTCTTACTCGTGATGCAGATTAGTTTCATTCAGCTGGCTTATGTACACGCGTACTGCTTTGACTGCAGGGCCATGTGTCATTTCCTCTGGTTCTGGACCTCTTTCCATTCACGGCAGCTGCAAAGGACGTGGAGCTAGGGACCTCTGGGGAGACAATTCTGGAACGAGCTGAGAAACATCAAGCGTCGGCCTTTGTGGGGCATCATCTTGGTATGCAGCAATGGCTGAGAGCATTGCCTTGTTTGGATAACCTCAACGGAGGGGATTTTTCTGGTGAATCCCATACTGAAAATGGTGGATTGAAGCCCAGAGATGCATCAATGAGGGAGAGAGATCCTTCTGAGGCGCCTTGCTCTTGGTCTCTTGAAAAGGTCAGTTGACTTCCTCTTACAGACCGAAGTTGACTTTGCCATCTGTCAGATTTCTACCGTCCTTACATAATATATTCATTCTGTTCATGCATGATGCATCAGCCGCAAGGCTTCTTAGATAGATGTATAGAACAGCCATGTCGGGGAGGAGAATCTCCTGTACTGTGGTTTCTCTCTCTTTCCGCTCAAGATCGCCCTTGGATAATAAAATTGATTTAAATGAATAATTACTCTGGGTATTGGTTCACTGGTTGCATGATGGTTCCTAGCTGGGTTCTTCTCAGAAGCCCAGAGCGGGTTTTCTCATTCGCGTTGACTTCCCCATAGTCCTCACATTGCAACCCATCTCTTCATCTCTCTCTCTCTCTCTCTCTCTCTCTCTCTCTCTCTCTCTCTCTCTCAGATAGTTGACTTCCCCTGTGCATGGTGTTATGGAGGTCTAATTGTGCAGAACCCATTACATAAGTGATCATATTACATTTATATACTCTTTTTATTCACATTTTCCTCGTTGTTTCCCCTTCTCCCGCAGGCCCCTTCATCGAGCTCCATCCTCCGCCTCATCTCTGTCGTGGAGCACTACGGCGGCTCTGGAGGTGGGCACTATGCAGTTTACAGAAAACTGACAGTTGACCCTCACGAGGCGGGCCCCATGGTGTGGACCCAGGGTCAACCTAGTCAATGGTTCTACATATCCGACCACAGAGTGTCCCCGGTCTCCGAAGAGGCTGTTCTCGGAGCAGAGGCCAGCCTCCTATTCTACGAGAGAGTCAACGCGTTGACTCCGTGATGGATGGTGAGGATCCCTCTGTAGCCGTTCAGATCTTATGGCTTCTTTCGGTCATCTCTTCAGGTAAATGCTGAATTGAGAAAATTTAATTCTCCGGTTTTGTCCTGGAAGGTCGGATCAGCCCCTTTTACGGCATTTTACGTGGTGGATTCACAGGGACCTGACAAATGGGCTTGGCCCGACCAAGCATGGCCCGGCCCGCCCACCCTAGCATACATCATGTTCTAGGATTTTCGGGTTTCCGGGCCAGGCCTGTTAATTTCGGGCTTTATTGGGCTCTCGTGGGTTTCAAGGGCGGCCCATTTACGCGCCTTTATTAAAATTCCAAATTCCCGGTAAACGCCCAAGCGAGAAGTCAAGAAACGGCGGCCGTTATGCGCCTTTCAGGCGTGACTCCACCCGCTCGGGCCCGGCCCTGGCCCGTCCGGCGGGTTCCCCTTCAGGACTGTGGCTTGTCTAAAGTGGGCCGGGCCGGGTTGGGCTTCCTGGGTCCAGGCCCGGTCAACAAACGACACCCCAGGGTCCTTATCCTCTGCACTAGGTCATGTGGCGGGAAAGATGGAACACCTGGATCTGTGGGGCCGGCGGCGCGCTAGTTGTCTGCCTATGTTATATTCCAGACTCTGACTCATCAATATTTTATGGATGGCGTCATCACTAGAACCTTCCACCCAACGAATCTATAAAATATTAATTAATTATCCTGAATTTAACCAGCCTGGTTCTTCTTCTTCTCGTCCCTCGGGTTCCAACGGCCGCCTATTCCCCGGGCCACCCAGCTCTGAAGAGAGAGAGAGAGGAGGTGGCGAATTCGGACGGATCTATGGCGATGTATGGGACGGGGGAGGAGGAGGGGGGCCGAGGTCCGAGGGCTCCAGTAGCGGGGCCGACGAACTCCATGGTGTCGCCGCTCCTTAATGATCTCTACCAGTTCAGCATGGCTTACGCCTACTGGAAGGCCGGGAAGCACAAAGAACGCGCCGTGTGAGTGAGACTAGTCCCACTGCCCTGAGGCCTTCCCGCACGGAAGTTGATTGAGGTTAACCGGAGCTGATTGGGGTTGGGGAGAACCTCCGTTCGTTGAGTGGGGCACTGCTTTTTCAGTATCGTGGTTAGGACTGGGGGAGACTGTATCGGAGTTCTTCTTTTCTTTAATTTTCTACCTTCCCTTGTGTTCTTGGAGATCTTTCGGAAAGAATGTGGCCTGTTATCGTTCTCGATTTCCACTCGCCGTCTGCTCGAATGGGCGACCTGTTTCCTCCTTTGACGGGATATTTGATGTCTTCTCAGGTTTGATTTGTTCTTCCGGAGGAATCCATTCGGGGGTGAGTACACCATTTTTGGCGGTCTCGATGAATGTATCCGTTTTATTGCCAATTTCAAAATCGACGATGAGCAGATCTCATTCTTGCGCTCTGTAATGCCAAATTGTGAGGTAAACTCATTATTCTTTCTCGAGCACTTGTTCTTTCCTTGTACATTCATGTAGTCTTAATAATTCTTGCTATTGTTCTCCCCGAAGACATGGGCGAGATAAAGGGCTATGGAACAGAAATAGCTGTCTTGGAACTCAGCAGTTTATTCCAACTGTCACTTGGACTTTGACAAAGATGTAATTTTTCTGACTGTTAATTTTCCGGTGGTCAGGCAAAATTATAAACACTCGATTCCCAGGATAAAATCTGAACTTGTTCTTAAGATCCATGCAAGCAGAAGTTTGCGTGGGCATAGAATTGTCTGTGAAATATGGATGCTAACAGTCATGCAGTAATAGGGGAAGAAGAAAGATAAATCGGGTAGTTAAAGAAGGTAGGATTCACCAACTGAGCTAAAAAATTCGCATAAAAGCAAAATAAGCCGAAAAGGGGAAAAAGCCACCCAAGCCTACAGTTTAAACTTTACTTATTTTCCGTTAGTAATATTTGAGTTGGATGTTGTAGTCTCCCCTAGCCTGCGCATGGATTTGCTCCTTTTCTGTGGAATGCAGAGTGCGGGCATCTATATAGACTTCTGGCTGAGGCACTTTCCATACAATTCGAAGCAAATCTGCTACTATTATGATGTCAACAAAGTTAAAGAAAACAGGTGTGTGATTTTAGTTTTATTTTTATGTGAAGGACTAGAGCAAGATGAATATGCTTGATCTCTTGCAAGAGGGAGAAATAAATATAGCTCGTTGTGCACAAACATGCATACAGTTTCAGTTTCTTTAAAGAAAATCATGGGCTGACAACTAAAGTGAGCTTTATTTTTCAAGTACTTGACCTGCCAGACTAGTCTTTTCTTTTCTCTGGGAAAAAGTGATAATGCTGTTTACTTTGTACCGGGCTAATTCAAAAATATTTGGATTGGTATGCTTATGTAATTGTTCTAGCACAAACAATCTCACCAACGATGACCAGTTCCTGTTTTACTACCTTCTCCAGATCATTCCATGACGTTATACCTCATTTTGTCCCAGATGTGTAATTCCATGACGATGACCATTGATGACTGAAAGTTTTCTTCTCGCAGAATGCATTCTTCGATTATCTTAGGACTATTGATTGCTGTGATGTTGAGGTTTATGCTATTCCTGAAGGCTCTGTTGTTTTCCCCAAGATCCCATTACTGAGAGTTGAAGGACCAGTTGCTGTGAGTATTATTCTCTGGTCTTTGCTGAGTCCATGCCCAGTGTCTGAATTTTTTCATGGCGCTTCTCTACATCATGTTTAATGTTTAGCTACCATCTATTTTCATTTCGCATACAGGTGGTTCAACTTCTCGAAACTCCATTTGTAAATCTTGTGAATTTTGCTTCACTTCTGACTACAAATGCTGCAAGACATCGTCTTGTTGCGGGAAAATCCAAACTTCTACTTGAGTTTGGGCTTCGACGGGCTCAGGTGGGACGTTTTAAATCCCTAATAGCCCTGAAATGCTCTCTTGACGTGCATGTTAATAGCCCTGACTATATTTAATACATAGGGACCTGATGGTGGAATAAGTGCATCGAAATATTGCTACATGGGTGGATTTGATGCAACGAGGTAATTTACTGATTTCTGCGCACCCGGGATTCTGCCATTTCACGGTGTTATCGATTTTTTTTTTAGTTTTAGTAAAAAAATACGTCTTGAATCTACAGCACAGTCAAGTGACTAATCAAAGTATTTCCTTGTCGAAAATTTCCAGCAAACTTATTTTATTATACTTTTTCCCTGGCATCTCATGACCATCCTCATTCGAAATCTGTACTTCATCTTTTTGTAGCTAAATGGCTACCTGTTTGTGTTTGTAATATTATAAACTCTGGTCAAGTTTGTATCTTGTTTCTATTCGAATTTATAGGGTGAAAGTGAAGATTATTCCAACTTGTAACATAATATGCCCTTTTAGAATCACAGTATTTTGCCCCGTTTATACTATTCCTCCCCTTGTAATTAAATGTGTATTCGTACTCAATTGACAGCAATGTTGCGGCTGGAAGACTATTCGGAATACCACTTCGTGGAACTCATTCTCATGCCTTTGTTAGCTCATTTATGGTAGGCATTTACTATCGCTACTTTAAATATGCATCATCAATATTCTTCTTCATTATGATTCTTTCACTGCGACTGTAACTTTCCTGTGTTAATTGTTTTTTATGGTTTTGCCCGTTTTCCACTTTTACCTGAAGGGTTATGCAGTTGATTATTGGATAGCCTTTTATTTCTTTTCAGAAAGCTTTAATGTAAGTCCTCACTAGATAGAACCAATAGATTTCTGCAAGTTACAAAATAGTGGAAGTTGGAAAAAAAAACTGTGCTTTGATCACCTGATGGCCATTTAATCTCTATGTTTAGTGTGTGATTTGGGTTTAAATCCCCTTCAAGCTGTAGTTTTTCGCATGTGCAGTCCGTTCCTTATGCTCCATAATACAACTTTAAGTGTAATGCAGTTGTAAAGCAGTAAGGTGTTACATTTTTTATCTGTTTTCAAGGGAGACATTGCTCATTTTATTTTAGTTAACGGGGAATGCAAGAACTTGCATCTATCAGGAAATCCCGACCCAAACCCCAACGTGGAATACATAATTTGAAAGGCAAAGCTGCTTATGCGATATGGGAAATTTGGGATACCCCTTTCTCCGCTGTTCCAGATGCTTATAAATTTTGGAAATTATTTTTTGTTCTTAGAGGATGTGATGAGGTTTGGATAGCAGATGGGCCGTAACAAAGCTAGTAAGGGAGTTGGTGGAGGAGAATGGGGCTGCATGTTGAACGAATCTAATTCTTTTTCAGATATTTGGAGTGAACAATGTCCCGTGGGATGACAAAAGGCGAAGAAAACATCTGAGGAAACTGATTCAAATTAACACAATGTGGCTCCTTCATTTTATTTTAATATGGTATCTTTTTGGAATGAGTTGGGAGTAGGAATTTTAGTTGAAGTAGAGTATGATGAATGTGTATTTTTTATGACCTTTCAATATTATCGATAATTAGTGTGATCTGTATTTCGATTTTCCTCTTACTGCATATTTACTTTTTTTTTCTCTTGTTTTGGAGATTTATGCAAGATAATTTTAGATTATAAAGAAATTATGAGTCAGGTGTATCGAAGAATTGCAAGTTCCAGTAAAAAAATTCTCTAGATATTTGGTGGATAATATATTTGTTCGAATGTGTAAATGAATTTATAAACATTAGATTGGAATTGGTTGATCATGGCCCAGTAGGAAGTGGGTCGCATGCGAAAACAAAATTAGGAAAGGGCGCCCCACATTAATCTGCATTCTCTGCATCACTCCATGATTAGAAATTTATGCTAGATGGGGCTATTCTGCTGATGCAATCTTATCAGTTTTGAACTCTGTTACCCTTTCCTGATTTTGTTTTCATCCACGATCCACTTCATGGAGAAGCTCCTTGCATCAGTCTGCATTGGAGTATATTACCAATATCTTGTTGTAGTGAACCCTGATCTTCAAGATGTTTTTTCTACACAGACATAATCAATGAGAAATATTTACTTTCTGGTGGAAGGTCAATGATCGAAACTCTTCCCTCATGCCTTTGCATATGTCTGCCTGGGGGAGTATGCTTTTTTGCTGTAGTATAAAGTTGACGTCAAATGCTCCCTGGGATCATTTCCAAAATGTTTGTAACTTATTTTGAATGATCTATTGAATGCTTCGTATAAGCATCTATTGGAATTCTGTCTCCCGTTAGACAATGCTCTTATACTGGTTTTTTCTCTCTCTCAATAAATTTGATGTGACTACAAATTTTGCTTGCGATCATCATATTTTTTGTTTTTATTTAAATCATTTTTCACAAAAAAAACCATTGGACTAGTAGTTGGATGACATAACATGGAATTTGTGTTCCACCTTCTGATCTAAAGCAATATTATGCAGAGCATGGATGAGATCGTAGACAAGACCCTTAAAAGTCCTGATGGATCCCGTACTTGTGAAGATTTTGTTAGTTTGGTACAAAACTGGTTCAGCAAGCTTCAAGTAAGTGATGGATCAATTGCTATCATTAAGAGAATATACTTCACTGATATTAGTACGTTCCTTTGTAATTTGTGGATAATATTCAGAATCTGCTTCAATTCTTATTCAAAGGAAATTTTGTTGGTCAAGATTTCCTGTCTTTTACATTGTTGAGTATGATGGATCCGATCCATTTCCATGAGTTATTCGTGCTTGTCATAAACGTTCACCAATAAAGTGATGTTCTCCATTCGCACAGTAAACTACTTTATTGTGGACATCTGCCTTTTGGTACCTTTACATACCATTCTAACTGATAATACTTGTGAAAACAAGACTCTATTTGTTTTTTGGGCAGCTTCTGAACCAACCCACACCTACTTGTGAGACTCAGTTGCCTTTTTGTGGTTTCTGAAAGACGTGCTGAACAAATTGCGTTGGAATCCTTGATTTTATTCCAAACATTGAGCCTTTCAGTCTCGCTAGTTTATGAAAAAATTGCTTAGTGGCTTTTGGTGGCTCATACTATCTCATCTCTTGAGAGCCTTTTTTTAACCGGATATGGGAAGGATATTTGTGTTTTTTTTTTTAGTTTGAGAAGGCAGCATATAATGGTTGTAAATAAATAAAAAATATATCATATCCTTAGTGATAGTAAATTTTTTGGCATGTATGATCATATATTGTATAACCTGATTTCAAGGTGCAGATAAGTTAGCTATAATTTCTGATGGCCAGTATTTCAAGGTGCGGGTAGGTCTTCTTTTCCACTGTGGTTTCTTGTAATTCTTGAATCCACGCATGCTCTCTGTTGACGTGCGTTGTGCATAACAGTTTTTTTGTTACATCACCGCCCTGTTGTTGGTATTTTTATGTATAACCTCGTTGTGCAAATATGCCTATATTAGAGAATATTTACGCCTTTATGAAAGTGTGTATTTTTAGTTCTGAAAATATTTATTTCTCTGTTATGCATTTATTCTTTAGTGGACAGATAAATTTCGAGGAATTTTTGGTGAGACTAATCAAAGTGAGCTGGCAGCATTCACCTCTTATGCATTGGCATTCCCTGATAATTTCCTAGCCCTTGTAGACACCTACGATGTAAGTTTTTCTATCAACAACCGAATTTGTGTTTCTTACATCATTAATGATGGATTTGTCACTTAAACGGCCTTCAGTTTATGACTTACTTAATGGGCTTAGAACTTGACCATAATTAGTTATGTCGTCACTCTTATTTCCGATGGCTAAGCCTTCTAGTTTCTCCGAATTTCATATCCATCATCATAGGAATTTCTTGCTTGAAATCAGAAAAGGAAATTTTTAATAGTTATGGCTTGTACTCTGCAATGACTCTAGTACGTGAGGCCTTAAGCAGTCTCTGTTATCTTGCTTTCATGCAAAAGGAAGGCGGATTGGGATAATTACACTATTATTGGGATTTGTTATGGAGACAGATAAATCAACATCTAAAGCTATGGTTTGACGTACAAACGTAAAAAAATATAACAATAATGATATATATTAGTCAAAACAATCTTATTCAGGGAAGGTGCTTTAAACTTAATCCAGTTATGTAGTATGGAGCAGATGACCAGTTATCCAGTTATGGCTTGATGTTTTCTTTTTACTGAGTTTAATGCGTCGAACCATTTTTTTGCTTGATTTTGTCGGAAATATTCAGATTTATGAAGAATATAATTTTTTATCTTTTTTTTTTATGTGACTCGCTGGCTATGAACGGATGTTAAAAATAGTGGTCATATTCCAAAGAAAAGGTGCCATGAGAAAGCCATTTGCCCCTATAGATCATAAGTGACATGTTATCGTGCCTTTCTACTATATGGCCTTTGTTGATTTAATTTGATTCGGTGATCTTGGCCCAAGTTACCTGAAGTGAATCGTTGTTTCTTCATGTTAGAAGGAGATTCTAAGCTAGAAAGTGGTGTTTATCACCCACTATAAGGGTTCATCTGACGCTCTTTATACCAGGTTATGAAGAGCGGGATCCCTAATTTCTGTGCTGTAGCCTTAGCACTTAACGACATGGGGTAAGTTCCTAGGCTTCTGATTTTCCAAGAAATATCTCATCGTTCGTTTTTATTATTATTATTTGTACTTTTCTGGGCCGCAGCTTTCCAAGTCAAATTTCCTTCTCTTTTTGTTTTTTCGGCTTCAGTTTTTTTTCATGGTTGTTTATTTTTATGATTTATTACCAACTTAGGAAGCATATATATGCTTCTGTAACACCCCGCCGTGCTGAATTATGCACAAACAGGTATAAAGCCCGTGGAATAAGGTTGGATTCTGGTGATCTGGCATATCAGTCCATCGAGGGTCGGAAAATATTTTGTGAGATAGAGAAGAAATTCTCTGTGCCTGATTTCGGGAAAATGATCATCACTGCCAGCAATGACCTCAATGAAGAAACTCTCGATGCATTGAACAAGCAGGTGAGAAACTTGCAGGGCCAATAAAGCATTTCGAGCAGCTATATGTCTAAAAGTAATAAAGTGTGAAAATTTATGTTTTCAAAGGATTTTAGTTATTTATTTATTTATTTATTTTCTTTTATTGGAAGGGACATGAGGTAGATGCTTTTGGCATTGGCACATATCTGGTGACCTGCTATGCGCAAGCAGCTCTGGGCTGTGTTTTCAAGCTGGTGGAGATCAATAAGCAGCCACGCATGAAGCTCTCGGAGGACGTCTCCAAGGTCAGCCTCGTCTTAAACTCATCCTCCTGGTTTCCAATGGCGGCCCATCTCAGAGTTTTCTCTTCTCAGGTTTCCATCCCGTGTAAGAAGCAAATCTACAGATTGTACGGAAGAGAAGGGTACCCATTGGTCGACATCATGACCGGAGTAAATGAACCACCTCCCAAGGTATGCGAATAGAGAAATTAATGGGCATAATTGATTAATCTCTCTCTCTCTCTCTCTCTCTCTCTCTCTCTCTCTCTCTCTCTCTCTCTCTCTCTCTCTGTCTGGTCGATTAGCTCAGAAATATAATGGCATTAAATTTACCAATGTTGATTTGCAGGTAGCAGAACGGATCCTGTGTCGCCATCCATTCAATGAATCCAAGAGGGCGTATGTTGTGCCTCAGCGGATTGAAGAGCTCTTGAAGTGTTATTGGCCAGGGGATTCACGTGAGTACCTGCTCGCCTTTTTTTCACAATTTACCAAGTTTTCTTTGAGCACTAATATTTATTGATCTACATGTCTCTATATTTTTACTAAACCCGGTGAATCGATACTCATTTCCATAATCACACGATTTATTTATTTATTTATTTATTATAATTAGGGACTACTCTGGAAAATTATTTTCTCTAGGATTCTCAACCCAATAAACTCCAAAATTTTACTTACGTGCTTGGACACAACCAGAACTTACTAATTCCCTCACATTATCCAGTTTCTGCAGAGAATCCATGGTATTCTGTTTCCTTATAAATACACTCACATATATACTCCTGTTAAATTATTTGCATTATAGTATTTTAGAATTTAATTATTAATATAATGTGTGTGTGTGTGTGTCTGTGCATATTCCAGTTATCAGCATCCGGTAGAGATTTTTTTCCCCTTCTTAACTGACATTAATATTATTTCCTACTTATGTCTGTATGGATATATATATATATATATGTATATATATATATATTCCAAGTTCTCTGGATTGGGTGGAGATATTTGGCTACGAATGTGAATTACTGGGAGAAATTTTCCTAGTTAATTGACATGATTTTTTTCCATTACGAAGATAAAACCAGAGAAGAGCTGCCCTCTCTCCAGAAGATCAGAGAGCGCTGCATTCTGCAGCTGAGCCAGATGCGTCCTGATCACGTGAGGAGACTGAACCCCACGCCCTACAAAGTCGGTGCCCCACTTCCCTCTCTCTCCTGCCCTCCTCTGCTGGTTGCAGTAATTAACAATGTTTCTCTCTCTTACGTCAGGTGAGCGTCAGCGCGAAGCTGTACGATTTTATTCATTTCCTCTGGCTCAGCGAGGCGCCGGTCGGGGAGCTTCAGTAAGCCCCAGCGAAACCAGTCGGTGGGGATGGTGACGTGGCTCTCCCTGGATCGTCCGATTATAGAAAATGTTTTCCTCTTTTTTGCCGAAGCTTTTTTTCTATTCTTTTCTCCGAGATCATGGGACCTCCTTCCGGGCCGGGCTTCGGGCCGACTCCGAGGGATCCGCTTCTCCGCTCCCCGACGCGGTACCTTTATTCCCCGATACGCTTACTGGGCCGTCATCTGACATCGCCCGGGCCACACCGGCAGAGGCTGTCGTGGAGGAAGAGAGGGCCCACCGACTCAGCGGCAGTGGAATTATTGGACCACAAAGCAGGAGCCAGATGGGCCGTCGGCAGCAGCTATCGGGCCCATTATTCGTACCAGAGCCCAGGTCGGCACACGGCCCATGTCAGCATTCGGAATTTTAAATACATTCCTACCAAATAAAATATAAAACAGAATGTACGTCGCCATATAATAATTGTAGATACGGTCCATATAATTCTACCTATTACTAACCTGCCCCACTCTTGGAAACGGGTCAAAAGTTTAGACCTTTATGTCACAGAGAGAGAGAGAGAGAGAGGGAGGTTGGGGCGGCCATGTGGGTACTTAACTGGGTCCAAAATTTATGGGTCAAAAGCCCATCAGAGGGACCCCCACTGTACGGACTTTAAATTGGGCCGGGCGGAAACTCTGAAGGGTCGGGCTGGCAGGCCCGACAGAGCAGTATGTACTTTTTCGAATAAACTGCAGGGTTGAAAAGGTGTATATTATTTAATTATTTAATGGAAGCAATAGGATTTCAACGTGCGACGGCGGTCTGTCAATAAATCAGATTACATTCACCGGGCCCCACGTACGCGGTATGCTCGGGCGGGGGGGGGGGGGGCACGGAAGACACGGACAGTAGTGACCTGGCATGACTATGGACACCGCTCTGTGCCGTCCCGCTTCCACCGTCTCCTCACATCAGAATGTCCGTAGCAGCGTTTTCTTGTGGAAGGTAAGCTCACCGTCATCCCGCCACCACTCCCCGGCTGTCGTTATTCAGAGGGTTACATCAGCGACAGCTGCAACCTCTCTCCCTCTCTACTCTCTCTCTCTCTCGACTTCTCTCAGAGAGGGGTGTGTGGATCAATGGAGCACTGCCTCTCTCTACACTCGGCTCTTCTCCACCGCAGTAAATCCTCGGTCATCTTCTTCCTCTGTCTCGTTCCCCACTGATTCCTTTCTGAGTCGCTCATCGATGGATTCCACACACCGGAGGGAGAGAAATCTACCGTTGCATGTGGCAGGGACCGGGCTTTGATGCTTCCTCCGTTCTTCCTTCTTCAACAGGAACCCACCCAATCTGTCGGAGGTTCTTGCCATCCCCCACTGGGGAGACTTCACCGGGGGAAGGCTCTGCAACTTCTGTCGTCTGAGCTACTCAGGATAGGCCAGCCGCCATGGAAGCTCTCTCACCTTCTCCGCCCTGCCGCCTTGGCACTCCCTCTGCTGTCCGTCTGTTCGTACTCCCAATGTGAGCTGCTCTCCGAGGTGATCATCCTCGCCATTGCCGGATTGTAGGATTATCTGTCGATCCACGGATTTTTTTGCATCCGCTTGCGGCTTCCTCCACTGTTTCCCAGCTTGGAGAAGAAGGATAACCTCGAGGGTGGTAGAAACAGCAGGAGGGAGGCAATGTCGGACTACAGCTCGCCTTTCCTGAACGACCAGCTCTCCAAGCGGACGTTCATCTTTGGGCTCCGCCTGTGGGTCATCGTGGGAGTCTGCGTCGGCGCTGGCTTCGTCCTGCTCCTGTTCCTCATCTCTCTCTGGATCGTCTCCAGGCGCAACAGATCGCTCTCCCACCACTACCCCCATCAGCACCTCCCCAAGGCCTCTCCGAAGACCACCATTATCCCACTCGTCACCAAGGAGATCCAGGAAATCCGTGTCGACCCCTCCGACGCAAAATCCGCCCCCCAGATCTTCCAGACGCCCACGCCCTTCTCTGAACCGGAACAGCGCCCCCAATCGGCGGAGCGGCAGGGGTTTCTTCCGTCCCCGCAAGAACAGAGCCCAGCGGGGCGCCGGATGATACACATTGACATCGGGAAGGACCATCGGATTACGTTCCCGGAGCGAGGGAGCGGAGGCGGCGGCGGTGCCTCGTCTCACGCAAGCGGGGAGTACAGGTCGGCGGAGCAGCCGTCCATCGCCGTCCCCGAGGTCTCCCATTTGGGGTGGGGGCACTGGTACACGCTCAGGGAGCTCGAGGCGGCCACCGGTGGATTTGCAGACAACAAGGTGATTGGGGAAGGTGGGTACGGCATCGTCTACCACGGCGTCCTCGAGGACAACACTCAAATCGCCGTGAAGAATCTTCTCAACAACAGGTTGCCCTCATGTCTGGCCCTCATGCATTTGACAATCTCGGAGCAGATCCTTGCTGGATACTCTCCTTCTATACGATTTCTGTGATATTCGTCGAACTGGCTGATCCTTCTCAAACGAGAATTGCATCTACTAAATGCATTGATATCTAGTTCAAAATCAGAGTAGCTTCACTACTCTTCTTCCGCGCAATTCATGGCGGTCTGCTCCTGAATGGATTGTCCTTGCAGGGGCCAAGCAGAGAAGGAGTTTGAGGTGGAAGTGGAAGCCATTGGACGAATTCGTCACAAGAACTTGGTAAGGCTGCTTGGATACTGCGCTGAAGGGGCTCACAGGTACGCATTGCGCCACATTCTCCCTGGAGAACCAGGCTGGGATTTCTGATATTGCTCCCCATTCAACCCCCCTTTCCTTCTCCTCTTTCTGCTTGTAGGATGCTGGTATATGAGTATGTAGATAATGGAAACCTGGAACAATGGCTTCATGGGAGCCTCGGATCCACCCGCCCTCTCTCATGGGACATCCGGATGAACATCATTCTTGGAACTGCAAAAGGGTAATTTCCAAAAAGGGAAAGAGATCCCACTTTGCATTTTCTCATTTGGATGGTCTCAATGGTTGACTTAAATTCATTAAACTTTCTCCAGGCTAATGTACTTGCATGAGGGGCTTGAGCCCAAGGTCGTTCATCGTGATGTGAAGTCCAGCAACATACTTATTGACAGGCAGTGGAATCCCAAGGTATCTGATTTTGGGCTTGCGAAGCTCTTGGGCTCGGAGAAGAGCTACATCACTACCCGCGTGATGGGAACCTTTGGGTTTGTCCAGTTCTCTTTGTCTCAAGTCTTGGTTGACTTAATTTCTATGGTTGACTTAATTTGGTCAATACATCTCTCCATCCATCAGCAACCAATCTATGCTTCCACAGATATGTGGCTCCTGAATATGCGAAGACCGGGATGCTGAATGAGAAGAGCGATGTGTACAGTTTTGGGATCCTCATAATGGAGATAATTTCGGGAAGGAATCCGGTTGACTACAGCCGCCCCCCTGCAGAGGTCAGTTCTTGGTTCGGCAGTTGACTGACAAGGTTGTGCATTCGCAGCTGTTGGTCAAAGTCAATAACCCCAGTGGAGTTTTTCAGGTCAACCTTGTCGAGTGGCTCAAGAACATGGTTACTGATAGGAACTCCGAGGGTATCTTGGACCCCAGAATACCCGAGAGGCCTCCATCAAGGGCACTGAAGAAGGCTCTTTTAGTAGCACTGAAATGCGTGGATCCTGATTCTCAGAAGAGGCCGAAGATGGGGCACGTGATACATATGTTTGAAGTCGATGATTTCCCCTACAGGGATGTGAGTGTGAATCCCTACCCGTTATGGTTATTTTCCATTTAAATATTTATCTAGTGACATTTATGCAGGAGTTATCGATTTAGTTATTCTCATTAATCCTCCGGTGTTAATTTTTAGCTATTTTTCTTTATATTACTTAATTTGGGATGGATTCAGTTCTTCAATTGTTCTATGTTTCCTTGAATTTCTGACCGCAGTCTGCCCTGAATTAGAAATAAAACAGTGATATACTCATGCACTGATGGGCAATATTCTAGCAATCATCTGGCATGAAAACATTAGTTTTGTGTTCAAATTAAAATAATAATAGTAGAAATAAATAATAGTAATTAAATGAAACGGCAAGAACAATTCCTTTTGAACTGAATTATAGGAGACGACTCCTGCCCACTTTCTTGGCTACAATTTATATATTGTTCTATCAAAATAAATATTTTTTATTACTATTTTTATTTTATTTTTTATGATCATCGATGAGGCAGCCACATTCCAGTACTAATCTGGGTTGGAAACATTGAGTCTGGATCTGAATCAAGAGAGAAAACTATCATCAAAGCAGCGTATACTCGCATGATTACAGATCATCAAACTTTTTCTGCATGATCACTGATGGGCAAACCCAATTGATGTCCAGGAACGCCGAGTGACTCGTGAAGCAGGGAGAGCCCATAAAGCACACTTCCCCGACAAAGAGGCAGCTGAAGCAGGTGGCAGCAGCAGTGGTAGATATGACGACGGCAGCGTCTCTACTAGAGTTGATGGAGGAAGGGAGCTCAGTGGGTAGCTGAATCCACAGAGCATGCGCCGTTCTAAAGGTTCCTCTCACCCTTTTTTTCCATTTATTTCCCTCGAGACTATATAAATCTCCTCCTGGAATGTGTACAAAAATGGATAAATATTTTGCCTCCTATTTTTATTCATTTATTTTCCCCCTCTGAATTTCTTCAGGGAATGGGCGACCCGCACTGGAAGATCCTTCTGGGCGCCCCTTCTTTCCCAAGTGTAACCCAGCGCCTGCTACCTATCCGATGACGATCATCAGGCTGAATATTGCCTAAAACGGTGGGGGAGGGAGAGAGAAGAGGAGGGGAGGGGGGGGGGAAGGTTCTAGGGTTTGTTGTTCCATTTCTGGCTGCACAAATCCCCCCCAGCTGTCGGCTGCTTCCTTGTCATAGAGAGACTGCAACAAGATTGACTGCTTATTTTTTTCTGGATTTGGTGTTCTTGTTCTGGGTTTGTCTCCTGTTGCCGCAGATTCAGCTGCAGGGTTTGTTCTTGCCGTGTTCAAGCTGGGCGGGCCCCTTGGAGGAGAGAGAGAGAGAGAGAGAGAGAGAGAGAGAGAGAGTGTGTAAAAAGTCCTACTCAAGGCATTCCCTTTAGCAGAAGACGTACCCTAAAACGGTCTGCCGGGTTTAAAAAAGCAGCACTTTCAAAACGGTCTGAAAAGCTCCTCCTCGGGAAGCGGATTTGTCACCATCTTCGGCTTGAATCAAATGGGCTTTTAGTCCACTAGTTACTTCGGCCAATTCGCAATATATTCGGCCCAAAAAGTAGCACTGCCAAAATACGTTTCCCTGAAAAACTCTGCCTGCGGGGAGCGGATTTTTTCATTGGCTTGGGCTTTGAATCGTATGGGCTTTTAATCCACTATTTATTTGGGCCCACTCCTGTGTGTTCGGCCCAAAAGGGAGCACTTCCAAAATGGGCTTCCCTGAAATAGTTCTTCCCGCGGGGAAGCGGGTATGTCAATGGGCTTTAGCCCAGTATTAATTTGGGCCAAATTACAGTACATTCGGCCGGCAATAAGCACTTTCAAAATCGGCTTGAATCCATTATTTGTTTGGGCCCAAATCCAGTATATTAGGCCCAATATGATCATAGACTAGGCAGGGCTCATGTCGGAGGCCCAATATTCACGGAGTCATATATCCGTGCAGGTTGCTAGGGTTCCTGATATCCCCGCGGTGTTCCTCTTCTCTGCTATTGTCCCGCCGCCCCTCCGGGTTCCCTCCCTGCATCTGCGAAACCAGGCGGCTGCCACCATGGTATGAGGCATCTCGCCGTTGTTCGTCTGACCACGATGTCTTCAGTTTCTGTGCCCTTTGTCAGATCTCCTGGTTCGTCAGGTCCATAATTGAGTTCCTTGTTTGGTCATGTAGATTATCCCGAAGAAGAATCGCCGCGAGATCTGCAAGTACCTTTTCCAAGGTGTGTAGTGATGATGATTAGGGTTGAGGGCTCCCTTTCTAGGTCACCTGCTCTCTTTTTTTTTTTCCTTTCCACTTATTTTCTTTCATCCCTGTCGTGATGTTGTGTTGGTGATGACAGAGGGGGTGCTCTACGCAAAGAAGGACTTCAACTTGCCGAAGCACCCGTTGATCGACGTGCCGAACCTGCAGGTAATCAAGCTGATGCAGAGTTTTAAGTCGAAGGAGTACGTCAGGGAGACGTTCGGATGGATGCACTACTACTGGTTCCTCACGAACGACGGTATCGAGTTCCTTCGTACCTACCTTAACCTTCCGTCGGAGATCGTCCCCGCCACCCTTAAAAAGTCCGCTAAACCCTTACCGTCCCGCCCCATGGGCGGCCCCGGTGACCGCCCACCTAGGTATTTATCCTGCATTTCCCACTTCTGTTAATTTTCATCTGACAAGTATTTATAATCCTTCTAACCATTTTTTTGAGTATTTTCAGGAGATTTGATGGAGACAGGCCGAGGTTTGGGGACAGAGATGGTTATCGTGGGGGTCCCCGAGGAGGTACAGGGGAATTTGGCGACAAGGGCGGTGCTCCTCCCGAGTTCCAGCCTTCTTTCCGGGTAAGCACCAATTTATATAGTTCCTTCCTCTTTCCGTGGTGTTGATTACCACTTGGAAGTTAGTGATTAGTGTGCTTACGATTTTGCCTTATTATCATAGATGTTTTTTCCTTAGTTATCTGTGATCGAAATAGTCGGGTGGTGATGGAGACTTGTTTCTTGATGAGGTCTGCGAGATGCCATCTCTAGGATATAATGTAGGCTTGGTTTCCAGTCTGGAGGACGAATCATCGCTAATGTAATCCATATCTGAGCTGAAATGAAGAATGAAAATTTTTAGTGTTCGTGGATCCGCACCCACTCGACCAAAATTATTTCTCTCGAGGAAAAGTTTGGATGGCTGTTTGAGGAGTGTAAGCAAAGCTTAGATTGTCAATTATGATGGCATGGTCTACATCCAATCATGTCGATTTCTTCTTGGGTCATTTTGTATGTGGTTTTAGTACTCTGAATGTGCCAATCTTTTCATAATTGATCTTTAAAGGGGATTGGGAACCGCTAATATCCTAACTTGGGAGGATTACGTGAAGGCTCTTCCATGTTCTCCTGTTGGAGTTGTTGATATTGCCACTGAGAATGAGTGCTGGCGAGAAGAGAAAGTCAAGTGGGTGTGCAGAGAAAGTCCATTGATTTCATTTATAGTTGATTTATGTGGTTTTTTTGGTGAGCTGGCGTGATTAGGTGTGCTAGGGTTCTAATTAATTATCAGAATTTAGATTCCATTTATGATTTAATGTTCTGAGATTTTAGCTATTCATCTGTGAATTCAATAATATTATTTTACGTTGACAGATTATATCGTTTTGGATCCTATTTTTTTTTACAGGTGATCTCTATTTTTTTATCATAGATGTTGAAAGTAATAGGGACTATTCGATATTAAACAGTAATTTCTTGTCTTCTTCTTTTTTCAGTGTTTCGATTCATGTTTCCTTCTCTAAGAAAATCACCAGGATATGTAGAGCCCCCCATTACTTTCAACATCCATGAGCAAAAAATAGAGATCACCTTTAAAAAAATAGGATCAAAACGATGAAAAAGCTAAAATCGTTTTCCGTAATTGACGGCCATCAGCGGCGGGTCTTCAAATGAATTCGTTGAATTTTTTAGCTCATATTTTGGAATAAGAAACTTCTTAACCACGAACTCAGACTGAAATTATGAAGATTAATCATATCTACTGTGAAAATACGAGAAATATACACAATTTACCAGATGTGGATGGGAATCTCAACCAGATTCCTTGTCCTTGTCATGGTACATATTCTTGTTCTATCAGATCATAAGCCCGTCGAAGAAATAACCAATGTTGCAGACCAATTTATTTGAGCCATTTATAGGATTATCCCCAGGGATTAAAAGTGTTCCTATTTTGTTGATGGAGAGTGTTGCTAACTTGCCTCTATTGCTTCTCCTCAGGGCGGCGAAAGGCCCGCTTTTGGCCGGGGTGGCGGCGGCTTTGGTGCTTCAGGCGGCGGCGGTGCTTACCGGCCTCCTGGTTCTTCTTCCCTTGAGTAACTCAACCCTCTCGCGCTCCTCTTCCAAGCCTTTTGCCGGCGTGTTAAGATAGACATGCGATTTCTGCAAGGATCTTAGTGTTTTGCTTTGTTTGCTCAGCCCGTTCGTTACTCCCTGTCACGAATTCCCGTCTTCTTCTTCCCCTTGACTACCTTCTTCTGCCCCCACCGATTCTCTCTGGGTATTCAGAGTCTTTCTCATTTCTTCTACGGTGTTTACGGTGTAGCTGAAACCGGGCCGGGCCGGGCCGGGCCCATTTTTTAGTGGGCTGTGTCTCGGGCTTTTCCCTACTGAAGGGGGGCCCCCCTTGTGGACGTTGTGCCACTGCTGGCACAAGTTGAGGCGCTGACCATTGTTGGTCAACGGTGGGCGGAGGCGGCTGTGGAATTGCATTAGGGCACTGCTGGCATAAGACCTCTTTCCCTTGCCCTCCCAGCCAGCGAGTACCAGCGGATCTAAATAAGCGGGACATGCTCTAAGATGATCGTTAATTAATGCCCACAGAGGTTCTAATTTATATATAATTAAATATTTTTTCGACCCTTTTTCTTTTTGGAGCATAGATTTTTTTTTTCTTAACTCGTATATTTGATCTTCAAATGCTCCCCGATATATTTTTTATTATTATAAAAATACATAAATAATCTCAAAAGCGGGGTTTTCGATGAAAAAGTAAAAACAGGGTATATATGTCATTAGAAAATAGAATCCCCGTTTTTTTCATTTTTGAGAAAAATACAAAAATACTTTCCAAAACGGGGTTTTTCGATGGTCGAAAGTTGAAAAAATAGGGTCCATAGTTTTCTGGTAGGCCGAAATTTAATGCATTTGGATAGTTATTATAAAATAGAATGCATGTGGTATTTTCTTTATTTTCTGGAAATTAAATAGTAGCAATACTCTGCAAGTTCTTGGGATTAAAATAAGGACAAAAAATAATATTAAATTATCTAGGGTTCAGAATATAATTATCGGTCAGAATGGGCACATATAGGAAAACTAACTTGTTTATTTTATTTATTTCTTTTTGTTCGCCTCTGCGGTTTACGATATCTGGGGACGCTGGTCGCTCTCCGCGTGGGTCCCACTGCCCGCCGCTCTACTCCCAGATGGATGCGGGCCTCGATCACGGGGCTCTCTCTCCCTCTCTCTCTCTCCCCCACACTCTCACTCTCTCTGTGGGGCTTCTCCTCCTCCGTCTCCCGCTGTAATCTCCGCCGCCGCCGCCGCCGCCACCTGTGAGTGCAGCAGTTTGGCTGTTCCCACGGCCGAGGACGGCGGCGGCATGGTGAGGATGGGGAGCACCGTCGGCGATGAGATCACCAGCGAGTGACCGGAACCAGGACGGGGAGCTTCTCCGAGAAGTATCGCGAGTTTGAAACTGGTCGAGCTGCAGTGGAGTCGGCTTTCTAGTCTCCGTTCTTCCCACCCCTAGTGTCTGCTCCGCCGCTCGCTTGGCCATGCCGGGATTGCTCCTGGGACTGCTGGTGGGGGTGGTGGCTTTGCTAGGAGCCCAGCGAGTGGTAGCGACGGCCTCAGGTAGTCTCTGCTTGGTTCTCCTCGCTTTTTGCTCGGTTCTCACCTCTTCGTTGTTTTGATTCGATGATCGACGAGCTGTTCATTAGTGATCTTGCATTCTGTCTATTGCTCCGCTGTGGCGTGAATCCCCTTTCAATCTCCCGTTTCTCGTTCATCCTACGGGATTTCTGGCTCAAAACTCTGCCCCGGCGTGCCGCCTCTCCGCCATCGAGTCGTTTGCTGCATCCGTTCCTTTTTCTTCACAATGCACGACGATGTGTTTGATAGCATCTTCCTTGTCCGTATCAGAAGCGAGGGGTGCGCTATTTTTTCACGCTTATTGCAGTCTTGTGGTTATCGATTTGAGGCATGCTATTTTGGTGAATTGAGCTCTACTTGATCTTCTGTGGATGAGACCTTTCACTGGGGCATGGAGAGTAAGGGCTGGTGACTTGGCTCATGATCTCTATTGAGCTGATTTTTAGGGCAGAAGACCTCAGCTATCTCCCCATACCCTGAGCAGCCCTGGCTGCGGATGTATGTATGAGCCAGTGACAACCCCAAATGTACAGGTGTGAAGATGAATAAGAGGACTGACATGAATGATAGAGGAACGCTTGCTACATATGAACAAAGCATAGGCGTTGACTGTCGGCCAAGAACAGCAGCAACAGCAGGACAATGTGTTCCCATTTGGCCAGAGAGTCAAGATTATGATGGGAAGGATTGAAAATCGTCGAGTGGTGCGGATCAATCATGGACTATGTGACTGTAGGGGACTCAGCATGCTGCATTAGAGGCAGTATGAATTGGTGGTGTCAGTCAAATATAGAAAAAAGGTCAAAAGAGGTGCAGGTCATTTTTATGCTAAACATGTGTATGGTCGGTGGACTAAACATAGGGAGTAGAGAACATATGATCTATGATACGTGGGGGAGATCCAGATGAAAAAAAATAGAAAAAAATAGAAAAATCAGCACGAGCTGCCCAGTTGGGTGCCTTGACAATACATAATGCATATTACATTGTTAATCTCATTTTTTTACTTTATCGTCTTCCCTTTTTTTTTTTTTGTTTGGATGCAATCGATTAAAGACCTACAAGAATGGTAATCTTGGGATGGTAGCAGCGATTTTTAAGCTAAGACTTGTCAATTTGTGGACTATGAACATGCTTTCCAAACCTTGAGAATGATGCAAACACTCTTTCTATCATACTCCAAGTTGCTTCACAATTGTTACCAGACCTTTCCTCGTGAAGATTCCAGTCAAAGATTTGAGAGGGTAGAAATACCTTGCGGGGAAACAAGCCTGTAGTAGAGCTGTATGAAAGCATTTTCCCATTGAGAGTGAGTACCATGTGTGGCTTCGTTCTCTGGCATTCATAAAGACATTCGTGGATTTTTATTAGCTGGGTTCATAGCTGCTGGTTTCTTTTTTCTTTTCTTTTTATTTTAATTTTTTTTTTTTTTTTTTTGGGAGATTCATCTTCATTGGTTTTTAGTTTTAATATTTTCTGTGCTCTAACATTTTCCCTTCTCTGTGCAGACTGCCCGTTGGACCTAAGTTGGTCAAACTTTACTTTGGCAGCCTCTGTGTGCTCTGATGGGAATGAGAGGGGAAAGTGTTGCCGGTTCATCAATGCCTTCGTCGCCGTCTCTGTTTCGCGCTATGCGAGCTCTACAGGTCAATTGGGTGTTCCAGCTGCATTCTCAGAAACATGCCTCAATTTTGTCTCAGAAACCTTGCGACAACGTGGTATTCCATCCAATGCAATGGCATTCTGCGGTCTGGGGACGAAGATTTTGGTCAGCTGTCAGTGTGAGGGACGGGCGACCGTGCTGGAAATGCTCCAGTCTCCTAACTTTTCTGACGTAGTTACTAGCTGCAAGGCACCGATATCTCTGGAGAGCACATGTAAAAGGTGCTTGACCTCTGGCATCCTGTACATTCATCGCCTTGTTGGATCCCAAGATAATGTGACCTTGAGTACCTGTCGTGACGCGACTTTTGTCACTCTCACCAACCAAGGCAAGAACCTCTCGGCTGTTGACATGGTGAGCTGCTTCTTCGGAGTTCAGGCCCTCAATATAGATACAGGTACATCGATTTTGTTTGGATTTCTGTCGCTTTATTATTATTATTATTATTATTATTATTATTATTATTATTATTATTATTATTACTATTACTATTATTAATACTATTTTATTTGGCTGAAACTTTGCATCTGTTGTTCGTGTTTCAGACCCGCTTCTTCAGTCGCCCATGTCCGCAGCTTCATCGAATCCTCCATCAGCCGAAGCCCCCTCTAAACACGCGTCAGCCAGGCACTACCAGCGTTACCATCTAGCGTTGATCCCGGTGGTTGGCATAGCCGTCACGGGCACGGCCACTCTACTCCTGGCGTTTCTGATTCTGCTCATTCATAGGAAGAGGAAAGAACTGAAGATCACTGACAGCATCTCTGGGCCTTCTCAGGAGGGTTTCCCTCCTCCTCCTCATCGTAAATTTTCCGAAGGTCTGCTCATTCGCACCTTGTTACTCGATCCAAGGGCCAGACCCAGAGAAAAGGCTGTAGAATGTGGCCTCTGGGACAGACCCATTTGATGCTGGGACCTATGATCTTGGTCACCATGTTGACATTTTTCAGTGAGGTTGTTTCAGGCCCGCGGTCAATGTTCCAGAGATTCAGCTACAAGGAAACGAAGAGAGCTACGAATGATTTTGGATCGATGATAGGGAAGGGTGGGTTCGGAACTGTTTACAGAGCGGAGTTTGGTGACGATCTTGTGGTTGCTGTGAAGAGGATGAACAAGGTCTCGGAGCAAGCAGAAGACGAGTTTTGCCGAGAGATGGAGCTCCTCGGGCGGCTGCATCATCGCCACCTAGTTGCCCTGAGAGGCTACTGCATCAAGAAACGGGAGAGGTGAGTGAAAATATCTGGTTTCCCTGATGATACTGATGATTATTATTATTATTAATTATCATTGATTATTCCCTTTTTTGTGAATTGCAGATGTCTGATGTATGAATATATGGAAAATGGGAGCCTGAAAGATCATATCCACTGTAATCATCCATCCATTTCTCAATTTACCTGCCGGTGAATGCTTTGAAGATTTATCAACGATGATGTTCTTGAATATGATTCATATCTGTTTGTGATAGCTTCGGGAAGAGCTCCATTGAGCTGGCAGACGAGAATCCAGATCGCCATTGACGTTGCCAATGCTCTGGTATTGGGACTAGTTTATCACAGTGCCATCTGTTTCGGGGATCTCTTCATCACTTCGCTCATTCTTCCAGCGATTCTTGTTCGTAATCGCAGGAGTACCTTCATTTCTACTGCGATCCGCCTCTCTGCCACAGAGATGTCAAGTCTAGTAATATTCTTCTGGATGAGAATTTTGTGGCGAAGGTGGCTGAACTTTCGATCCCTCAGTCGTGAATTCTTCTCGGTTTCTTTAGCGGCGTTAACACTCCCCGGACTGATCTCTGCAGCTCGCCGACTTTGGCCTCGCCCATGCTTCCAGAAGTGGTTCGATAAACTTTGAACCAGTGAACACAGATATCCGCGGAACTCCAGGTAGGGTTTATCCTGCTTCCAAATGCAAGAAGAAGAAGAAGAAGAAGAAGAAGAAGAAGAAGAAGAAGAAGAGCCTCGAATTTTGAAATCTCGATTGAAGCAGTAACCGGAACCTGGCTGAATCTGATGTCTGCAGGCTACATGGATCCCGAGTACGTGATCACGCAGGAGCTGACAGAGAAGAGCGACGTGTACAGCTACGGCGTGGTGCTGCTGGAGCTGGTGACTGGGAGGCGCGCGATCCAGGACAACAGGAACATCGTCGAGTGGTTTCAGAAGTTCACGGCGGCGGAGTCGAGGCTACCCGGCCTGGTCGATCCGGCGATCAGGGACACCGTCGATCTGGAGCAGCTGCAGGCGATCGTCGGGATCATCCGATGGTGCACGCAGAGGGAGGGGAAGGCGAGGCCCTCCATTAAGCAGGTGCTTCGATTGCTGTACGAGCGGCTGGATCTGGATCCCCTGCAAGGCGGCCCGATCGGAGACGGCGAGGAGGAGGAAGAAGGCTCCGGCGGGGAGAGAGCGAGCAAGGGGAAGGGGCGGCGGACGGAGGGGATCCACCATAGCGCGTGGCTCCCGTCTTCTTCCAGCACATCGAGATCCTACTGCAGCAGGAGCTTCCTCCTCGAGGGCGGCTCCCCGCAGTCTCCTCCTGGTATGTTCTCCCTCTGATCTCCCGCCATTTCGTTCTCGTCCTCCTCTCCGGGCTCTAATCTTTCTTCCTCCTATTGGGCGCGCACCTGCTCCATCTCTCGCAGCTTGTATCCCCACGGGAACCTCATAAATTATATCATAAAATCTTTTTTTTACACGTGTCACCAATTCCCGTGGAAACGGAAAACTACTAACACGCGGGCGCAGGCGCACGATTATGATTATATAATTTAATTATAAATTAATATTATACGCTTGCGAATTATTCCCATCTTTGTGGGGCCCATCGATCCCGTCCAAGACATCACCCCTCGCTCTGCTGGGGGGATTCATTTGGCCCGGTGCCAAAGAGGAGAGTAGAGACTGTGACTAAGAAAACATTGTGGGAGAAAAGATAAATGGCTTAATAAAATAATTGAAATAATAGAATAATTAAAATAATAAAGTGATGAAATTAATAAGAATAAATAAGGTATAATATTATTACCCTTTGAAGGTTTGATTCGGGATATATTTTATTCACCCCTCCCCTTTGACGCCAATATCTATTATAATAATGTATTTCCAAATTTGGAAACTTTCAAGTGGGAGATGAAATAGCAATTTAAGAGCCATTTAGGATAATTAGTAAGCTTAGGTTCTATGATAATTTCTTCTTTCCCAGAGGATTAATGGTACGAATGGTGGGTCTCAACATGCCTATGTATAGTGTGAAATATTTCACTAGACTATGTTGTATGGATTTTAAGACTTTAGTCCTTAGAAGTGTCACATGTGATTTTAAGACTGATCGCTTAACTCGTATGTCCCGTTTTAATTTTTGATGAAGAATTGAACACATGAGATGATCCGAAATGTAAGTTTTGAGCTCATGCTAACAAGGACATTTGTGCAAGAGTAAATATCCCTTCCCCATTTGGGCTTGTAAGTTTTCTTTATTCACCTCCTTCTAAGAACTGAGTCAACTCACTTGGTGTGAGAAATGACCAACTTGGTATTATGAGTGTTAGCCCACTCATCCTATATGAAGATGACTCGACTATTCAATAACAAAGGAATCGAGTCAACTCATGTAATGGGAAATGATACTATAAGGGTGCACTAATACTTTCATATTAGGAAAATATCTCAACATCAACATTACTCTTCAAAAAATATGTCAATGCTCCATTCTAGCCTTTGAAAAAAGTATTTGATTTTAAAACTTGTTATATACAAGTTCCTTTTTCTTACACCTTAATGTAAGTGAGTTGACTTATGAGTGGACTCAAAGTCAACTCATACATAGATTAGGAGACCAACACTACAATACAAAGTAGGTATAAGGCAACTAATACATTTTTGTTGTAACTAACTATTGAAGCATGCCACTAGACATTGAGGAGATCATTTTTAGCTATTAAAAATTGACCATTAATGATGTGAAAAACATTTCTATGATGATTAACCACTGCAACTCGCCAAAGGAGGATGGGTTCAACACTCTGAGGACTCAATTTCTCATTCTCTCTCAAGCATTCAAATAGCTTCTCTCCAAAAAAAGATTATAGACCAAATGGCCCATCAATTTGCACCATTAGAAGGTACATACCAAATTCTAAGAGCATTTACCTTGTTATACCATTCCCCACTAGCTTTTGGATCAATTAAAGCCTTAAAATCTTGTGTTAATTCTTTATGTTCTAGGGATGTGCTGACAAGAGTCAGTGCAACGTAACGACTAGATCTCTAGAGAGTGGAGTATGTCAAGTCGACTGAGCTGTATGATTCATCATTAGTTTCACATATTGATAGGAAAATAGATAGACTTTTGGAAGGAATTAAAAAAAAAAACCAATTAACCACTCCTCTTGGTCCAACATAAGCGCCTACCTCCATTAGCTTTAAAAGCTATTATGGAGTTAACCCTATGGGTAACACTTCTAGTGCCAAATTTATACTAGAAATGGCATTCTATTCATAGACTTCTATTAACTAAAGTCACAAATTACTTTAAATGGTAATCCCATATAAAGACATCAACACTCTATTCATTGACTATAAGCTTTGTTGATATGAGCCAAGATGAATTATGCCAAAACCTGGCCCTACTTCAAGGGGCCCCAGGCACAAGATCAACCCACCATGGCAATCCACTTGCCATTCATCATATGAGCCTTTGCCCAGTTCATAAGGGCTCAATAGTTCAAGAACCATCAGCACCACAAGCTTCATCACTCTGTGAATCCCAGCTACCCACATGAAATAGTTTGAGATGAATCCCTTCTACTTCATTTATGAAAAAAATAATCACCTAAAGTTCACTCATCCTTCGGCATTTTCAAGAAAATGTACCTACTGAGCCAAGCACTCTTTTCACGGAGAAATTCTCAAGGTGTAGGAGATATCCTTCAGTAGTTACATCTGTAGCTCATGAAGTGCGGAAGATCTTGCTCGGCTGGGTTGACTACCAGGGAGAGGCGAGCTGGCAGGGGGTGGGATAGCCCCCCCCGGCTTCCGCCATGGCGGCGGGCTAGCCAGAGGATCTCTTCCTCCTCTCTTTCACACGGCATTCTGACGAGCAATAGAAAAGCAGTCATTTTTATGGTAAACTATGCCGCGGATGACGACGACGACTCGCCGGCTGGACACCAGCAAGGCCCCAGATTTATTAACGGCGACTCGACGGCGCCTCTGGTTTCTCCCGTTTCTCCTTCTGGCCCCCAGCGCCCGCCGTAGCGAGAGAGAGAGAGAGAGAGAAGTACGCTGTACAAAGGGAGCTTCCTGGAGGAGGAAGAGAAGGATTGTGGGTGGGATTCCTCTCTGGCGAGATGCACGCGAAGACGGACTCGGAGGTGACCAGCCTCGCCGCCTCGTCGCCGGCGAGGTCTCCCCGCCGCCCGGTTTACTTCGTGCAGAGCCCCTCCCGCGACTCCCATGACGGCGAGAAGACCGCCACCTCCTTCCACTCCACTCCGGGCATCAGCCCCGCAGGTTCCCCCCCTCACTCCCACTCCTCCGCCAGCCGCTTCTCCAGGAAGATTTCCCCCACCGACGCTGCCGCCGCCGGCGGCCGGCGCCGCTGCGAGGAGGCGACCGCGTGGAAGAACTGCAGCGTCATCGAGGAGGAGGGGCTGCTCGAGGACGAGGACGGCGAGAGAGGGCTCCCCCGCCGCTGCCGATACATCCTCGCCTTCCTCCTAGGGTTCTTCGTGCTCTTCTCCTCCTTCTCCCTCATCCTCTGGAGCGCCAGCCGTTCCCGCAAGCCCCAGATCGATGTGAAGGTGAGCTCGATTTCGTCCCGATCCTCCCTGCGATTTCTTTGTGGCTCACGGATCCTCTGGATTTGGGAACAGACCGTGAGGTTTGAGAGCTTCAGCATCCAAGCCGGGAGCGATGGCAGCGGGGTGCCGACGGACATGGTCTCCATGAACTCCACCGTCAAGCTCTCCTTCCGCAACACCGCCGCCTTCTTCGGCCTCCACGTGAGCTCCACGCCGGTGGAGCTCTTCTACTCCCAGCTCGCATTGGCCACCGGAAACGTGAGCCTCCGCCGATCATCTTCTCCGGCTCAGGGGAACTCATCCTCACTGATTCCACACTGGATTTCTTCCGTGCACAGATCGACAGCTTCTACCAGTCGAGGAAGAGCCAGAGAACCCTCACCGTGGTGGTGAGGGGGGAGAGGATCCCTCTCTACGGCAGTATTCCGGCGAGCGGCGGCGACGGCGGCCACAATCCGCCACCAGTTCCGGTAACCCTAAGCTTCACGGTGAAGTCCAGGGCCTACGTGCTGGGGAAGCTGGTGAAGCCCAAGTTCTCCGTACCTGTGAGGTGCTTGGTGGCGCTGGACCGGACGAAGCTGAACGCCGCCGTCGCCCTCAAGAACTCCTGTCACTACGGCTGAGATTGACGGGCACCGCCCCCCCTCCCCCCCTCCCCGGCCGGCGGCGCTTCCATGGGAACGTGACGCCGGTCGCTGTTCATCTCTCTCTCTCTCTCTACTTCTCTTTCGCTCTAGACTGGTGGCGGGTTTCCTTTGCCACGTTGCTTGGGACCCTCCCTGATTTGGATAGCGAATATTGGAAAATAATAAAATATTAACATCGCGTTTTTACTTATTTTCCAGGTGTAAAATGAGATAATATATATTAAATAAAGGCTTTGTTAAGATACGTAAGATTCGTAGCTGGGTCGGGCCGTTTTGGGTTTCCAGTTCACAATATATCTGTGGGATTCTCGCCGGCGGGGTTGACCAATCCGTACGGGTTGGCCACGTCATCGCACGCTCGCTCCCTGAATAAAAGCTCCCTCTCTTTCTCTCTCTCTCTCGTTCTCTCTCGCTCTCTTCTTGGGATTGTTCTCTGTGCCAAGGTAGGAGGGAGGAGAGAGGGCGGGGATCCATGGCAACCGGAGGGAAGGTGTCATTCAAGGTTATTCTGACCTCCGATCCGAAGCTGCCTTTTAAAGTGTATGTTCCCCCTTTTTCTTCGCTGGATTTGGTTTGATTCTGCTCTCTTCCTGTTCTTCTGTCGTCTCGTTTTTCTTTAGCTGCTCCTCGGGGTATCTGAACTGGTGGACTTTGGTTCTCCATCCCAGGTTCAGCGTACCGGAGGCGGCGCCGTTCACCGCGGTGCTGAAATTCGCCGCCGAGGAATTCAAAGTGCCTCCGCAGACGAGCGCCATCATTACCAATGGTATATCCGTTTGCCCTTTCCTTGAACTTAGGGTTTCGGATGGTTATTAGAATTAGATCGTCTGGTGGGATCAGATGTTTTCGTCTATCTTCTTGGTTCGTACTTAACCTGGGATGATGAAGGGTTTTCTATTTGTTAAATTAGCGGTAGATATGGCGATGCCGTGGGATCGTGAAAAGGGAGATCGAGAGTAATACTAGAATTGAATCTGACCTTCTCGAAACGTTTCAATGGCATTGTCCGGCGAAAATAAAGATCCAAAGCTGGTGTTGCTTAAATCATGTCGTTTCATGATAACAAAATTCCCCAAAGACTTGCATGGCACTTAAAACACGTAACAAAATCTGACCTTCTTCAGTAACCGTGTCGAAGCATAGTTGTTGAAGCTTCTTTGGTCTAAAATTTATGATCTTGTAGATAGAGAAAGGAACATGTGACTCCTGATTTTGGGAAGAACTTGATTTAATGAGGAGTGACGAGAAAAATCGAAGGAATTACTGAACTGATGGACAAACAGAACGTGTTGTATTAGAACATGTCTGAAGCCTGATTTGGATAAACGGATAAGAAGTGAAGTGGTGTCTGTTGCGTTTACTCCAGTTTTTCTCTCTAGTAAGTGCAGGTTTGCATGGTATCTTTGTGAAAAAAATCAGAAAATTCAGGTCTCCAAGTTCCAAGAAGTATAGTTCTCGAACCAAAGGGTTCATTGTGTGGCATATAAATGTGGTAACAGCTAGGCGGATGACGAATAACGGCAGGAATGGCCCACAGAGATGCATAACATTAGCAACGACAAAAAAATTAGAATACCTGATTTCAATGGCTTCATTTATTGATGGCATCACCTGTAAGATGCAAAAACATGGGGTTATTTTGCTCAAGTTCCATTTATAAAAGTAATGGAACGAGTATTCCTTGTCCACATTTCACATGTGACAACGTAATTGAAGGACGGATTTTGCCTAATCTGTTGTTTTTGCTTCTGATGCTTGCAGTGTGTTGTTTCTTTTGGCGTTTCTTCTTTCATCAGTTTGTAAAAATGCTTTGGTAACTTAGTTTCCTGGTTAGTAACAGACGGTGATGTCTGACATCTGCTTAAAGTTTATCGTTCTTGGGAGGATCTTGATCAAGTTGCTAGCGCTAGTTTGGATTGGAGCTATAGAGATGTAGATAGCTCTGTTTGATCTGGTGGAAAGAAAAAATGGAGAATGAAGGTGGTTTCTGAAGTGTTTCTAAAACCCACATTTCCAACCACAGAGATTGAGAGAGGAGTTGAGAGTTGAGAGGCAAATTTTTTCTCTGATTTTCCTTTTTTTCACCTGATGAATATCGGGAAGTTCTTTATTAATAATGCGTGCATATTAATTTCTTAGTGTACAAAAATTATCCCTCATTTAGGCCAACTCTATATTTATTCTATTATATCCAAAACTGAATGCTCTCCACTGTTCACAGATGGTGTCGGAATTAATCCACAACAAAGTGCAGGTAAGCCCTGTTCCTCGTTCTTTTTAAATATTATCTTATGATCGCACGTCTATTTCCTTCAGCATACTGTTCTTGGGTACTATACGACATCCCAAAATATTCTCCTGAGTGGTGTTGTTCTTGATGAAATCTGTGGATACATTCCTGTTCAAATAACCACGCCTGCTCTGAAGAAAGTGTCCAAGCATCTCTCAGAGAGCCCTATGCTATCTTTTCTCTGTTAGCGGAATATTCATGGTGATGGAGAGACGCAAGTTGACTTTTCTGCGCACCTGCTGATTAAATGCCCATATTTTTTCATTGGCTGGAGAAGGCCTGGGCCTGGGCCAGACCCGTTGACTTGTATCATCGAAGGGTACTAAACAAGCTAGTGGCTGGATGAAGGGCCAACGGTATCTGATCATCTGTTCCCCCTTTGACCAGGTAACGTCTTCCTCAAGCATGGGTCGGAGCTTCGCCTCATCCCTCGGGACCGGGTCGGAGCTCTGGAGGCTGGTCTCTGAAGATACCTCACCCAGCTTGGTGATATGCCCAGATGATCCGTCTGGTGCCATTTCCCCATCATTTTGTCTGCAGGAAGCTACAATAAGTGCTCCATTTGCCCTAAATACTGATGAATGCGGACTCTTTTGAGGGGCTGACTATATATGAATTTCACTCGACTATGGTTCTTGCTGATTTATTAGATTCCAATGATTTGACTGAGATTGACCCGGGATTACCGGGGTCTCTCTTGTTCTTGGGGTTGACTCATTCTGATCCGATGAATCTGATTCCTGTGGTTGTTTGCCGAAGTTTGAGTGGTTTTCTATGGTGATGGATGATAATTTGACAATATGGCCGATTTTGACCATATTTCAGTAATTATTATTATTATTATTATTATTATTATTATTATTATTATTAAAATACATGTAATTAATGGGGGTCTGAAAAGCCATAGTGGGCTTAGCACTCATATTAAGCTTCCGGGTCCTGCTACTGTTTATTAAAATACATCTCTCTCTCTCTCTCTCTTCCCAAGTCCTGCTACTGTGTCACAGGACCGAGTTAATCGGGTTCAGTCCGGTTCGAGTCAGAGATGCCGATCCCACCCGGTTTGCAAGACCAGTAGCGGGTGTTTGCCCCGACATAAGACGTGGGAAATGGTGGGCCCCATATGATCACCTGACTCATCGGTGGGACGGAACGTGGAGTATTTAAACAGGCACCTGCCCCCGCCACGCACCCGCCAGAATAATCAGGTTTTCTTATTAGTATCGGTCTGCTCTCCTCAAATGGAAGAAGAGGGGGGGAAGTTCAAGGGAGGATAACCCTAGAAGTGGAGGTCTCCGGGATGAGGCTTCCGGCAGCTCGCCGGCCGGAGGAGCAGCCCTCTGGCTTGCCGCCTCAGGTGTCATTCCAGCAACAAGCTATGGCGGCTGCGCCAGGGTCCGCTGGCACGACGACGAGGAGGAAGGGGACGGCGATAAGGGCGTGGACGGTGGTTTCGGACTCTGGGGGATCGCGGCTGGAGGAGCTGGGGAAGCACACCATCATGCGTCGGACGGGCTTGCCGGCGCGAGATCTGAGGGTCCTCGATCCCGCGCTGTCGTACCCGTCCACGATCCTCGGACGAGAGCGCGCGATTGTGGTCAATTTGGAGCACGTCAAGGCCATCATCACCGCTACCGAGGTGCTCATCCCCAAGTCCAACCAGCCGCTGTTGGGAGCATTCATCCAAGATCTCCAGTCCCGCGTCTCTGCCCCTGCGGATGGGGATCCGCAGCAGGTAGTGTTCTTCCTCCTCAAGCCATGCAAAAAAGATTGTTATTTACGGGATGTGAATTTCTAAATTTTATACGATATGGATGGAATCTAGTTAACTATCTGCTTTTTTTACAGCATTTAAAATGGATTGCAGTATATTGGTGCACCATCTGAACATATAATTGTGTTATCGTAGTTTTGCATAATTATCAGCACGATACTGAGATCAATGGATTTTACTACCACAACCCGGCACTCTTTAATGACCTACTGATATAAGTATTCGGAAACCGTAGCGTGAAACAAATGACTTTTAAAATAATTTCATTCATCAATCCATTAAAAATAAAATAAAAACTATGGAGGTAGAGAATATGCATTCCTTCTGACAGAATATTACGCTTTCCTCGATAAAGAGTATCAGTCAGTATGTTTCAGTTTCTTTTGGTGGGAAAGTATTAACTTTTATCTAATTTTTTTGCGTTCCATCTCACATAAAGGCAACAGCGAGCGGTGACATGTCCAAGGATACGTGGTGCTGGCCTCCATCACATGTTTCTAATGGCTTGGAGGAACCTGGTGTCTCCGTTCATCAGCAACATGATGATCGCATGCCAGAATATTCCTCTACCCACGAAATGCAGGATGATGGCCCTGGAGCCACAATGGATGCACCAAAAGGTTCTAGCGTGAAAACATTACCGTTCGAATTCAGGGCTCTTGAAGTTTGTCTAGAGTCTGCATGCAGGTGTCTTGAGTCGGAGGTAAAACTCTGTTTTTCTCTGTTACTTATTCCAGTCTATATGGTTGATCATATTAGTAGATTTGATTCACCGACAGGAATTCGTGTTTTTTTATATTAGTGGCAATTAAGCTCGGGGGTCTTTGGTGCATGTAATATAATTAATAAAAGAAGGCATACTTTTTTGTATAAGTTTTTGAGTTTTTGCTATATTTCCAGTTTAATGCGTTGTACTCTTTTTTTGGTTTTTTTTACTGTTTTATTTTACAGCAGGCACTATGGGAACAGCGGCCTCATCTGTGTTGTGATTTGTGGAATTTGTGTATTAAGTTTTACTAGGTCTCTTTTCTGCTATCTCATGCATGTTCAAATGAAATGCGATTGCAATTCGTGTGTTTTTCGACTTAGATTTTATATTTTAAATAAACCATACTCTTTCCCTGTACCAGACATTGGCATTGGAGCAAGAGGCATATCCAGCCCTGGATGAGTTGACTTCTAAGATTAGTACACTTAATCTGGAACGTGTGAGGCTCATAAAGAATCGGCTCGTCACAATATCTGGGCGAGTACAAAAGGTACGTGCTTAAAATAATAAGTTTTCCCATTCTCATCTTTTGATCACAGACGAGTGGGAATGCTTATATTTTTTTTATATAGTATGCAATTTTTTTATATGAATCTTCTAAAATACGCCATTTTTAAAGAACTAATCTTTCTAAAACTGTAAATGTATGGATTGAGAGTGAAATTACGTTCATTAATTTTTTTAATGTTTAGTTGTTTATGCTCGACTCTATTTGGGATCTGGGGTGCTTCTTGTTATTGTAATCTTAAACTTCATGTATACGGGGATTATCTGGAATCGATAATTTTCATGGACAAAAATAGCACATGTTTTGTGCAGATGGGCAAACGAGATGGAAGAAAATCACCAAATTTTGCTAAAGAGAAATTAAATTTGTCTTTTATACTTCCATATTCTTCCGATAAAACATGCCTGATGGGTATTCATATATATCCAGCAGTCCTTTTGAAATCAATTGAAGGAAAAGAGAAGAAAGATTACATTCAACTTAATTCAAGTAAAATGGTGTCTCACTGTCCTCTTCATAGTTTCTTGGAGGAGTAAGAGATCTTCCTACATTTCTAAGAGCAGAAGTGCCCTCGTTACTCCTCAGGCTGGTGCAATATTGTTCTCTCACTAGACGCGAGTATTCGCTTCTCTCTCCTGTTTGTCTTCTGGTCCAAACTTCCTTGGTTGTTCTTTAACACTCTATTTTTTTTTGAATAAATAGTTTTTTTATTACGAATGTTTACTGCTATTTTAGGTTAGAGATGAGCTCGAGCATCTACTGGATGATGACATGGATATGGCAGAGATGTACCTGACAAACAAGCTCACTGTTCAGCCAGCAGGTGAAGCGTCATCGAGGGTTGCGGACTTGGAGAACGATGCCTCTGACGTGGACGATGAAAGGTGACCTCATCTCAACCTCATGGAACAGACATGATTTAAAGTCGAACTACATCCTCCCAGTAGAATATCACAAGACCCACCCGAGAACCCTTAAGTGGCTGACCATGGGTTCTTGGGATCATTTTATTAAATAGTTTTAATGGATGAAAAATGCCGGTGATTTATTCTTTTGGTGATATGGTGGCCTCCCCCCATTCATCTCAGGGACGAGCGATTCAACAACGATCTGGCCAGCGAGAGCGGGATCCTGACCAGTTTCAAGCCGGACATCGAGGAGCTGGAGATGCTCCTGGAAGCGTACTTTGTGCAGATAGACGCCACCTTAAACAAGCTATCCGCGGTACGCGCCCCCCCCCCCATTTTCTCTCTCTCTCTCTCTCTCTCTCTCTCTCTATCTCCATCTCTATCCTTATCTTTGTCGTGGGTGTCCACGTGGAGATCAGCTGAGGGAGTACGTGGATGACACGGAGGACTACATCAACATAATGCTGGACGACAAGCAGAACCAGCTGCTGGAGATGGGGGTGATGCTGAGCACGGCGACGCTGGTGTTCAGCGCGGGGATCGTGGTGGTGGGGGTCTTCGGGATGAACATCGGGATCAGTCTCTACGACGAGGCGGCCACCCCGAAGAGCAGGTTTTGGGAGACCGCCGTCGGCACCATCGGCGGCTGCGCCATCCTCTACGTCGTCGCCATCGGCTGGGGTAAGAAGAGGGGCCTCCTCCAGTGAGTCCAGTAACCGCCCACCCACCTACCCGCCCGGTGAGTTCACCCTACCCTCCCCTTTTCGGTTTTTATTTTTATTTTATTTTTTATCGTCGGAAAATGGGGTATTTTGCCAAGGCCCGATGCTATGCTTCCATGATTTTGGGATTAAAAAATGTTGAAAAATTGGTTTTTTTTTAAAAATATTTTTCATTATTATCTTCTTTCTTTGTTGTATAGGACGGTGTCTAGTGGAAGGCAGTACTAGCGAGCTTGCTCCGAACGGGTGGCTGCGATCGTTGGAGAATGGACCCATTATTGGCCCACTTATCAGAAAGTGGGCTTTTGAGCCTTTTTTAACAGTATATAAATGGGCCGGGCAGCCCGTTTCTCTACTTCTGTCCATTTAAACCCCCAGTGTATATATTTCATCGATTAAATAAGAGAGAGAAGAGAGAGGGCAGATTCGTCCTTTCAGGGCCTCTATTTTCGCTACGCTTGGGACTGAGAGTGGTTGAGCTCACTATTTGTTACGCCCTACGGCAGCGGAAGGCGGGAAAAGCCTCTTAGGCGCTTCGAGTCTGCCGCCGGAATGGGTTCCTACCGTACTCCGCATGAGAAGACGATTCTCCACGGGGACAGGAGGAGGAGAGTGTTCATTTGTAGGAAGTGGTTCCGGCGGAACACCGGTTCACCATTCGTGTGAGTGAGCCCCCAGCTCTGGGCAGCCCCGCCAAGGCCAATTTCCAGTCTCCGCGCCGGCGTGAACTCCCTCCGACGGGAATCTCGGTTTCCGTCTTCGTCGTTCTCCATGTCCGTTCCTCCGGAGAAGGTGCTGGCGGATGTTGGGAGACGCCTCTCCGAGCCCCTCAGCAAAGACCCTCTGGTGAAGCTTCTGAAGGTAATGGGGATTCTTCGGACATTGGAACCATGGCCAGTTTCCGTGTGTTCTTCTTGCCGACTGTTACTGTCCCCGTTTTGGCATTTTTTTATATGAGTTCAATAAAACATATGTTGGGAGACGCCGCACTTCGTTGATTATTATTCATTTGGTTGTACTTCGTTGGGATTCTATTTCGTGTTTTCCGGACAATCATTGGTAACGCTGATGATTATGGTATGTATTTTTTTCTTAATGGGGATCGTATGGTTTGACTGTTCCCGCTGTTTTTCATTTTGAGTCTTAATGGGGACCTACCCTCCTGTTTACTTAAGCACACGGGATGGATGGTCTGGTTCTCCAGCTTTCAGTTCCCTTTTCTTACTTGGCGGGATAATTTCGAAGATTTAGCTGATTATTTTACGAGAATCTTCTCCTCCCTTTTGAATCGTTGGGGTATCACGGAATAGGCACACAGAACGTATGCCATTCGTACGGTTACCAATCAAGGAGTTGTTTCTCATCTCCGGTCTGATACTCATCGGGCCTCCCTTGTTCTAGTCCCTTGTTCTAGTTAAAAACATTTCTCTGCGGTTGTCGTTTGCTCGATGTATCGCTTTAATTTTTACCTTTATAACCTTTTCGTTGCTCGAGGGAATGTGTTTTGTTTGGCGTGATTTAATTGTTATCATTTTCCATAAGCCCCCTCCGGAGGGGTCTCTGTTACGTGTGTAGAATCAGTGAAGAGGGAGTGGATCTTGGATGTATGTTCCTGTATTCTGATATCATTGATTATTTTAGTGATAATTCTCCATTCTGAGCATTGAACTCGTTTCATTTAAATTAATTTTTCAGAAAGCTGCGAGTGCTCTTTCGGAATTAAGACAATCCTCGTCATTACAGCATGCAATAGCTCCCTTGAGTAACTCTTTGGTTCAGAAGAAGTTACTTCAGCATAAAGATAAAGATGTGAGAATTCTTTTGGCTGTTTGCTTCAGTGAAATCATCAGAGTTTTGGCACCGACACCACCTTTCAGTGATCAAATACTTAAGGTAATCATTGCCTTTTTTGACTATTACTGTCGAATTCATATCCTGAGCTGCTTCTGGGATTCATTTTTTTAGTTTTATATCATACTCGTTAGCTATAATATGTCATGACCAGTATGTTGTTCTCTAGCCAATATTAGATGGCAGAACCAAAACCTAATCCAAGGGCTAGACGCATGTTTAGTACTTTTGTTAAATTCTATATTTGAATATAATATATATTTGTATATGTGTATGCACTTCAGAAAGTTTTATTGTGTATCTTAGTCAGAGCTAAGAAAAATCCTCTTGCTTGATCGATTTTTGCTTCTGACAGGGCATTTTTAAGCTTATTATCAGTATATTTTCGGAATTATCAGATGTTGAGAATGCATATTTTGGCAAACGGGTAAAAATACTGGAGACTATTGCTGCTCTTAGATGTTGTGTGCTAATGCTGGATATTGGTTGCGAAAATTTAGTTCTGGAGATGTTCAATATTTTCTTCTCTGTTGTCAGGTACGCACTTCCATGAATTTTCTGTCGTTTTTTTCACGTTGAGAAATCATTTTTTATCAAAGAAATTATTCGTAGTTGAATTCTAGAGGCCTGAAAAATGTAAACATGCTACGTTTAACACCAACACTCCGAATACTTGTGTTCTCTAGTTCTTGCGCTGGTTTCACAAACTTTCTTAAATGATCTACATCCTGGTCACGAGACTAAGCTGTATGTGTCCATAACGAAAAATGTTCTTAGTATCGCATTGTTTTCAGATATTAATAATGACCGTCTTAGTTACCTCGTAGAGAGTGTATGGCACTATTGCACATATTCCCTTTATAATTTAGTTGGTTTGAATGCATAGCCATCTTCTTGAGTGGTTGTTATGGCCAACATTTACATGTTAGGTTTCCAATGGAAGATTTGACGTTCAGATACAAAATTTTGAGATTTTGATGAACTACACACTGGCTAACAATTCTATGAGCATATCATTCTATAACGGAACAAGCCAATGACAAAAGGATATATCGTGAAGTGATGAATATAAATTACTACTGGCAGATGGAGAAGAGATGTATGGAGTGTGAATGGGGAACGATGGGGCTGGATGAACGGTTGCAGTAATTGGTGGACGTAGGTTGGAGTCATGAGAGTTGCATATTTTTTTCTTGGGTGCAAAAAATGTCAAATTGCTTTGGGGGTTTGGGGAGCGTTGGCCGGATCCTGATTCTGCCAGGTGAGGATTTCTTTTTGGATTGAAAAAAAATCGTAAGACAACACTATGACATTTTGTGATCATCATTTTTTTATATTTTATTATGATGTAAGTTCGTCAGGAAGATGAAAACAAAATTTTGAAACAATTTGAACAATCTATGGTCAATTATTGAAGCAGACCAAGCTAAATGAGGGATGCTCCCGAATGGTTGATATTTGGTTCTAATGGAACGTGCTTTTGCAGTGTATGAGGTAGCCTGTGTTTTCTATTACATGAAAAGCGGACGTTTTAGAAAATAGCAATTATAGTATGAGATTGAAGAACATTTTTGGGAAAACTAGGGAGAGATAGTGAAAAGTCGTGGACCTGTATGACAAGAAAAGAAGAATTGGTTTGGGTTGAAGTATACTCCTGTAATAACTGGGATTGATTTACTAGAATCTGATTATGAGCGATTGATTGAATTTGAAATCTGCTCTTTTGCTTGCATTCATGCTTATCCACGGTGTTAGCTGAGATATACTGCGGTCTAGTTTTTTATTTTTTCATTGACGTTGTTGACTCGAACATTTGTTAAACATGCCAATGAACTGAGTTGTGAAGATTTAAGCCTCAATTTCGGTAAAACCATGTTTTACCATATGGAAGACAGTCGTATGAAAGTATCCAGTGCTTATTGTGCTTAATGAGAAGCCTTATCTATTCTTGAAGCTCTACTTCTTCTTATGAAAGGATTATAGCATTATTTCGTTTTAATTTTTTGTTAGAGCCTGAATATTTGTAGGTTTCTGTCTATGCAATATACTTCAGAATTTTTTCCATGAAGTAGTCTTTGCAATGGTGCCTACGGGGTCGTTTATTTGCCGACATTTTTCGTTTGCATTGCTTTTATTCATTAATTTCATCTGCTTTACCCATGTATTATCTTAGCTTGGTTGTTCTTATCTCCATGACCTATATACTTTTACATTGATTTAGACTGAACGTAAATATTGATTTCTAGAGATGAGCACCAGCAAAATTTGCTTCAGGCAATGTTATCTATAATGGTTGCTATAGTGGAAGAGAAAGTTTCGAAAAATCTCTTGGACGTGATTCTAAGCAATCTATTAAAGGAGGGAAAGGTACCTTCTCAGGGTCATATTATCCTATAAATAAATTACTTTTTAATGCATGTAGGCTTGATGATCGTGTGTAAAAGACCATTGTTGGCCATCTATAAGTTTCTGTTTTCCAAATTACTGTCATGAACATTGACTGCAAACTGCACCAGACTAGATGGTAGGATTAAACGAAGCCTAGCTAATGCCCTTTTTACCAAGTTTTTTATGGTTTATTTGGTTTTCAATCATTTTTCAACTATTTGCACATCATAAACGAAGCACAAATTATACCTGTTTCAACCTCCTGCCTGGCTTTCAAAAGCTTTCTTTTAAACACTGTCTGAGCGTTAAGTAGATGCTCGAAATCCTCTATTTTTTATTTTTTGATATTTTTAACATGCGAAATTATTCGAATTTTCATTCTGATGGTTTTCTAGGTGGTTTGATGATAATGTCTTTCGTGTATTGGTGTTTACCTTTCAGGGTGGATCATATGGATCGTTCAAGCTTGCTGTTTCACTTGTTGAAAATTGTGCAGAAAGGCTGGAGCCTCACATTCGTGGATTTCTGACATCTTGTATTTCGGAAAGGGATGCTACTGGAAATGAGCTGAAAGAGTTTTACCATGAAATTATTTTTCAAATTTATCAATGTGCTCCTCAAATACTTATTGCTGTTATGCCAAACTTGACTCAGGAGCTACTAGTAGGTGTTTGGCTATCCTATATCTAATGTTTATCAAACTCTTGTCTTTTTAACTAATTTGTTATGTCTGAACTGTTGTCAGACTGATCAGGTGGATGTCCGCATAAAGGCCGTCCATCTGATTGGAAAGCTTCTCACTCATTCAAGACTCCAGCTTGCCCTGGAATATCGCCCACTTTTTATAGAGTTTCTAAAACGTTTTTCTGACAAATCATCAGAAGTTCGATCTAGTGCGGTAGATTGTGCTAAAGCATGTTATTTGGTGAAATCCTCCGGGGCTGAAGCTTTTGAAATTCTCAGTGAGCCAAGATATTTTCTCCTTTAATTTTTTGGGTACTTTTTAACACTTTTTTTTTCTCTCCATAAGTTGGTTATTTCATCTTCTTTAACAACCTATGCAGCTGCTCTACAAGGACGGCTCTTAGACTTTGATGACAAAATACGGATACAAGCTGTGACGGTGGTTTGTGAACTCGCTCAGGCTAACCTGGAATTTTTTCCATTAGAGTTGATTCTGCAGGCAGCAGATCGCGTTCGGGACAAAAAGGTGATTAGAAAGTAAATTGCGTCATTTTCATCTAATTTTGAATTTGAAAATATAACCATGCTGAACCGCTATCAATCCCAGGTTTCTGTTAGGAAAAAGGCAATGATAAAGCTGCTGGAGTTGTATCATGCTTACTGTATTAAATGTTCTGAGGGCTTACTTCCTATAACTGATCACTTTGAGCAGATACCTAGTAAAATCATAACCCTCTGCTTTGACAAAGACTGCAAAGAATTCAGGTTTAATTTATTTATTACTCTGGATGTGCCTTATAATTGAAAAGTGCTTCTTTTCGAGATTTTATTTACATGTGTTCAGCCTGCAAAAAATGGAGCTCATGCTTGCAGAAGATCTCTTCCCAGCATCTCTTCCAGCTGAGGAGAGAGTGCGCCACTGGATGGCTTTGTTCTCATTTTTCACATTGCCCCACTGCAAGGCATTGGATTCCATCTTAGCTCAGAAGCAAAGGTATAGGGTTCTGCTGCTATGCAAGCACATGACGTGGTTGCCTTTTCTGATAAAGCTTTTTATTGTGCCCAGGTTTCAAAGGGAAATGAGAACATATTTGTCTCTTCGGGAAATAGGAAAGGTAGTGCTTCCAATTTCTAAATGTGTTCTAGCTTTAATGATGTCTCTACTCTGCATTCAAATGTTCAATGATTCTTTTAATATAGCTTGATGTCATTGGTAGTGTTTTAGTTTTTCCGGACAGTTGCATTTACTTGGAGTTTTAAGATAAACTCATAAATTTATGCTGTTATTTGAGAAGAGAACAGCAAATAGTATGTTATTCACAGTGGCTTACGGTTAGGCCAATTGGATAGTTGGAGTCTAAGACTGTGTCCAGACTACTTTACTGAGAAGAATGCGGTAGTGTGGCCAATGTCAAATTTGGACTGTACGGGTCGTTTTTGTGTTGATGCGTTGTGGTGTTCCATTTCGTTAAGACCTTTTTTTTTAATGTTTCCTCACTTCCTCTGTTACATGAGTTTGATATTATCATCTCTCGGCTTTGTCCTTTCTTGGCACGTGGCACTGACAACCTTCTATACAGATGTTCCAGTGCAATTGTTATTGCGACTCTAGGAAGTTGTACATGCCTGTTTGTATGACTTATATGAGTAGAAACTTATCCATTTCGAGGTTCGTTTCTGGGGTTAATCGCATGTATTATGGATGTCGAGTGCCATTGGAAAATCCAGTTCTCCTGCTTAATTTTTTGTTTACTTGAGTCAACCAGTACCGTTGCCCAGGTTTACTCCTTTTGCAAGTCATTGACAACATTTTCCACTAATCATAAGGTGGATTTGTGCATTTTACGTGTTGAAAAATCTGCATGTGGTGTATTTGCGCTATGCTGGATATTTAATTATAGGCACATGTATAGGGCTATCAACCTTACTGACGTTTCATGATATTGGTTCTTTCTTTGAAGTTGGCAAACCGACAATTGTCAGTCTGTTGGTGAAACCATTCCGGGCACGATTGGATTTTTTTAGCGCTGATTGTGAATCCCCTGTTGATTTCAATGCAGGTGAATAGTCCAGAAGAGGTCAATGAGAAAATTTCAGCCTGTTTCAAGAAGATGTCTTTGTCCTTCATAGATTCTATCAAAGCTGAGGAGTGCTTCGGAAAATTGCATCAAATGAAAGATAATAATATCTTCAAGGCATTGCTCGAGTTAGTTCGTGAACAGAATTTCTCAAATATCCAATCAAATCAGGTCAATGCTTTTTTTCTTTCACGAAAATTAAAACTGTGGAATCAAATGAATTAAGGTTGTTTTTTGTAGTATAAGCTTCGCGAGTTATCTCACTCATGCCATGATATCAATCATACTATTTATGAGAAGGCTAGACTTGAGGCAATATAAATAGATTAGAAATTTCATGAATAATTGGTCACTGGTATTATAAAATCATATTGCATGCAATATTATTTTTGTTATCATCTGTGGATTAAATGGCAAAAATGACGCAAAGACCTTGGGAGGAATCATTGGTGTTAAAGTTAACTTTGAGAAAAGCACAGGCTTAAACGTGTGAAGGAAATATGTTAAGATGAGAGCTTTGCTTATAGATTGTGAGGTGGGAGAATGTTGAATTCTGAAAGGACTGTAGGCTTTTACCAAAGTTTGAAAATCGATTTTCTGGTTCAAAAGGGGCCTTCTCAAATGAAATAGAAAGTGTGCAAGAAATAAAATATGAGATATTATAAGTAGAAACATCAACGATGCTTCTGACATTTGTATAAGAAATGGGCAAAATCTCTTTAGATTGCCTCTACTTCAAATATAATATTGTTGCAATACATTTTATTATTCTATTTCTATTTGATTAGTCATATCAGCTAGTTTTTCAAGATATATACGCTTTAATCTACATAAATTAGTTTTTGCTGTTAAATGGTCACGCCATACCCAGAACTTGCAGAGAATAAATCCATGCCTTCACTTTTTGTATGGTTATTTTGTTGGCATAGTGTCTAATATAGATATTTGACTGCCGATTTATTGCTTTCCCAATGAGTTTTTTTCCGTTTTGTTTTCTTGGTTTCTTATAGTGTTTGTATCCAATCTTTCAGGAAGCATTTTTGAAGAGGATAGGAGATAAGCATTCAAATTATGAATTTTTTAGAGTACTCTCCTTGAAATGTGCCTATTCTATATTTACAGTAGATCACGTACGCAGCATCCTAGAAGGCTTACTATCGAAGAAAAATGAAAGAGAGCAATACTTAGACACAACCAACTTTGATCTTCTCGTCGTAAGTTTTACTACTGATATTTTCAGTTTATAAATATTTTTATATTTGAACATAGATTTAACTTTTTAAATTGTTCATAATTACTAACCTTTCTTGTGTTCTGGAAGGGGATGTTGTTTGGGTAGTGATAGGAGGTGGCCATGTGAGCAGTGACATTGCATCTGGCGGCAATGTGCAATATTGAAATATTCTTTCAACCCTGATTTTCATTGGCTTTCTTTTTATTTCTGCTTCATTCTTGATCCTTCTTCATTCTCCTCTGTTTACCAGTCTTTCATCTTTTCATTCTTGTTCATACATGACATTAACCGGCTTCTGTCTGGTCTCTTTTTTCTTTAATTTTTTTAATCTTGAAGGCGATATTTGTTTGACCCTATAGAAACTAACTGGGAAATCTTGGTTCCTATCAAAATTTCCAGAGTTTGATTTTTATCAGCTGAACCTGTATGACCATTATTAAAGCTACTTTTTCAGGGTATAGATACCATGAATAAAATGGCGTTTGGCTGGACAAAATTCCATTATTTCTTATACATATACTGTGGCCTACAGGTCTGTGGATATCCAATATTAATGTGTGGATATAGCGGTAGAGTAAGATAATGAAGGTCATCTTAGGCCGCTTGAAGTAGGCTACTGTGATCCCTAATGGTGCATTTGGCTTAATATGGACCAGGCATCCGAAGGTCAAGTTCATTGTTAATAAGTTCGTTGATCTATTACTGATCTCATGGTTAGTTATTTGGCCCAATGATACTTGTAATCTTATCAGTCTCCTCATCAGTGAGCAAGCTTACTGGTACCGATTTTAAATACCCCCTTAAAGGTTGTTGGGGCACAATTGTCCAAATCAATACAAACAAGCCTAATTAGATTCACGAATGCTTCATCCCATTGGTTCTCAAATCAGTTTTAGTTTAAATAATTATAGTTTTAGCCCATATTGTTATCTAATGAGATTTATTGTGAAACTTTAGTAAGACTTATATCACTGAGATTTAAATGTGCTACATTGCAAAAAGTTGTCAAATGGGCTTCATCTCCAGGATCTTAAATGATCATCTTCTCTAAAATTTCAAATTAGTTTAATCTGTAGTAGTCAAATGAGCTTTTATCTAATAGACACTCCAATGTGCTTCATTCTAAAAAAGTAGTCAAATAAACTTTATTTATGCTATCAAATGTCCTTCATTTTAAAATGTTTATCAAATGAGTTGCATTCATGATTATGCATGATTTTAGACCTACTTTTAAAGTTAAACAAGTTGCATTATGTAGTAGGTTTGTTTATATATGTTATCGCTCTTATGACAGTTAAGGAAGGGCGTTCCTTGGGAAGATGTAATTAGCGCCGAATTGAGTTGAGGGGGAGCATCTCAATTTAAGTAAATTTAGAAAGCTATGATCTATCAATGTGCGTAAAAAAAAAACAACAAATTATCTCAAGCCTATCAAAAGAGATGAAAGATTATCATCATGTAGTTTTGTGATTCCTTTTGAATTTGATTCAATGTCTTTAGGTTGATCGTGGCATGTGTTGGGTGTAATGATCTTATGAGATTGATCCTTTAGACTAGACTACTTTCTTATCATCAATTTTACTTGAAAAAGATCTTTTGTGTAATCTGTTTGTGTCCTGCAGTCAGAATCAAGAATTTCTTGCATGCTGATACCAGATTTTATTTTTTCATTTCTGATTTAGTCTATAGTGAGCATATTCCCAACGTTGTTAAGAGGATCCGAGGATCAGTTTCTTGGTTTATTCCCCATGGAGGTTGAACAACTGAATGAAAAGCTTCTTCAGATGCTAATCAGAGCTGGTGGTCATATTTCTATAAAACTCAGGTAATAGTTGGTACCAAGATTGGGGTATTCTTTTTAGTTTATTGTAAGTGGAGCAGTTAGTTTTCTAAGATTAGTTTACATACGTACGGAATTGCAAATTTTCATTTAAAATTTTAAATGTGACAAGATTTTAACTGTTTATTTTTTTTTAAATTTTGGAAGAAAAAAATTTGAAGGGTTTTAAATTCTACTTGTCTAGGGATATATACCCCTTCTTGGAGCAAGCATGTCTGGAGGGCTCTCGTATTCAGTCAAAGCAGGCTGTTTCTGCAATGGCTTTATTAATGTCTGCTTCTGATGAGTTGATTTTCGATGATTTATGTGAGGTACTCTGCACTGTTAAGACTTAAATATTCTTATTTTCTCCACGACATTCTGAACACATATTTTTTATCCTTTTTCATCATTTTCTGGACGGACAAATCATCAAAACTCTGTATATTCGATGCAACTGGTCTTCTGTTTGTTTCGCCATTTTCTTGCTGTCCCTTCTAACTCAACAGTAGCAAAGAAAAGACAGTAAATTTCGTTACCAGAGTCTTTTTAGGGAATTTCGTTAACCTTGTATAACCGGGTGCCTCATTGAGTTGATTAAATGCCACGAAAAAGACAGTAAATTTACTACAACTTTGAACGATCCTGTCCTTCTCAGATGATAAAGATATGGTAAACGCTGATGTAATAATCTTACAAAAAGTTTCATCACATTGTTTTTTTAGTGCTAATTCTAATTTCTTTTCTTCATTTGACAGAAACTCCTTGGCTTCCTTAATAGAGGTCAGAATATGCCAACAATCTTGCAATCTTTGGGTTGTATTGCACAGCATTCTTTATCATCCTTTCAGCTACACGCCGAGGAGATAACTCAATTCATCATCCAAAAGATAATCTCTGATGTGGAGGTGCGTTCCAACTTTCCACTTTTACCAAAAGTTTCACCTTTTTGCAGAAGGTGTCACCGGTTCCTTCCATCTTAGTGATCCTAATGTTATCTAGTAAACATTTTTATCTGCCATTTCCTGCATTGTTCCTCAAAAAAGATGATGAGGCTGGATTTTTTATGTCATTCTTATAGGTGCCTTCATTAAACAAGAAAACTGTTAATCATGGGGGACCTATGTGCAGTGCCTCTTGCAAATTGAAAGTGAGTTGGAAAATGCCACTGTTTCAACGTTCTTTGATTCAACCTTGCCTTTCATTTCACTGTATGTTCTAATATTTTGATTTTTTTTGTCGATTTCTAGAGTGCACTTCTCATCTGGTATCATTTGAGCCTGGAATTGCAAAAGTTAGGATCCCTTTTCATCAACACGTTTCTGCGGAAGGTTATTAAGCGTTATCAAGATACTATTTTTGTATATAGTGCCGAAAACGCTGAGACAGACATTGATCACCACCGTTTTTATATGTAATAATTATAAACCCTTCAATTCCATCAGCATACTAGGAAAAACTCCAAGATCCTTTGCATTCTTACCTCAAATACCAATGCCAAAGCATGGAAACCTTTCATCAAATGTTTAGCTTAAAAGTAAAAAGTAACTTAGACATTATAATAACGGAATGAAATGGAAAAGGAGAGATAAAGCACCAGTATTGCCCCAATAGAGCCAGCTGCGAGGGAAATTTTCTTCTTTATCTATCTTCATTTTCGTTCACTGCTCTTGCATTGGTTGCATAAAAAAAGAGGTCGATCCCTGATAGTCTATATTTATTTCAATCTGCGTATATTCATATATATATATATATTTATTTATTTATTTACAGGAAAAAAATATCGCAATAACTTTTTTGTTTCGAATTTCTATTTCTGAAAGTTTTTTCAAAGCCTTAACCTATGTTATGCACCTTCTTTCCCATAGTCTTGCCTTATGGCTCTTAAAGTCAAGGATTCGTTTGATGCACATTAGAGGTTAATTTTGTTTCCTTTTTTTCTTTATTATTGAATATTGTTTCTTGAGTAGTCCTCGGGGAAGGGAAAGTATTTGGAGAAATTTAAAAGTGCAATATACATGTATTTCTTGCTGGTGAAAGATAATAACTTCAGCCTACTTTTTTCACGTTGAACTGGGTGCTTACAAGTTTCTTATGCAGTAAAGTAAACGAAACCAATGCCATTTCGCCTCATGTTCTCTGCTGCTACATAGATTGTGAAACACCTTCGTCTGCAGGGTGGATGTTTCTATTTGACGAATTTCATGGCTAAATCTACCAATAAATATCGGTGGATTTTTTTTTGGTAAAATAGATTTTTCCTTACGGTACGAAGATGGCATATAGCTTCATGTGTTATTGGTGAATTGCTCCTCGGAAGAGTACCATGCTATGCGTTCTTATTTTGTGGGGTATTGCCCCCTATTTTTCTGATGTATTCTCTCTTTCGATGTGTGCCAAAGATCTTCATACTTTCTTGTATGTGTTTTTTGTTTGCTTTAACATATGATACCTGTGACAGATCTATGGGTTGAAAACACTTGTCAAGAGTTGTTTGCCGCTGCAAGTAGCTCATGGCCAGAATCAAATCCGAGGATTGCTAGATATATTGTTGAAGATACTCCAAGAAGAAGAAATCCCAGATGGAGTTGTGTCAAGGTCAGTCCTTATGAATTACTTTATTTCACAAAGTTTTACATTTTTCTTCTTCTTTTGATCTTTATCCTTGTGAATTTATCAGGCTGAGCTCCAAAATTCAGCGCTTCTTAAGTGCATGATTTCTGATGTTTGACTCCGCTTGTAGTCTCTAAAGAAAATAAATGACTTATTAGCTTTCATCTTCTGATCTTATTGTTTCTTGGAGGTTACTATTTTACTTCCTTCTGAACTTCATGCTATTGCGTATCATGCCAGAAACCACACCCTTTTGACCTCAACAGTGTCTGCAGCCACCATATTATTATTATTATTATTACTTGATATATTTTAATATAATAGAGGTAAATATTTCTACACCACGCCACGTAAGATCCCCCAAAGAACTGGATTGCCAAAAAAAAAAAGTAAAAAGCGATTTTCTGGCTGTAAGATTTCTCGGAAAAGCATGCTTCTTATAGTTAGTATTCAATAAACCAGAACTCCATTCATTATCCATTCCTTGGGCACTAGGAGCCCAAGCATCTTAGAGATTGGAGATGTGTCTGCTCCATACGTGAGTGAACCAGATCGCAGGCACCTTCACTGACGAGTTTGTCTGTTTATGTACCCCCTGGCATACGTTTGAAGGTCGTCTTTTTCCATCTGTGCAGGGAAGCTGACCAGGCTCACCTCAGGTTAGCTGCTGCCAAGTCTGTTGTTCGCCTTTCTACCAGATGGGATTTGCACATATCACCTCGCCTGTTCAATTTGTCAATGGCATTGGCCAGGGTATGGAAGTCAACGGCTTTCCACAGTTGTTCTCCACAAGTCAACGGGGGAACGAACGTAATCACCTGCTGATGTTTTTTATGCTTTTTCTTTTTCCAGGACCCTTCTCCGGTGGTTTGCAGATCGTTTCTCTGTAAAATAAATAAGCTTCTGAAGGAGCAAGCTATCCCGAAGCGCTATGCCTGTGCCTTGGCGTTGGGCTGTTGCTCAGAATGTCTTTCAGACACGAAAGCTGACGTGGGTTCTTCTCTTCCTCTCCCCTGTTCTTCCCCTTGAATCTCCATTTAATTGGTATTTCTCCAAAAATAAATAAATAAATAAATAAATAAATTGCCTTCTGGTTCAGGCCTTGAATTACCTTGGCCAGTTCTTTAGGGAGTACAATCGCAGAGCTCGTCTCACCCACGGCTCTCCAAGACAAAACATGGATGGAGGGGCGTTGACCACCTTCCCAGCGTACATCGTAGTCTTCCTCATCCATGTTCTTGCCCATGATCGAGGATTCCCCTCTGCTGACTCCCAGGACGGCGAATACGCCTTCGCCAGCTTCTACAGGTAGAATGACCAATCCCTTTCGAAAAAATATTTTAAGAGGCCGTATTGATCTCTCTCTCTCTCTCTCCATCTATCTCTACAGCCCTCTCATCGCCCTCCTGCAAGCATCGGTCAACCCGGATTTCTACGCCGGCGGCAAGCTCGAGGAAGTTAATGAGATGGCGTCGTACCTGTATGGGATCTTCTCCGCAGTGAAGAGGGCGGTGGATGCCGTTGACATTCGATTCACATCGGTATGAGCCTCTGGGCATCATATAATTTCCTCTCTTATCTTCCTGAATAATATCTACACATGTTTTAAACGTTGACTTTGTTTCATTTAATTTTTTCTCAATGCAGAAGTTGCATCGTCTTTCAGAGATCGGTCTGTTCATGGTGAGGAAGGTTGCCCATAATCCACGGCCTCCATCGCACTCACCCCGCCTGGTCCTTCTCCCCTCGTCATTATATAAAGTCAACGACGATGCCAGATGTCCAGAGGCGAGCCTTCCAGATATAGCCCTCTCTCTCTTTTTTCTCTTCTCTCTTCTCTCTCTTAAATTATTTCCATGTCCAGGCAACTTCTCCAGCGGAGGAGGCCCACCTGGATGAAGGCTTCATGGAGAGGATCCTCCTCAGGGCCGAATCCTTCATTTCCCGGGTGAGTTGACCGAACCCATTTCCGGAAATTTCTTATCCTGTCGGAATGGAAGATCTCGACTTTCTAAGTCGTCCCCCCCCCCACTTTCGGACAGCCTGCTCCTCATGTTCTGGAAGGGACAGGGAGGAGAGAGGGAGATCTCCCTCCGACGGCGGGGAAGAGAAGAGCAGGGAGAGCGGCGGACCCCATGAACCCCAGGAAGAAGGCGGCGCTGTCCTCGTCCTCTTCTTCGTCGGTGGAGCTGATCCAGGGCTGTTCGCAAGTGAGGAAGAAGACGGCGGCGGCGGCGGCGGCGGACTCGGGTGAGAGGAATATTCCGTCATCTTGTGCTTCTATCAGCCCGGGCCTATCCGTGGATTCGCTTACCCTTTTATGATCGCCAATTTATCAAAGACTGGGCCGTTGTTTTGTTTCTATGTTTGGAGTTTCGTTCTGAAGGAGAATTGGAGAGTCCGAATGCTAGATCTGGGCCGGGTTCGGGTCCGGAGAGATGCGGCCGGACCCGAAAGCCAGGCCCTCTCTGTGGATCTGTGAGAGAGAAAGACACAGGAAAACAGAGAGTCAGCGAGAGAGAGAGAGAGAGAGAGAGGGAGAGATTTCCGGGCGCAGTTACCAGAAAAATGTCAATGAATGGTGGCGGTTTCGAGACGCAGTGAGACCATTCTCACCTTCGCCGGTGTTGACCCGCCAAGATGGACGTACGAAAGTGAGGTCACGGTAAGGTTAAGATGACAGACAGACAGACTGCTCTGGTCTAACCCATGATCGAATCTTCGTTGAAAACAGGTCACAAGAGGCGGCGGCAAAACAGAATATAATAGGAGGCCGAGACGGTCGACGTGGAGACCGCCGGAGAGAACCATGGAAGCTTCCAAAACGTGGGCGCTAGGGCCAAGGCAATAAATACCGTCCCCCCCGCCCCCCCCCCCCCGCCCCCCCCGCCACCGCCGCAGGCCGCGGTCAACATAGTTCCCTCTTTTCTGAACTTGTTCTTGTTCCCACTCGTTTTGACTCCCCCTCCGATCGCCAGGTAATTGTATAGAAAGGCCCTGTTTATTGACTACCAGAAGATATCCCCGGCGTTCAGAGCTCGAAGGGGCGCAGATTGGGCGTGGCGTGGAGGTTTCGTACCGTACCTCAGGGTAAGATCCTCCCTCTCTCTCTCTCTCTCTTAACTTGTCCTTGTACGGTAATGCATGGCATAAATGAGGAGAGTACTCATACTTGCCGGTTTTGTGATTGAAACCGAGTTTCCTGGTCTATCATTGAATCGCTAGTAGAGGAGAATTGGAAGATAGAATATAGTTCCAGCTAGTAAGAAATCAATAGAGAAGGCATCAATTCGTAGTCTGATTTTCTCTCCTGTACCAGATTATTCGCCGCCCTGGCGTAGCTTGGCCTTTGATCTTGACTGGATTTGAAAGTTTGAAAGCTTTTTTCTCGTAAGATTGTTAAAAATTTTCCACACCGCCGGTAGAAAACACCGTATGCGTAGAGTAAGTAGAGGAAAACATGGTATTACTCTTGAAAGCAGTAAGCTGGATACTCGATGATCTGGTTATCTCCATTGGAAAGTTGATTGATTCGGATACTGTTCTTGATATTGAGTGAAGATGGGTTGATGAAGGGATGAGATTCTGTGGGCATGTTTTGTGACAGGCGTACTCCTAAAACTGAACAAGTTAGCTTTGTAATACAATTATGAGAGCTTCAATTCCTAAATAGAGGATATTAAGCTCTAAAACAACTACAGGAATGTGAACGTTCCGATTGAACGTGAGACGTTTTAGAGAGAGGGTGAGAGAGACAGAAGAAAATATCTAAAAGTTTTCCAGGTGTTGTGGCGATGTTTTGATGGCATCAGAGGGAGCATAGGAAGGTCGTAATGTGTGCAGCAAGGCCGGAAAAGTAGTGTGCGAGTTAGATTTGAGGGAAAATTCTGGAAACCAAGCTAAGTTGCATATCCAATAATGAGAAAAAGATTCCAACGAAAATAATTCTCTTTGATTTGGATTGTAACTATTTTTAGCGTTTAGTGGCGTTCTATATGGATTTCCTGAGCGGGAAAGCTAAGAACAGTTTCTATCTGTGCCTGTGCCTTGGTGCGGTTTGTGTCCATCATTCATTACCTTACATTTACCTAGTGAAGCTTGCAGAGTAGCATCGGGTTGATAATTGATGTTGCGGATCCTGATGGTGACAAGGCTTGTATTGATTCGTCGAATAGAATTTCACCGAGCATAAATTTCATGCAACTTTTTTTTATCGATTTCCACGCTACAATGATTTTTAATGAGCTGGATCATGGCAACCGTACTTGTCACACGTGCTGAACTTGTCACGGACACTAATGACTTGCCTAATATAGGACTCTGTTGATTTGCTCCTGATGCCTTTGACAGGGAAAGTAGAGATGAATCCATATCTTGTTGGCCTCCTAGTTCCAATCTTGATCGCTTTCATTTTTCGGAAAACCAAGAGTTATAAGAGACGCGGGTTACCTGTCAATTCTGGCGGAGAACCTGGATATGCAGTCCGAAATGCTCGTTTCCCTTCTCCTATTGAAACAGCGTGGGAAGGCGTCTCAACGATCTCCGGTCTCTTTGAGATATCGTGCAAGAAGTATTCCAGCAATCACTTCCTTGGTTCCCGGGATTTAATCTCCACGGAGACAGAGGTGACTGCAGATGGGAGGTCCTTTGAGAAGCTTCACCTTGGAGACTACCAGTGGGTTAGCTATGGTGAAGTCTTTGATGCCGTCTTGACTTTTTCCTCTGGTCTGGCGAAACTCGGGCATAAAAAGGGGGAACGTGCCGCAATATTTGCTGATACAAGAGCAGAATGGTTGATAGCTTTGCAGGTAACAATCTATCTTCTTTTCTGATCGGCATTTATCTAAAATTAGTATTAGTTTTTGAGAAATTATCTATCAGCAGTGAGACACGAACGTCTTTTGAGAAATTAATATTTCGTCTAAAATGATTTTTCATCAAATGTTCTTAGTGATTTAATTTTTTCTGCTGTGTCTCTGTTATAAATTTTACTTGAGACAGTGAAGTGATGGGTTCGTAAATAGTTTGGAAGACATTGTACAACAGTTCCTCAAAGCATGGACAATTCCTGCATAAATTTGAATTTTTTACATTTATGTTCTCTTAATGCGACTAGTCTTGTGGATTCAGTATAGAGTTTGCCGCAAATTCTCTCTAATGTCTCGACTAAACTGAAGCTCAATCTCATTGAACTGTAGCTCCTCTCTTGAAGTGCATTTTTGTATCTTTCTAATATTCGCTTCTTTCATGGATAGGGATGCTTCAGGCGAAACATCACAGTCGTGACCATATATTCTTCCCTTGGCGAGGAGGCTCTATGCCACTCATTGAATGAGGTTTCATCTCTCAACCCGAACTCCAAGGAATTATCACATCAGAAGGAAACTTATCAGTACTTCCCTCATAATGAGAAAGAACATGAACACAGGCACAGAAACCCGACGCTCAATGATGCAATTGTATTATGGCACCCCTAGGTGCAATGCAGTAAAATTAATTAATCGTGCCAAAAGAAAATGAAAATCAAGCTTGGATAACATTAGAGTTTTTTTATTTTTCTTGCATTCTGATCTAAATTATGTTCGAAATATCTAGACAATCACGCACAGTATTTTCTTCATCCACCACCATTAATTGAGTTTGGGATTGTTTGTCGTCGTTCCACCTGCCGGGGAAGCCTATGAATGATTGTTTCTATTATTTTCCAAGAAGAAAATCTGCCTGAAACTCGAGTAAAAGCATGAGAAAAAAATTGCATTTTTTTCCTTTTTTGGAATTTTAGTCAAATAATAATCACTTTGATCCAGTTTTATTGTAAAACCATAAATGTACCTGCTTGTTCGTACTCCCACTGATTATTGGTTTAATTCGGTCATTCCAGACGGAAGTCACAACTGTGATCTGTGGACACAAAGAATTGAAGAAGCTGCTTGATATAAGTGGGCAGCTGGTGTCGGTAAAACGCGTCATCTGCATCGATGATGCCGGCATTTCGAATGGTGTGTCATCTGAAGATAGGAATACAAACTGGACGACTGCCTCATTCTCGGAGGTTAAAAGGCTTGGTAGAGAAAACCCTGCAGAAGCAGATTTACCGGCTTCATCTGACATTGCAGTGATAATGTATACCAGCGGCAGCACCGGCTTACCCAAGGTTTGTTTGAGATACACTCCGTTCAGTCCGTGAAATTCATGCTGTCTACTATTTTTCTGCGATACGGGTTGCATTTATCGAGCATTCCATATGGCGAATGAAAGGCGTTGATTAGTATGGCGTTTGTAATTTACGGGGATGATATTACGATGAAATCAGTTTCCTGACAACGTTTTCAGGAGCGAGGAAGAACAGAAATAAAAATTAGCGAATGCTTTAGGAGCTAAACTCTTCATAGGGCATTTTAGTTCTTTGAGAACACATGTAAACAAACTTTGACGAAATTCCTTAGTTTCTGGAGAAGCTTGATGGACCTGTGAAAGTTTGATTTGAAATATTTCACTGCGGACTAAGATCTTTCCAAAATTTTAATCAACTTTTCTTTGTTTAGGATGGTAACCTGTAAGTCATTCAAACCCCGTTCTGGTTCATGTTGTGAGTAAGGATTCAGGGTCACTTTGTTTGTATAATATGCACCACATTATCTGCTCATCGTGTATTACTCATCTTCCCAATTTCTTAGATTTTCAGGACTGTTATCTGGTAAGCTTCATCATCCGGGGTTGCTTGTCGAATCACAATCATTTTTCTTCATTCTTTTTTGGGTTGGGTAAAGGGATTTGGTGGTTTCATGTTTATGTTTCCTTTGATCGATCGACTTTCAGAATCACTGCCCAATTTATAAAATGTATATTCTTACATAGTTCTTCGAGGATCATCTTCATGCAGGGAGTGATGATGAGCCACGGCAACATATTGGCCACAGTCTCCGCCGTCATCTCAATCGTTCCCGACATCGGCGTAAAAGATATATACTTGGCTTACTTACCGCTTGCCCATATCCTTGAGCTGGTCGCTGAGGTAGGGATTTGAATAGCCTTGCATCTTTCCTTAGCTGTTCTTTCAATCCAATCCGTGGGCTGACGACCCCTCTCCTGGTTATCTAGAATGCGATGGTAGCCATGGGAGTGGGCATCGGATATGGCTCTCCTCTGACTCTCACCGACACGTCAAACAAGATCAAGAGGGGAACGAGGGGCGACGCCTCGGCGTTGAGACCGACCGTGATGACCGCGGTGCCGGCCATCCTCGACCGTGTCAGGGACGGTGTTAGAAAGAAGGTATCTAATCCCCTCACATTTTCAAATTATAGTTGTTGAGAGAGAATGATCCTTCCCTGGACCTGCTACGAGTCCTTTTCCTTTTCCTTTAATGGCGTCCCAGCTGTGATTAGAAAGACGATGTTTCATTCTCACGCATATATTTGTTATTATCATTTACGCAGGTGAGTGCAAAGGGCCGCTTTTCGAAGAAGCTATTCGATATAGCTTACGGTCGGAAGCTAAGTGCGATCAACGGCAGCTGGCTTGGGGCATGGGCCCTTGAGAAGACCCTGTGGGACTTTTTGGTTTTTAAGAAGGTCCGAGCCATTCTTGGAGGTCGCGTCCGCTTCCTCCTCTCTGGGGGTGCCCCTCTCTCTGGCGACACCCAGAGGTTCATCAACATATCCCTAGGGTCAGTACCCCTCTCTCTCTCTCTCTCTCTCTCGTTCTCTCTCTCCCCGAGGTTCATCTGATGCTTCTCATGGGTCTCTGCCTATCATTGAGGCGGCTAATGTCATGCCTGTACTTAATGTGCGCAGAGCCGCAATCGGGCAAGGATATGGCCTCACCGAGACATGTGCCGGGGGGACATTTTCCGAGGCCGACGACATATCGATCGGCCGCGTCGGTGCTCCTCTGCCCTGCTCATTCATTAAGGTGAGAAACAGTAGACTAATCCCATCTACCTCAAAGACGATTAAAGCATCATTTCCACAGCTCCGCGGAGTTTCTTCCCCTGTCCCTCTTCGTAATCCTTTTCAATAACTTGGTGCTGATCTCCTCAACTACAAGGATTTACATATTTCCCTCCTGATTTGGGATGATCAATCACAATGTTTCTGATGCCGTGCTAAAGCACAGTAGTGTCTTGAAGCTGGGAAGAGAGAGAACCCATTGGTTGACAATGGGAAGAGAGAGAACCCATATCCCTAACAACAAACCTTATTCGTTCTCTCCCTTGTGGGTCTTTTCCTGCTCTCACATTATCCTGCATCTTCTATGATTAATCACAGATTTATTTTTTCATTCTCCCATCACCTCATTCAGGTCTCCGTCTTGCTTGATAATCTGAGTAGAGCAAGCCCAATGAATTCCGCACAATGTTTGTTCATTGTGACGTTCCTGCTCTCACCTATTCCCCCATCACCTCGTTCAAATCGAAGCATCTTCCTAGACGAGCAGCATGAATTGTATTGATTTTTCTCCAATCCAGTTGATCGATTGGCCCGAGGGAGGCTACCTCACCAGCGATTCTCCGATGCCTCGCGGCGAGGTGGTCATCGGGGGTCCGAATGTGACGGCCGGTTACTTCAAGAACGAGGAGAAGACGAGGGAAGTCTACAAGGTAGTAACGCGCCTCCTCCGCTGCTTCTCGATGAAATCGACCGACATTGACTTTGGTTACTTTGGATTTTGATGGAATCCGGAAGGTGGACGAGAAGGGGATGCGGTGGTTCTGCACCGGCGACATCGGCCAGTTCCACCCCGACGGCTGCCTCGAGATCATCGACCGCAAGAAGGACATTGTGAAGCTCCAGCACGGCGAATACGTTTCCCTCGGAAAGGTGCGATCTTGTCCTTCCCCCGAAAACAACCACCTCTTTCTCTGTCTGTCTCTGTCTCTGTCTGTCTGTCTGTCTGTCTCTCTCTCTCTCTCTCTCTCTCTGTGTCAGGCTTGGCCAGGACTTCATAAAGTTTAGGGCTTTCCTAATTTCGTCTCTCTCTCTCTCTCTCTAGCTAGCTCTCTACTCTCTCTGTGTGGCTGAGGATGAGAAAAAAAGAAGTGGGGGCTTTATGGTGTGGGATGGCTGAGTGTGCGTGTGTGTGATATATTTTGACAGGTGGAGGCGGCGCTGATAGCGAGCCCATACGTGGACAGCATCATGGTGCATGCGGATCCTTTCCAAAGCTTCTGCGTGGCCCTCGTTGTCGCTTCCCCTCCGGCACTCGAAGCCTGGGCCCACCAGCGAGGCCTCCCCTTCGCTGACCTCCCCGACCTCTGCCGCAAACGCGAAGCCACCACCGAAGTCCTCTCCTCCTTGATCAAGGTTCTCTCTCCTCCCATTCACAGACAGGTATATATATATATCTAGAGAGAGAGAAAGAGGGCAAATGAGGGCTCATTTTGTGGGTGGTTGTCACGACGCAGGTGGGGAAGAGTGCGCGGCTGGAGAAGTTCGAGGTGCCGCCGAGGGTGAAGCTGTTGGCGGAGCCGTGGACGCCGGAGTCGGGTCTGGTCACCGCCGCCCTGAAGATAAAGAGGGAGGTCATCAAGAAGACGTTTTCGGGGGACCTCGCCGAGCTCTACTCCTCGTCCGGCTAGTCGATGGAGCTCACCTTCCTTGTTAGGGATGCTTCTCTCTCTCTCTCTCTCTCTCTCTCTGGCCCTGTCCGGATTTCCAGAGTAGGATAGTTCCACGTGCTGGTGATGTTTATATCTGCTACTGCCCATGGAACTGGCTTGGAAGCATCTAAGTTTTTTCATTCATATATGTATGTTGCCCTTCTTGTATCATTATTACATGAAACAGTTTGAATATAGGGGGAGCCAGTGTAACTTCAATCACTAATTATGAGAGAGAGAGAGAGAGAGAGGAAGGTTGTCCAGATGGTGTGGGGAACGAGCTCAGTCAACTGAAAAATGGGTCTCTAGAGAGAAGGACAGGGAGATTGGCGTCAATGACGACAGGGAAGGATCTCAGTCACGTCAATCATGGGGTTGCTAGAGAGAGAGAGAAGCTGGTCCAAATTATGAGGGAGAGAACTCCAGTCAGTTCACTGTGACAGGTTATGAGCCTACTCTGCGCAAGCCTTCAAGCGTCAACTCCCTTCGTCCTTTTCTGCTCGGGTTACGCACTTCGACCGTCGGATTTCCCAGCTCTGATCCGCCGGATGTTGTTCGGAGGTATAAAAACCGGATCACATGTCGCACGTAACGGGAATAAACGGTTACGTGCCCCCGCGCCCCTCCCTTCCTCTCTCTATATATATACACGTACAGACCCGACACGCGCGCTGCTCTCTCTCTCTCTCACTCTCCCTCTCTCTCTCTCCCTCTCCCGCCCCTGGAACCCTAGTTTCCTGGGACTGGAGACCCCAAGGCATCAGTCCTCTAGCCTCGCATGCCCTCCGTCATGGCCAGACGATCGCTGCCGCTCCTGAGGCAGCTCCTTCGGAGTCCAAAACCCCGCGAATCCCCTCCTTCCGCCCAGAGCAGGCGATCGGTGACCTACATGCCGCGGCCGGGGGACGGTGCCCCGAGGGCCGTCACCCTCATCCCCGGCGATGGAATCGGGCCGCTGGTGACGGCGGCGGTGGAGCAGGTGATGGCGGCGATGCGCGCTCCGGTCTTCTTCGAGAAGTACGAGGTCCACGGCGACATGGCCGCAGTGCCGAGGGAGGTCATGGAGTCGATCCGGCGGAACAAGGTCTGCATCAAGGGCGGCCTGGCCACTCCGGTGGGGGGAGGCGTGAGCTCGCTCAATGTGCAGCTGAGGAAAGAGCTTGATCTCTACGCCTCTCTCGTCTACTGCTTCAATCTCCCGGGGCTGCCGACGAGGCACGAGAATGTGGACATTGTGGTGATCAGGGAGAACACGGAGGGGGAATACGCCGGGCTGGAGCACGAGGTCGTCCCCGGGGTCGTGGAGAGCCTCAAGGTGAGTCTCCTTCGACCTCTCCCCCCTTCAATTGGTCTCTTATTTTGGATGTTGGCGAGCCCTATTGGCTGCCCCAGTTCTCCTCCTCTAGGCCTAAGCACTCTCCTAGAACCCTCTCCGTCGCTTCCCCAATTGGGTTCACTGCAAGCATGCCTGGCGTGGGGGATGAGGGAAGGGTACGCTGCCCATTCGGGCAATTCAACGGGCAAAAACCCAGCCAATTCTCGACGGAGAACGACAGCCTGCTCTATTCACCGACCAGCCATAAGCCAAAAGGCCCAATCTGTTATCCACTGGGTGAAAACTCCCCGAGTAGAGAATCTGAGAAGAAAAAAAGCGTACAATATATCCTGGCGTTATCCACTGTTTTCCTTGTTCCCGTCATTTCTCTGGAGAATTTCAAGGACTGCCAATGTCAGAGGAGGTAGCTGATTCAGTGAACTGGACTAGCAGCTGCGGAATCCCTGAGTGCACTAAATCAAGGCATACCCGTATGAAATCAAGGCCCATTCGTGGGTAATTGAAGCCAAAACATGAGAGGATGGATGTTCCCATTTTGGTGTCCTTTTGATGACATTAGAAGCCACCGCTGCAGGTCTGTCAGAGGTACCGCCGCTGCAGGTTGGTTACGAAGTTGACTAGATCAGTCGTAAACAAGCAGCCTCTTATGAAGAAGATCTGTCTGGAATTGCAGTACGTATCATCCCTTTGTCAACCTGTCACATTGATTGATTGACTGTCTGATCTCTTTTCACTTGATTCCGAGTAGTTGAGTTGACAACTCTGTTAGCATCCGTTCAGTATGTGAATGAATCCTTAGAACCTTAGAATCGCTAGTCTGAGCTATTTCTATTCATGGGTCTCTTGATTTTCTAGCTTCAGGCTAATTTCAAATTCTCGATAGAAAATATTACATGATTGTAGCCCAAGAAATTATGTTCCCCGTCATCCTTTTTTCCCCATCACAATGAGAAACTCTTGAGTCTAATTATTACTTAGCAACCGAGACAGGTGATCACCAAGTTCTGCTCGGAACGCATTGCAAAGTACGCCTTTGAGTATGCCTACCTCAACAACAGGAAGAAGGTCACAGCGGTTCACAAGGCCAACATCATGAAGCTGGCCGACGGCCTGTTCTTGGAATCCTGCCGTGAGATTGCCACCAAGTACCCCGGCATCAAGTACGACGAGATAATCGTTGACAACTGCTGCATGCAGCTGGTTTCCAAGCCCGAGCAATTTGATGTGATGGTATGTACGTTCTTCGCCGTTGCCCCCAATTAATCATACTCTCCTGTTTTTTCCAGCTGAACACCGTGAATGAATCCCATGTTATCGGAAAAATAATGCCATTTCGATGCATAATAGATAGGAAGGCTGTTCATGCGTGGCCATTGATCTAGTTCTACCATCCACAGGTGACTCCAAACCTGTACGGCAATCTCGTGGCCAACACGGCGGCGGGCATCGCCGGAGGAGCCAGCTTCATGCCCGGAGGTACTTACTTTCTCCAAAGTTTCTGTATTATGGTAACTAGTAGTGAACTCTACCAAAAGCCGAACTACCGTCACCCAGTAAAAGATATATATATATATATATATATATATATATATATATATATATAGAGAGAGAGAGAGAGAGAGAGAGAGAGAGAGAGAGAGAGAGAGAGAGAGAGAGAGAGAGAGAGGGAGAGATTGAAGTCGATCGCCATGAGCAAAGGGGGAAGAGAGAGTCTGAACCGGTGAATTGCAGGGAATGTGGGGCAAGAGCATGCGATATTCGAGCAGGGGGCGTCGGCGGGGAACGTGGGGAGCAGGAAGCTGGTGGAGGAGAAGAAGGCGAACCCGGTGGCGCTTCTGCTATCGTCGGCGATGATGCTGAGGCACCTGCAGTTCCCGTCCTTCGCCGACCGGCTAGAGATGGCCGTTAAGCGTGTGGTGGCGGAGGGTAGGTGCAGGACCATGGACCTCGGCGGTGACGCCACCATCCAGGAGGTCGTCGAGGCCATCGTAGCCGCCCTCCATTGAGAGTGGGCCTTCCTTCCCTTCTCTTGTTCCTTCTACACTCACCTTATCCTTTCTTTCATCTGTCCCGTCCCATCATCTTCTCTATGTCCATGGCAATGGCTCATGAAGAAAAGAAGTGTTTTCCGCATTCGATCGCGAGAAAGACGACGTGGGTTTCGATTTCATCTCACGGACCCCACGACGCTCAGAAGGAGATGTGGCCGGTAAATGAGAGCGGATTCGATCGGAGAGAAAAGAAGCATCGAATCCGCTGTAACAGAGAGATGTGGAGAAGGGTGGATTCGATTGGAGGATGCTTCTTTTCTCTCCGATCAAATCCTTCTGCTGTAATATCGCGTGCTCTTTCCCCCCATTCGGTGCAATTCACCGGGGCCACTGTTCGCGGCGATGGAGCTCCTGCCATTGGAGTAATCCAGTACCTCCTGCCATGAGGCCGGTGCCTCCGGCGATGACCCGCCGCCGTGTTGGCCCTCACAATTTAGAGATAACTCAGGAAAACAATGCGAGGAAATCCTTTCGGCAACACTCCTGAACTAGCCTCCCTCCACCCCCTCCGGCGTTATCTAATCTCTCGCTCTCTGTTGACTTGGAACAGGTTTCGCAGTCTTTTTATGTTGACTTCCCTGAGCCTTCCCTCCTCGACTCGGGGTACCTATCACAGTCCTTCATCAGACGGTAGGGCTGGTAGATCGGGGTCTCGCGGAGCTTCTGGAGCACGTTGCCGGAGTCAAGGTCCTCCAAGAGGCTCTCCTCGCACATCTCCCTGCGGTCGGCGAGTTCGTACTTCTCAGCCGCTGCTAGAAGCTCACGTGGTGCTTCATGAAGACATCCTCCTGGGCTTTATTTTTCTCCGGAAGGGGAGGGCATTATAGATCACGTGGTGTTCGTGTAGATTATTGTACGAGAATTGGTCAGATTTACTGTTCTCCGGAAGGAGAGGGCATTATAGCTTTCATCCAAATTATTGTACGATAATTGATCAATTTACTGTTCTCTCGTCTAAATCGGTACTCTTTTTCCTTGTAGTTCGTGAGAAGCTGCTAAGGAGCAGTGCCCTTAGCAGTCAGTCCCTTATTCCACTGTGAACCTGATTTATGCGTCTCGAACTTCATACTCGAAGTAAAGTTCTTGGACTTGAAGATATCTCATCAAAATGTAAGAGCTGCCTCGAATTGACGCATATGCTTATGATTGACTAAACATCTACTCTCATTAACTCAACACTTCTTATGGGTCCTCAGTCTTTCTCGTAGGATATATCAACAATGCCCTTGGTAGTGCTTGGCATACCCACCACCCTTCTAACTTCTGCCATAGCCAACTATGCCTCTCTCTTCCCTTAGCATTCTAGTGTACCCTTTGCCTAAGTCTCAAGACATGCCATAGAGTTATAGAGCTTGTAAAGGGAAGTCAAATCCTTGACGTACTCTCACACCAAATACTGTTTGTTTGTTAGTAGGAATGTCTCAATCTCCTTCACACATTGATGGATGATTTAGCTTGATCCTCTCTATCCATGGTACATGTTTCTTTGGTGTTGGAGTATAGTTTATCATGCAGTTACCTTGGTAGAAATCGGAAGTATGTCTCCAATTATTTCTTCATCACTTTCAAGTGGCATCCATGCCTAGTAGAAGTGGAGCTCCCCTCTCTCTCTCTCTCTCTCTCTCTCTCCCCTACGGATAAGAGTCCAGACGTCAGGCTTGGTAAGTACTGCCCATGGCCAGTGGAGGCCCGAACCGAGTCCCGACTCGGACCACTCGGGGGTTGATCACCGATTGGCTTCGAAGAGGTCAAGTGCCGCCCGCAGTTGGCGAAAAGCAGAGAGGGACGGGGTTGGCGCTCGCTGTGGACGAGGGCGATCGGCGAGATGAACTGCGGCGGGGGCAGCGTTGGCAGCGCCTCGAGCGACTCCAAGGTGGAGACCATATCGCGGCTGGCGCAGTGGAGGATCGAGAGCTTCGGACTCTGCACCTACCGCCGCTCCGATGCCTTCAAGGTCGGCATCTGGAATTGGTGAGGCAGATAGCCCTCCTCTACCGGGGGGATCGCACTGAATCAACGAGGTTTCATTCCGGGAATAGTTGTTTATTCTCTTTTCGTTTTTCTGTCAGGTACATGTCTGTGGAGAAGAACAGGTATATGTACATCAGGCTGTTTCCGGAGCCGTGCCGCCTGTCTAAGGAGCAGCCCCCCATCGCCAAATTCGTGCTTCGCGTCTCCAACGTCGGGCCAGGCCGACGCCCATACATATCCCCTGGTACTGGTCGAATTTTTCCCTGAATATGTTCCAGATGAATCCGGTTTCTCGTCGGCAGGTTCAATTGGATGCTTAAACCGATCTGCAGGTTCCGAGTTCCTCAAGTTCTTGCAAGGACTTGTTTTCTTCGTCTTCTTTTCGTCTCGCGTTCTCACAGATTTGGAGCCAAAATGGATTCCATGCTTTAAGAGTGATTATCCTCATTGGACGTGCTAGGTCTAATTTTCCACCTCTATCTGTGGGGATCGATCCTATCAAGTGAACACTTTATCTGTGGGAATTACTTTCTCTTTCTTCATCAATCGCGAGATTCATTGTTTGGAGCTTAAATCCACCTCTCTCTTGAGCGCCGTAGTTTATGGGCAGAGAAGGTGGGATGAATGAAAGACTATGATCCGGGAATGATTTGGTAATGGTGGAAAAGCTTCAAGGTAAGATCATTGATTATATAATACGCTTTAAATATCTTTAAATGATAAACACACAGTAACTAAACTCGTTGATGGTCCTCTCCCTTGGGATGAAACTTTTGATATCTTAAATCTATTGTCTCTGTTAAATTAAATAGAGATCTTATGAGATGGTTGAGACTAAGAGTGAAGATGCTGTGTAGAGAATATGGTCTGCTAGGTCAGTTCCTCTGAGACATGAGGGACGAAGTAATGTCACAGAACAAGTAATTGGCCTTGATTCTACGTGGACTGAAACATTGGTCAAGGAGAAGAACCCATGAGACCTGATGTGACTCAGGATTTTTACGGTGCCTTTGCAGAAATATCATCAAAGAAAATATAAGCACTGTGTCATACTATTAAAAGCATTCACAAGAGCTGGTTCTTAAGAGCTGGGGGAGAAATATCCCACTGAAAAGAGAATGCCATGGAGTTGTTGTCACTAGCAGTAGAAGAGAGGGGAAAAAAAAAAACTTGGATATAGTTGATAAATCTAGATATTTAATTGTACCAAGTCTATCACAGTGCAGTTCAGGGTTTCTGTTCTATGTTTTATAGCATTCTTTCCATATAGCATGATCAATATTTTTTTTTTCTACATTTTTTATTTCATTTTAATATACTTTTAGCGCATTTCTGCCGACTAGCATCGTTTTGCTAGTTAATTTCCATGTGGTTCATAGCCATTTAAGACTGTTCTTCATGAAAAGTTCTCGTCAGTCCTATGAAAAAAAGTAGCTCTTTCTAGGTTAAAAACAGTAGTTTTGGTGTGTGTGTGTGATTGGGCTTTGTTCTCTCCAGGAGGGATAGGGGATTGTAGCGTTCATGTCGATTATTGTATGAGGATGGATTTATTCACTGCTGTCTTCTAATCCGGTACTCTCTTTCATCGCTGTAGTTCATGAGAGGCTGCTGCGGACCAGTGATGACTTTGTCTGGCCGATTGATTCAACCTTCAATGGGAAGTTCATAATCGACGTGGAGTTTTTAGATCTGAAGATATCCCTTGTCAATGTAAGAACAACCCCGAGCTATTTGTTCCTGGCCAAGTGGAAGTAGGAGGAGGAAATTCATTAGATCTGAGAGTCTGAGAAAAACTTGTTCGATTCTTTTTCGTCCATCCGCACCCAAAGAATGTTTGCGTCGATTCCAATCTGATCTATAGATGTATATCTATTCATATGTTCTAAGAACTTGCTCTTTCCCTTCATCTCCTTCTTCCTTGAGAACCAGGGCGGGGAGCCGTCTTCAATTTGGCCCTCCGAGGGGTCGATGCAGTCTCTGGCGAGCAAATCCTCCCGCCAGTGCCTCTCCCGCATGCTCGAGGAGAACATCCACTCGGACATCACCATAAACACCCCCGGCGGCACGCTGCGCGCGCACAAGGCCATCCTGTCGGCGAGCTCCCCCGTCTTCCAGAGCATGTTCCTTCACGACCTCCGAGAGAACTCCTCCTCCGTCGTCGAAATCGAAGACATGTCCCTGGAAGCCTGCGGCGCCCTCCTCAACTACCTCTACGGCATCGTCCGGCAGGAGGAGTTCTGGAAGCACCGCTCGGAGCTTCTCGCGGCCGCCGACAAGTACGATCTCGGCGATCTGAAGCTGTGCTGCGAGGAGAGCTTGCTGGAGGATCTCAGCTCCGGGAACGTGTTGCAGAGGCTCCGCGACGCCTGGATCTACCGGCTCGAGCGCCTGAAGAAGGGCTGCTTCTCGTTCCTCTTCGACTTCGGCAAGATCTACGACGTCAGGGACGACATCAATGGCTTCTTCCGCTGCGCCGATCACGAGCTCGTAGCCGAGATGTTCCAGGAGGTTCTGACCCTCTGGAAGCCTGTATAGTAAGTGTATGTTGGAGGGAACCTGCGGACCTTTTTAGTGTACAGTTGACACGTGTGCCATTCCCCACCGACATGGATCAGAAGGTTCTACAGTCGGGTCTTGTACCGTGGTATCTTCGCGGCACGTGCGGTCAACATGCACGTATTCAGCTTCACCTGCATACAGTGAATATACTCTACAGGACCCACACGTGTGCCATCCTCTTCCACCCGTGTGATATCACCTGTCTTTGACCTAGTCAACGAAACACGTGCGATTCCCCACCGACATGAAGCAGGGTCCTGGAGTCGGGTTTGGTGCAGATGGGAGTATCTTCTTTGGTATCTCGTGGCACGTGCCGTCGGCATGCACTATTAGCTTAACAATGATTCGGTGATTAGCATTGAGCAGAGTTCTCTTTAATTAAAAATTCATATTTCATGTTACTCCCAATACTTTTTTAATGATGGATAAATACCCAGAAATTTAAAATAATTGTAATAAAATTCAAGATAAATTTTCTATTGCAATTTCTTCGGACCATGGTAGATTATGTACTTGGGGATAAATTAGGGGCTCTTGTACAAAAACAGCAAAGCGCCTTCTTCTCTTCATCCTCCTGGAAAGAAGAAAAAGAATCGTGGTTGGGACAGGGGTAACAGATTCGAACCTAGGGTTTCCCAGATACTGAGTCAGCGGGAGAGATGAAAGACTTCAGCGGTGACGAAACAGCTCCGTTCTTCGGATTCCTTGGGGCTGCCGCGGCCCTCGTTTTCTCATGTAGGATTTCACTGCGATCTTCTGCTTTCTGTCTTTCCCGGTTTTTCGGTTGTTCTAGGGTTCTAATCCATGGTTTTGGTGGATCGACAACGTTTCCGCAGGCATGGGGGCGGCGTACGGGACAGCGAAGAGCGGTGTTGGGGTCGCGTCGATGGGCGTGATGCGGCCGGAGTTGGTGATGAAGTCCATTGTGCCGGTCGTCATGGCAGGAGTGCTTGGGATCTACGGCTTGATCATAGCCGTCATCATAAGCACTGGGATCAACCCAAAGGCGAAGTCATATTACTTGTTTGATGGGTATGCTCATCTCTCGTCGGGTCTTGCCTGCGGGCTCGCGGGTCTTTCTGCAGGGATGGCGATCGGAATAGTAGGGGACGCTGGAGTCAGGTAATTCCACATCAATGTCTACAACAGCTTTATTCATGCAGATTTTCTCTGATGGATAAGATGTGTGATCGTCCTTTCCTTTGCCAAGCGTCCATAATTGCTCTTACATTGCTGTGTTTCTCAATATTCTTCGTTGATTTTATTCGCTATGATTGAGTTGTGAGAAATTAGCCTATCGCGAAGAGGAAATCTGGCATTGATTTGCAAATTTCTCCTTTCGACTTGGATTGTGCCCACTTGGCGGTCTGGCTTTTATTGTCAGTATGCGTTCTGAATCGATGACATATGCTAATATTGCAATGAATCTCCACGAATTTTTTTAATTGGGTCTCTTTGGGTGGTGGGCTGGTGGGAGTTTGCATTATTTTAATGTTAAACGTCAACCTGTGATGTTTGTGACTTAATAGCTCTTTTTTTTGTTTATGAAACTCTATCATTTGGCTTAGACTGATATGTTTATGTGGATCAAATTCTAAGAATCAGATGTTAGATCTTCATTAGAAAGGACGTAATATTTGTATCATACCTGAAAGTTACATTGTTTGTTCGTTGATACGGTTCGTCAATCAGTTATAATTCCACTAATAGTAGTAAGAATACTGGTCTAATTATTGGAAACAATATATATATATTTTTTACTGTGGCATTTTCTTGCAAACAATAAGGTGTTGTTTTGCTTTTAACTAAGTGGAAACAGAATGAATCTCCAGATTTAATGTTGATGGAAAGATTGTTTTTTGTGATGTTTTTGTACTCGGATTGCTTTAACTTGGTATATTCCAACAATCAAAGTTTGCATGGCAAATAAGATATGGAGATTTGATTGAATAAGAAACAGTATGGAATAAAACTACCAATGATTATGTACAGTATGCTGTCGTACAACATGATTAAACATAAAAAATGTGGAATATGATCAGTTGGAAGCAAAGTGCCATCTTTCGTTGAAATATAAACCTTCAATTAGAGAAATTACGATTCTGATGAATCAATCTATTATATTACGACCGTCGTCTGTTGTACACGCAAACACACACTCGCTCACTCACTCACACACTCACACAACCCCACCTCCCCCCAAACATGTTTGCTCACATCCCTCATGCATGGGCCTTATTTCTAAAGTCATTGATACTTTTGAAATTTGGAAAATCTACCTTTTGAGCTCAAATACACATAAGGATTTATGCATATGTTCAATGCGAAGTCTTGTAACTGTAGTGGCCCTGGGATGCTACCCAGGCTATGGGGCTCGGCAGTAGAAAATTTCACGTACAAGAGCTTTTTTTAATATAATTATACTATTTCAGGATCAAAGTCAGGTGGAGATATTATTTAATTATTTTTTGAAAAAAATCCTGTACATAATTTACTCCTGCATACTTACCCAAAAAAATTTAAATCCAATGAACAGTGTTTAAGTTATATTGAAAATTTGACGAGTTCACCTATTGTGCTTTATTTTGACATACCTACACTGGGGACCGAGTGAACGTAATGTCTTGCTTCCTCTTTTTTTACATTGAATTGATATCCAAAGTTGGCGACAAAAAGTCGCCTGTATTGTTGACTGGATTCTTCAAAGCTCATTTTTTTCATGGTTAGTATTCAAGAAAATCAGGTATTTTCTAGATTCCTGCATGTGTATGATGGAAATTATTCAGGTCAATGCGGTGCATGTGAGGGTGATGCTTGTTATATTCTCTGAATAAATGTTTTTCTTTATCTAAGAGTCCAGATATAAAAAATAGGTCTTACTTTTCTGCCTCTTTGAATTTACATGCAGAGAACATCACCTCTCCTTCGATTTTCATTTTTATTTCTTTCCCTATCTTGTTCACCTCATGTGATTTATGATGTCTAAAATTAAGTTAGTTCTTTAATTTGAATGGTCGCTCTAATCCATAGGTTGAACCTTTTTTGTTCAAGAGGCACATTGGGAGTCTCTCTCCCAGCAAATTAACAGTGCAGAGCTTGTAGATTTACATGTGAATCGCTTTCTCTTTGATAGGATTAGGTCATGATGGTTACATAAGGTCGAATACCAGAAAATGATCAACATATTGATACACCCTCTCCAGATTTTCCTTTTCACAGCAGCAATTATTGATGATATCCATGTCGTCTTATTACTTCTTTAATTCCATGAATGTCGTCGTCCACTCCTGATACGTGAGATTTCATCTGTTGCAGGGCCAATGCGCAGCAGCCAAAGCTGTTTGTGGGTATGATCCTTATCCTCATTTTCGCCGAAGCACTTGCCTTGTACGGCCTCATCGTTGGGATCATCCTCTCGTCTCGTGCTGGGCAATCTCGTGCCGAATGATACAAGATTTATCAACCCATCTCATCTTGATCACATAGAACATGCTAAACTCTCTCTCTCTCTCTCTCTCTCTCTCTCTACTATTGTTTATGATGGTTTCATGAGAGACTGGATGCTTGTGACTTTTGCCCATCTCATCTGCTCAATACGTTAATGTTTATGCTGTTTGAAAACCTAAATGCTCCCTTTCTTGTTTAAAATATCTTCTTGTGAATAATAAGTCTGAGAAGGACAATTTCTTTTCTTGGGTCTTCTTGGTTCGAAGTATAGAACTCCTCATGGCAAGACCCAAAGAACAGGGCGTCTGCCAGCTTCAAGATGTTGCCCTTGTGCACCGCTGTCGCCTTCTCGGAAGAATGAGGCGTACCTCAGTTGTTGGGATGTTGGACAAGCCAGCTATCACCCAGAATGCAGCGACCTTCGCTAGTGTAGATATTATTAGTGCATGCATGCATGCATGCATGCAAGGTGCAGCAATGGCGTGCACCAGATAGCAGCAAGACAAAAATACAGGGGTTGGAACCACATAAGGTTTAGCTTAAGAAAAAAAAAAAACCCTATATGACTTGTTTAGATGAAGAAAAACAAGTAATCTTTATATATTAAATATTATAATCTTTGATTCAAAGGGAGGTTATAAAACCATGTTAGGTTTAGCTTTAAAAAAATAAATAAACTCTAAATATTTATGGGAATAAAAGTAAATAAAGATAAATTAGGCCACATGAATGCAAAAATTATATATTAATAAATCAAAAATATTATAAACATTGATCCAAAGAGAAGTGATAGAAGCAGATAAGGTTTTAGCTTAAGAAAGAAAAGAAAAACTCTATATGAATTATTTAGAGGAAGAAAAGCAAGTAGAGCTACTTTAGTCCACTTCAATGAAATATATATATTAATATTAATAAATAATAAATATTATAAACTTTGATTGGACCGTGTGAGGTTTAGCCTTTAAAAATAAACTCTATCTGGAATAATTATGGGAATAAAAGCAAATAAAGATAAATTAGGCCACTTGAATGCAATCAATAAGGGTGCTAGAACCACACGAGGTTTATCTTTTAAAATAAATTACATAATAAATAATTAAAGGAACAAAGCGAATAAAGCTGGCAGTTGATGCAATTTATAAATGAATAAATAATAATAATATTATTATTATAATCTTTGATCCATATTGGAGCCTTTTGTGTTTACAACAAGAGGGCTATCTGGTTTACAACAGGTCTACTGGGTTTACCCTTGACCATGGTCAGAACGAAGGCCCACCTGATCCATATGAGCCCATTAGCAAAAATACCCTCATAGAGTCATAAATGACTGATAAACTCTGGAAGTCTCTTCATCCTTCCTACGAGGCTAGCTGTTTCGGATCCTTAATGGACCAATCTTAACCCAAACTGGACGGGAAAAGGGTTTATGGGCTGCGCTATTATTTTTCAGCCCAATAGCAGCTGTAACTGGTCCAGCCCATATGAACAACGCTCACCATCCTCTTGTCGAGGTTGGAGCTACCCCTATTAAAATCCCGTCTTCAGCCTCCTAGACTGTGGCGGAAGCCCGCCCATTTCTGCTCTTCTTCGTCTTCCTCGGGATCAGTCGGAGGGGGAGAGAGGGCTGTCGGAGAACCTAGTCGAGGAGGGGAACGAGCGGCGATTCCTTGGTGTTTCAGAGCTCGGTGATTCCGGTAGGGCAGTAGTAGGCTCTAGCAGCGCATAGTCGAGACCGTCGGTGGGCGTGGAGCGGCTAGGGCTTCCGTCGGGAATCCGAGATGCCGGACGACTACATGGACGACGTCGACGAGGAGGAAGAGATCACGCAGGAAGATGCGTGGGCGGTGATCAGCGCCTACTTCGAGGAGAAGGGGCTGGTGCGGCAGCAGCTGGACTCGTTCGACGAGTTCATCCAGAATACTATGCAGGAGATTGTTGACGAGTCTGCCGACATAGAGATTCGCCCGGAGTCCCAGCACAACCCCGGTCGCACCTCCGAATTCCTAGAGGTCATTCTCTTCTCGTCCCGGAGCTCGGTAGTTAGAAACAGAACAAGAAAAGAAAAATTCATCTTTATGAACCACAAGATTCTGTAACGTTATGATTCAATGTGACGCTGACCATAATTCCCATGGGAAAAAACTTCTTAATAAGTCATTAAATCGATTTGCGTATTAGCTCTATCTAAGATGTTGGTATCGTGGATTGCCTATATGCAGACCATCTACAAGATTAGATTTGGTCAGATCTATTTGAGTAGGCCTATGATGACTGAGTCGGATGGAGAGACGGCGACCTTGTTCCCAAAGGCTGCAAGGCTGAGGAACTTGACATATTCTGCGCCTTTGTATGTGGACGTCACAATGAAGGTCATAAAGAAAGGACACGATTTTGAGGAAGTAACAGAGCCACAGGAGTTTCCCAAAGTATTCATTGGCAAGGTGAACTTCTGATCGCTGTCCATAAAGTTTAGCTGAACATTCAACGTTTGCGATTTCTGTTGACTGTTTCATTTTATGGCTTGCATATTCTTTTAGGTTCCAATCATGCTTCGATCAAGCTACTGCACTTTGTATCAGAATTCGGAGAAAGATCTTACGGAACTTGGAGAGTGCCCATACGACCAAGGAGGATATTTCATAATTAATGGGAGTGAAAAGGTTCTGATTGCACAGGAAAAAATGAGCACCAATCATGTCTATGTGTTTAAGAAGAGACAACCCAACAAATATGCCTATGTGGCTGAGGTCAGGTCTATGGCAGAGTCACAGAACAGACCAGCGAGCAGCATGTTTGTGCGAATGCTTTCTCGAACCAGTGCCAAAGGGGTCAGTCGTTTTTCTTGTTTATGGTTGTGATTTTCTTGTTGAAAATCAAAATTTTGAGCTTTTTGTTGTTCGTTCATATTCTAACCTTCTCAAGAAAAAACTTGATATAACGTACCTTTGCATGTGCAGGGTTCTTCAGGACAGTATATTCGGGCTACGCTTCCATATATCCGAGCAGAAATTCCGATAATTATTGTTTTCCGAGCATTAGGGTTTGTTGCTGACAAAGATATATTGGAACACATATGCTACGATTTTTCTGATACGCACATGATGGAGTTGCTGCGGCCATCTTTAGAAGAAGCATTCGTGATACAAAATCAACAGGTCATTTCCCACGTTAAATGTCGTTTGCAGTGCCCTTTAGTAGATATCTTAGGTTGGTCAGGGTATGGGATGGTTTGTTCTGGTATTTGGATGTATCTTATTTGGATGCAACTCGAAAGACAATCTATTAGTGAAAAATGCAGAATATTGCATGACTCTGTCTTAAATCTTTTGCGACGAAACATTGTTTGACAAGTTTTGTGCCTGTCTATTTTAGATATACTGGGGCAATAGTCTTTAAATATAATCATGTTTTATAACATGTTGTGATCAAGCTGGTTAGTGGGAATGGCTGTATCTCAATGGGGGACTCATGCTAGTGAGTTGGTACTCTGATGATTCGAATAAGGTTGGCTGGGCTAATATCCACCTTATGCTGAAAAAATGAACGAACCGAGGGAAAGTCTATCATGTGTTTGTATAGTACAGACTTTACCTATTAAATAACCTTTCAGTGACCATGGGATGTCCTTTTATTGGAGTTTATACCTCTTTCTCAGGTTGCACTGGACTATATTGGTAAGAGAGGAGCAACCGTTGGTGTTACGAGGGAAAAGAGAATCAAGTAGGATGAACTGAACATGTTGCTTTTCAATCAAGAGCATGATTCTGCAATGTCTTGGAACGTCTGTTATAATTTATCATTGAGATATTGTTTGGTCCTCTTGTAAATGAATCATCTGTTTATTTTTGCAGATATGCAAAGGAGATTTTACAGAAGGAGATGTTACCTCATGTTGGCGTTGGAGAATACTGTGAAACGAAGAAAGCCTACTATTTTGGGTAAATTTTGGCTAATTTTTTAGTCTTGTTTCAAATATTTTTTGGCCCGTGGCCTGACACTAATCCAGAGGGGTGAGCTGAATCTGGCCATGAAGTTCTTTCTCAGGAGTTCACGGGATTCGTAAAAATGCATCTATAGCCTCAGAATATGAAATTTATTTGCGGTTCAACTATGCCTACTCTGCTCTTCTGAAACTCTTTTTTGGTACCACTTACCATGGTAGATACCAAAGTTGTGGCTCATCTATTATACCACTAGATTTTTGGTGCTGATTCACGGTTATATGTGGCTTTTTAACACAGTGGATGAATTTACAGCTAGCATGACTACTTGAAGTCCAATAAAGAAGTTGTTTAAAATGACAAGTCCAAGAAGAAAACTTGGTTCTTTTGTGAATTGTTCATCTAGACTAAGGACTCTCGCTTCTATTTTCACTAATATCTAGCCTTTAGAAAGGAAGCTTTGGAACATTAAAAAACAGTGGATCTCAATGTTAAAATTAAGCTTTGCAAAACAGCTCTGTTTGTCTTTCAAGGTATTTTGAATCTTTGGTTATAAGTGAGGAATCCAGCATATTAAATATTAATAGTTAACCGTCTGAAAAATACCTTTTCTGAGGACCGTGGTATCGTACAGACTTATGGCCTGGTTTGTTTTGATGGCTGGGCTGACTTGTTTAAGGGTTCATTTCACACATACAATTACATGAGGATGGGTTTACGAGGGTCACAGAATGGTTGAAGTCCGAGGGTAGAACCTTTAAAATGAGAGTCATTTCAAGAGATACATTTTACAAGTTTGCAGGTGAGAATAGATGGGGCGGGTTTACCTGTGACATGAAGCAAATAAATATTGATGGTCAAAGGGCTGACTCGTATGAGAGTCAGGTTAACTCGTGGGTGGGAGCAAATCCTGTAGATATCTGTCAAGTTTATCTTGTTAGAGAAGATGAGGTGGCCGTGCCACGATTTAGACAGTATATCTTATGATGATAGGTTGACCCTAGACCAACAGTGTGTTGTCCTTTCTGGTAAAGTTACTTTAACCTTACAGAAAAAAAAAGCTTTTTGCCAGGTCTAAAACACCATTTTCTCCTAAAGTTTCTCTTAAATTATCATTCATTCTCTCCTAAAGTGTGCATGCTAGAAATGAGTTTATGTTTTTCCTTTTTCAGATATATCATTCATCGGCTTCTGCTTTGTGCACTTGGACGGAGGCCGGAAGATGATAGGGATCATTATGGGAATAAGAGACTTGATTTAGCTGGTCCACTGCTTGGTGGTTTGTTTAGAATGGTCTGTCTCTTGGTGTTTCGAAGGCAACATATTCCATTCCTCATCTTTGGGATCTGAATATTACCATGTGTTTTGTTGTGGTCGCAGCTTTTCAGAAAATTGACAAGGGATGTGAAGTCATATGTTCAGAAGGTTTTCCCTCTTTTTATGAACCTCTCTGTTACGGTGTTAAATCTAGCTGCTTCTATGCTCTTGTTGGTTTCACTTATTAACTAGTGTTTCATGGTTGCGTGTGGTAGTGTGTGGATAATGGAAAGGACGTTAACTTGCAATTCGCAATCAAAGCAAAGACCATCACAAGCGGTCTCAAGTATTCTCTTGCTACTGGGAACTGGGGACAAGCAAATCAAGCTGGTACAAGGGCAGGAGTTTCTCAGGTGTGCTTTTTTCTGAGTGGGACGAACTTTTTATAAAACCCAAATCATGAGATGTTTAGTGACGTCCTTTTGAACAGTATGCGCTAAAGTCACTTTAAATTTGGCAGGTCTTAAATAGATTGACATATGCCTCTACCTTATCTCATTTGCGAAGATTAAACTCTCCTATTGGCCGTGAAGGTAAAATCTTTCCTTTGATACTTTTAGTCTGACGAGTCTCTAGTTTTTCTTTGTGTGACTTTCCTGTTTTGCATGTATCGTATGCCCATCCCAGTCTTTGGGCATTTCTGTAGGCGGTTTCTCATTGAATCCTCTTGCCTAATCAGGAAAGTTGGCAAAACCGCGACAGCTGCACAATTCTCATTGGGGAATGATGTGCCCTGCGGAAACTCCTGAAGGACAGGTAGCATTCCAGAGCATCTGCATACCGAGCTGAATATATATGTCGACAGAACCATTTTTCGAAGGTTTTGTTCTCCTGCTCATTTATGTACTGATTTCTTTGTTGTGCTAGGCTTGTGGACTCGTAAAGAACCTCGCATTGATGGTGTACATTACGGTTGGATCCGCAGCAAACCCTATTTTGGAGTTTTTGGAAGAATGGAGTACTGAAAATTTTGAGGTTCTCTCTCCTCAACACAATGGATGCTTTAAATCTTTTGTATGATTGTTTTTTGCTGACCTCCTTGGAGTTTTTTTATACACAGGAAATATCTCCCGCTGTCATTCCTCAGGCAACTAAAATTTTTGTTAACGGGTGTTGGGTTGGCATTCATCGGAATCCAGATCTCCTGGTGAAAACCTTAAGACAGCTGAGACGACAGGTTTCTAGCTAAAAACTCTTTGATTAGCTTGCTGTGGCATCTTAGTATGATGAAATCTTTGTCATGTACTTATTTAAGTCTGCCACGGTAAAATATATTTGTGCGAACTCACCTTGGAGCAAGGAAAATCATGGGAACTGACCACCAGAAAAAAGAGGAGAGTGATACTCATCACATTTTCTTTCAGTGTATTCACATATTAGTCCTGTAATTGTCAGGGTATAAGTTTCGCTAGATGCTCTTTGTTATCAAACTGTGGTATCTTCCTTAGGGTATATTTTGAATTTTCTAGACATCAACAACTAACCGTGATCCAAATTGCTTCACAAATTGGCTTTTTGAAAATTAGACATCGTAGATAAGCATCATCTTTAGTAGGAAAGTTTTGCACTTCGGAAATATCAGGGACAATGAGGAGCAAAAGTAGGCCATATTTCTCATGTAATCATTTTTAGTGCACAAAATCATCAATTTTTATGAAACTGTTATTTACGACAAAAAAATTAGTAATAGATGTACGAGATGGATGTACTGTAGCCGCGAAAGTAGAAGAGACCCAAAGAAATTTTGTGATGAGGCGTCAAAAATAAATCAGCTTGAATTGTATGACGAGGCAAAGTCTTGATGCCGAGGCAGACTATATTAATGCATTACTTAAACATAATGTACTGATTTGATTTTAATGTATTGTGGTTGTTGGACTATGGTTATGGTGTGATGACCCCACCCCGAGTGATTGTTAATTGTTCAGTTAGTATCAAGTACCTTATGAATAGTGCATTACGTTGCTACTTCCATCTGTCATTTTTTTGGTTTGGAAGACTTTGTGTTGCATTTTTATCAAATTTCCAGTTTAGCACATCCTCTGCTATTCATTGATGTTAGAATGAATGATTTTCTTTCTCTTACGCCATGTGAGAGCAATGGCATAGTTTTGGCTGTGCTCTTTTCTTTTCTCTGACTAGAATGTTGTCTTCACGGTTGTTGAAAGAAGTGCCGTGTCTTTTGATTGAAGCTGCATCTGAATCGTAACTTGAAGAGTTGCCTGTTGTGGTGTTCGTTAATGTTGCACTGTGGCCTGCTTATCAATGGTTGATACTTTTAGGTTGATGTCAACACTGAAGTGGGAATTATACGAGATACTCGTCTTAGAGAGCTGCGACTTTACACAGACTATGGTCGCTGCAGCCGTCCATTGTTTATCGTGGAAAAGCAACGGTTGCTCATAAAGAAAAAACACATTCGAGCTTTACAACAAAGGGTCATTATTCAAGAACTTACCTCTGCCTGAAATTTCCTAGGATTCTTTTGGCTAATTCTTCTGAGTAGGGGATCTTAATTTTCAACTCATGCAGGAAACCCAAGAGGAAGGATGGCACGATCTAGTAACGAAGGGCTTTATAGAGTACATTGATACAGAAGAAGAGGAGACTACAATGATATCCATGACTATCAATGTAAGTCTTAGTCATAACGGTAAAAACAGTTGCTTCTGTTGATAATTCTTTGTTCCCTGTATTGGTTATGTGCTTATGTCGACACAGTGAACTTTGGGGCAAGAGATGGACTTATGATTGTATGAGAGGATTCTTTTTATTTATTTATTTATTTATTGTGTGCGGGTTTGGCTTTTTTATGGTTCAGGATCTGATAAATGCGAGACAAAATCCGGAGGAGGCATATGCTGAAACATATACTCACTGTGAAATCCATCCATCATTGATATTGGGTGTCTGTGCATCAATCATACCCTTCCCGGATCACAACCAGGTCTATTCTTAGGCTTACTGGGATTACTGTCACAAGATTTCGCAATGTCAATGTGTCTGATATATCTCTTCATGTTATTTAGTCACCCCGTAATACTTACCAGTCTGCTATGGGTAAACAAGCTATGGGTATCTACGTCACCAACTATCAATTGCGGATGGTGAGTGATTTGTGGTTGTAAACCGCTGCCCACTCTATGTTCCCTTTTCCATCTTTTTTTTGATGAAATCGCACATGCACTTTGGTTATTACTGACGATATATTTTTTTTCTTAGGACACATTGGCGTATGTCCTCTATTATCCACAGAAGCCTCTTGTGACCACCCGTGCCATGGAGCATTTGCACTTTAGGCAACTTCCAGCTGGCATTGTGAGAAACTTTCATGCCGTGTTTTCTTTCCTTCCTCATTTTGAATATCATCCTAATAATCCTGTTTCGGTAAACTTCATTTCCTGATGAAGAACGCTATTGTTGCGATTGCGTGCTATTCTGGATATAATCAAGAAGATTCTGTCATCATGAATCAGTCCTCCATTGATCGTGGATTTTTTCGGTCCTTGTTCTTTCGCTCTTACAGGTACTCCTATTTCCCTACTCTGACCATCAGTCTTGCGCGATATTTCGAAATGATTATTCTGCAACGTCTTAAGTTCTTGGAGGTCTTCTTTAGTGTACTAACAATGGAATAATTCCTTACCCAGAGACGAGGAGAAGAAGATGGGAACTCTTGTCAAGGAGGATTTTGGGCGTCCAAACAGGGAAAACACAATGGTTGGTGCCTGTTTATTCTCAGGAAGAACAGTTCTTAGCAGACGACTTTGTTATAAAATAATTTATTTTCCAGGGGATGCGGCATGGTTCTTATGACAAATTGGATGATGATGGTCTTGCACCTCCTGTAAGTGCATTTGGGTAAATGGTATTTTATTTCTGTGGCGGAAGTACACTCGCCCATCTTCTTTATTCTTTTCCTTACATTATTGACATGTGTCTTAGGGTACAAGGGTCTCTGGGGAGGATGTCATAATAGGGAAGACTTCCCCGATGCCTCAAGATGATTCTCAGGGCCAAGCTGCCTCTAGGTATACCAGACGTGATCACAGTACAAGCTTGCGTCATAGTGAGAGTGGGATGGTGGATCAGGTGAGATATTTCCTCATGTTGATAATTCAGATCTTGTTGGTTTCCATGTTGCCATGGTGGTTACTTCGTACTCTAGATTAGCATGAGCACACTGAACCGAAGTTAACCTCTCCTTTTCTCAACTTTTTTCTCTTGTAAACGGAGTTGTGATCATACCAGCCTGTGGCTGAAATGCGATTGTTGGCCTGCAGATGGCTTTAGTGTTTAATCAATTCCAGCCGTGGTTACAGAAATGATGACTAAAAATCTAGTTGCTAGATCGAGTTGGTTCTAATATACAAGCGTTGAAACTGTTTCTAGATTTTAATGAAAAACTATGAGCCGCATTGAAAAATGAACATGAGTTTTCCAGTCTTTCTAAAATGGGAGAAAGTTGTTCCTTTTTCTTTTGCTGCCATCTGAATCCTGTTTTTCACAGGTACTGTTGACGACCAATGCTGATGGCTTGAGGTTTGTGAAAGTACGAATGAGGTCTGTTAGGATTCCTCAGATTGGTGATAAGTTCAGCAGCAGGCACGGTCAAAAGGGGACTGTGGGTATGACCTACACGCAAGAGGACATGCCCTGGACGGTGGAAGGCATCACCCCTGACATCATCGTGAACCCACATGCCATTCCTTCTCGAATGACCATTGGTCAGCTCATTGAATGCATCATGGGGAAGGTCGCCGCTCACATGGGAAAAGAGGGAGATGCGACTCCATTCACCGATGTCACGGTATGCAAGCCTTGAAATCGTCAAATCTTGATTTTCTAGGCCCTTCTTCTTGGTCTTACCCATGAAGTATATAAATTTAGGTGTGTTTTTCAATTAGTTTATAAGGGAATCGTATGCAAATTTGCAATTATATCTGGTGAATTGTTATAAGTTTGATGTAACTCTAATTATTGTTGAAAACGAGAATATTAATGTCGGTCTAATAAGGTTCTGGCATGCATTTTATGTGTTCCCATGACATCTTATGAGCTCAAAGTCCTTTTCAACACTCTAACTAGGGAAAGCTCTTCACAATGTTACGTTTATCGTTGTCTCAGGTGGATAATATCAGCAAAGCTCTTCACAAGTGTGGCTACCAGATGCGCGGTTTTGAGACCATGTACAATGGGCACACTGGAAGAAAATTAACGGCCATGATTTTCCTCGGCCCCACATACTACCAGAGATTGAAGCATATGGTTGACGACAAGATCCATTCCCGGGGCCGTGGCCCTGTCCAGATCCTCACCAGGCAGCCTGCCGAAGGGCGGTCTCGAGATGGGGGCCTACGCTTTGGAGAAATGGAGCGCGACTGCATGATTGCCCATGGAGCTGCTCATTTCCTCAAGGAGAGGTTGTTTGACCAGAGTGATGCGTACAGAGTCCATGTGTGTGAGAAATGTGGGCTCATCGCCATTGCCAATCTGAAGAAGAACACGTTTGAGTGCAGGGGCTGCAAGAACAAGACTGACATCGTTCAGGTGATTCTTCCCTCCCACTCAAGAAAGGTTTTACCCAAATTAGTACCCTTAGTGGTGGGACAGCAAGAACAAGATTATCAACCTGCTCCACCCTCCACATCAAACAGAAAAAACTTAAACCCCCCGTTTTTATCATTGCCCATTACCTTAAAACCACCCCCGTTTATAGGGATGTGCACTTTGGCCCTCTTTGTTACTAATTTTCGTCTGTGCTTTCCGAACAAGGAACAAGAACTAGTATGTTAAATTTCCTTTTTTTTATGAAATCTCTTGCTTTAAATCATTCAATGGAGGTCCTTTGGCTCTGAACTTCTCATCCATGGATCTCGACCTTCACTTGACAATTATGCTGTGAAAATGCAGGTGCACATACCATATGCTTGCAAGCTTCTCTTCCAGGAACTGATGTCCATGGCGATTGCTCCCAGAATGCTCACGAAGAAATGAAGTGTTCCCATTGTCTGAAAATGAGAAAGAGAGCTTGTGTTTCCGTCTCATCTCACTGAGAGCCTCAACGGGAGACACTGCCCGGCTGACATTTCTCTCGGCCTCCTGTCATCTTGTCTCCTAATCATCGGCTCGATCTTCATCTTCATTTTCTTTTAGGGGGTTGACACCCCTGATCTGAGGAGGGAGAAGCTGATACACACCAGAGAAACGCTACACTAAGTAGAATCATGTCTGGTCGCTACGAATTTGGCCCATCATCGATAAACCTCTCATCTTTACCCCTTGTCATGTCGTTGGATGCTTCACCGACTTTGTATTTAGGCCCAGGGGTCAAATGTGTGGTGAATTCTTAAATATATATTGTTTCTACTTGTTCTACTCTTGTTGTATTGGAAAAATCTGCGAAGCTTCATGACTTACCTGGTCTCCATGTAGGTCCAGTCGGGAAGTTCAGACCCTCTTTAGGAACCCACATCAGCCCACCTCTCTCTCTCTCTCTCTCTCTCTCTCTCTCTCTCTCTCTCTCTCTTTCTTGGACGAAGTGTACGCAGAGAGAGAGAGAGAGTCAGTCCACCAGGAACGGTGTAAACCAAAGGTCGAAGCTAACTAATTTTGCACTATGTAGAACTACACACACTATGAGTTGCTAGAGAAAGAAGCTTCAAAGCATTGTACATTAAAAGACGAGGATTCTTAAAAGACAAACAAAAATCTCCAGAACTTGTGTATGGGCACCACAGACGGGTTCTCCTCCCCACGGTTCACGAACCACTGCTAAGAGAGGAGGTGCCCTCTACAGCTTTCCACATCATTAGTAATACTGTAATCATCTGCAGCATGAGCCCATGATCGGCACGGCTGTAGAAATCTATCATCTCATCCTAGACCTCGGAGATCTTTTCAAAGTCCAAGGAGAAGGTTGTGAACCTTGATCTTGTGGGTTGCCGGTGTTGAGATCCTCTAGGAGGCTCTCCCCATATCCAGCTGCTAGAAACGCTATACGTTGCTTCAGAAATTTTTCGTACTTCAGGTTTCCGCAGATTAACCCATAATAGACAACGCCCTCATTGGCTACTTCTACAGAATCCTGAAGTACTAAGAATTTCGGAAGCACTGCCCAGAAGTATCAAATCCTAAAGTTCAAGGAGTGCTGTGGGGAGAACATCCTAGAAGATCTCAACACCAGTAAAGTGTTAAAGAGGCTCCGCAGGCCTGGTTCCACAACCTTGATATGGTCTGAAGGAGGGTTGCCTCACCTTCATCTTCTACATTGAAGGGATCTCTGATGTCCGCGACAAGATGATGGATTTCACAGAATGAAACCTCATTAATTCGGCCTGGTGTACATGTATGTGCTGTCGTTCGGATACGTGTACCTGAGAGCAAAATAAATTTAAATTAAACATCAAGACTATTACCCGGAATAAGACCTGATCGGTTTGCCCTAATGTACAAGTACCTGTTGTCCTCCGTACAAACATCACTATCAGAAAAACGAACAAAATTGTCAAGGACTATTCACTGCAATGAAATCTCTTCGAATGAGCAGTATCCCCGTAGTAAGGGTATTATTTGCCTCACCATTCCCAGAAGCCGATCTTGAAGGCATCAGAACCGCGGCAGGAGCCTATTTCCAAGTTCTCCACAGCACCAAGTGCATTATGGTCTCCACCCTGCACTCCTGAACGCTCAGTCGACACCAACCCGCCTGTCCATCTCACCATCGCGCCCGTGTCAAACTAGTTTTGGTACCACTCCCGCAGAAATGTGAATAAAAAGTTATCTGTAAATTGGGAGGAGGTTACCCGAACATCTCGCTCCCAGTGGGCTGGCGGAATAAGCCACTGATAGCCTCTCTAGCACGTTGTGGCAGTTGAGGTTCTCCATGAGTCCCTCAATCACATTGTTGCACTACTCGCGGCTGCTGAGAAGAACGAGCTCGCCGACCTCTACGAGTGGTGCACATATCACGAAATGCAACCTCATTGATTCCGCGAGATCCTCACGGCCGAGGAAGGTTATTTGACTCACCAACTCGCGAGGAGAGTTGTCCTAAGTTCTCCACCCACCACACCGGGGGCTCGAACTAGAAACTCCTTGCTTCCTATGCACTGCGCATCATTTATTGCGAGACTTGCGGAGGTATCTCCTTCGTGGTATCCGGGTCGTCTTTCTCATTATCCAAAGAGGGAGCGCATCATTTATTGGCGAACAGTCCAAGAGCGATCGCCATCGGCATGAGTTCCTGGAAGAGGAAGGGTATACGCACTGCACATTCACAACTCAAGATCGACAGCCAGTATATAGTAACATCTATTTCGAAATTTTTCATACACATGGGAAAGGACTAGTGAGTCAGGACTTATATAGTGCCATCTACGTCGTCTTCTCTTTGCCGTAGGAGATGCAACATGCTGGTAACCATGCAAAACGCAAAATCTACGAAAAACGAGATAATTTATATAAAACTTTGAGAAAGGCTTAGATGTTGCGGCCTGTTTTTGGAAATCAAACACACAGAAGAGTGCCCTCAATGACGTGATTATAGGTGAAAATATATAGTTAGAATGATGGGAAATGTTCATGTACGTTTAAGAGAGCCTACACTTTATGGCTTTCCAAGCTGTGCCCAATGCTTTATCTTACCTTTATTTTAGGCCCAATTCCTTTTTAGAGAAAGGATAGCCAATGCGTGTTCAAAGTTTGCCCTGTTCCGTTGTCATATAGCAATAAATTACGCCAAAATAAATACCTCTATCACTCTCTTGCTCTCTATCATTTAATATGCTACCTGCCATTTTTGGTATTTCTAGTAATTATTTATCTTAAGGTGCCTAGTTAAAAATGGAGCTTTTTCATCGCTACTGAAGCCATTCATCTCTCCCCTGGACTCAATATCTGGGAAACCCAAGGGCCCAAGCTATTCCACTATTTTTTCTTCTATCTAGCGGGAAGAAGAGAAGAGGGTTATCTGCTATTTTGTTACAAGAGTCCTCATTTTATCACTAAATTACAGAATCTACTATTATAATAAAATTTAACATTTAAGGGTCTACGAATTATTTAAAATAGTATTTGGATTATACATAATAATTTTTTTCATTCAAATTACCAAGCTAATAAGTGCATATTGACGGCACGTGCCATGAAACACCAAAGATGGGTGTTGAGGTGTCAATCCATCATGGCTGACTCATTCCGGAGACGTGCGAGGAGCCTCTCATCTCAACTATTTGGGAGATGTGTGAGAGACCTCTTGTCTGGCCCACTTGGGAGATCTGAGGAGTGAGGGGCGGTGACATAATTGTTACCTCATTCCATCTGACCCATTCGAGGGTCATGTAGAGAGAGAGAGACAGTTGTCACCTTATCCCTTTTGACTCATGTAGGGAGAGGGAGTGAGAAACGAGGGAGGTTGAAACCCTCACTTTCGAGATGTGTGGGCTCGCCTGCATGTAGATCGAGATGCCTCTTTTTAGGGGGGTAATTATCTTTTCTTATTTTCTATAAATAAGACATATTTTTTCTTTTTGAGTATGACAGATGATGATATTTCTTTCTCTTCCTTGATTCTATTATCTCTCTTTATCAACTCTCTTTCTCTTTATTGATCTCTTCTCTCTCTTCTATTATAAGTAAAGTCTTTATAGAGAGAGATAAAAGTCTATTGTTGACTTTCCAATGTGTGGGTTGTCTTAAGGGCATTGATATGTGAATTAGAGGTGTCTAGTAGAAGTCTTGTTCTCTTTAGAATTCTTGATAGTTTGGTGGTTTTTCTTCTATTTACTCTCACTTATATTGAGAAATTAAGTTTCTACTATTATTGTGATCATGTGTCTGTATATTTATCCTTACAAGTGATATTAAAGTATTAATTTATTTTTTTTGTAGATTTGTTATGACTTTTAAGGTACATCTTAATTTCCAAAAGTTAGATAAGTCTTCTAACTTTAATATCTGAAAGCATTGTATGTATGATATATTGTTGTAGGCTAACTTGTATAAACTTTAGACAGATCAAAGCCAAACAAGATCAATACTAATGATTAGGAGATAATAGAAAAGAAGGCTGGAGATTTTATTCATATATATTTGTTTGATTTGGTTCTTCAACATGTCATGGATGAATATAATTGAAAAAAACTTTACAAAAAGGTTGAGAAATGAAGTACACTAAAGTCGATGATGAGTAAAAAGATATTGAAGAGAAAGCTATTTGGATTACACATGTCAAATAGAGATGATTTGACATCTCAAATTGATTAGTTTAATTATTGAGTGACTTATTTTGTATACTTTTTTTTAATGAGAATAAAATTATTATTTTGTTTGTTTCTCTTCTTGATGCATATGATCATCTTGTTATGACCTTATTATATGGTAGTATAACACTCGTTCTTGAAAATGTTATTGATTCATTGAAAAAATATTATCATCGAAAGAAAGATGTTGGTGAGGTTCATGGTAAAGGTTTATACATGAAGGATGTAAGAGAACATGGAAGGCAAAAGGAGAAGGGATCATTAGGAGACAAAAAAGAGTCGATCAAAGTCACAAACAAACTAGTTGAAAAATCAAACTTGTCACGTGTCATGAGAAATAACACTTGCGAAGAGATTGTCTAAATAACTGAAATGATAAAACAATATGAGATAAATCTGGTTCGACTAATGTCGCGAAGGTTGAGGACATAGAAAACAGAGAAGTTTATTATGACTTTATTGTAGTTGAGGAATTGTCGAACACAGATTCCTGATACTAATTACTCTTATCATGTGTCATAATGTTGATTGATTTGACTTATATGGAAGTTATTTTCATAGAAAATAATGCAGCTTGTAAAGTTGTTGATATTAATTCAGTGAAGATTCATATGTTTGACATGGTGGTCCGAGCTTACAAATATTCGTCATATTTCAGTACATCACTAAAATTTGATTTTGCTTAGAATATTAAACACAAGTAGATGTTGCTTCAAAAGTGAGAATATGATCTTC